GAATGAAAAAGTCATGATCAATACCCAATTTTGGGCGAGGTTTACTTTCTCGCCCAAATTTGGGCGAGGTTTACTTTCTCGCCCAAATTTGGGCGAGGTTTACTTTCTCGCCCAAATTTGGGCGAGGAAAGTTTCCTCACCCAATTTGGGCGAGGAAAGCATCCTCGCCCAATTTTGGGTGAGGAAGGGTGTATCAGCTCCCTATATAGCTCCATTGTATTATGACCCAAATTTGGGTGAGGAAACTTTCCTCACCCAAATTTGGGCGAGAAAAGTTTCCTCACCCAAATTTGGGTAATAAAGAATTCCTCACCCAAAATTTTAGTCATGATCATGACTCTTTCATTCTCAGTGAGGAAACGGCGAGGGAAACGGTAATATGGGACGTGTATATGACCATATATTTTTCTGTATTGTATTGCTTCGTACATGCTCGATGTGAGTTGACCCGACCCCTCGCATAATTTGGGCATGTGTCGGACGAATCAATTTTCAGTGTTTGCAGGAAGTAATGAGACTGTGCTTTTCAGATCGTCCCCGACATCATGCTTCTGCATCCGCGGGGAACTGGCCAGGTGCGACTCAACACCACCCATCCGCAAGAGGCACCGCTCATCTACCAGAACGTGTTCCAGCACCCCGAGGCAAGCGAGGCGCGCCCGCGTAAATCCTTACGAAAGTATTTTGAGCATACATAGTACAAACTTATTTACTTTGTTTACGAAGAAACAGTTCGTAAATTACGAAGTATTTTCTTGGTAAGCTTATGTATGCTCAAAATACTTTGTTATGACGAGCTGCTTTTCTTTGTAAGGCCTGAAATAGTTTGTAAGGTTTTCTCAGTGCGTGGCTGAGGAAGGCAACTTGTGAACAAACTTGCATGTCGACAAAAATTTCAATATGATTGGAGTGGACGAATTCACTGGTAGCCAACGAATGTGGCGTCACGCTCGTTTTCACGTGGAAACGGCGACGTTAGCTTGGGCGTGACAATCGGTGAAAATTTACAGACGAGTGTGACACACCACACCGCTTTGTCACATTACTTCAGGTGTGACTAGCAATCAGCAGGCGAACTATCACATTCAAACGATGTCACACATGGTACCCATCGACACATGTCGTATCACATCCAAACATGTCGCCTATCGAAGAACAAGAGACTCAACCGGAAATGCCGCCGGCCACTTACCCTAGCAGACCAGTTGGATTGCACTTATTTTGGAGTTTTCCTGAACATATAGCTCTCACAGGCACCATCGTTTGTGTCAATTACGTTTTGGCAAAGGGAAAGAGACGTCTTTGTCAACATTGAAACCAACTTGAACCGGGCTCGCTATCTACTCCCCTTGCTTCTCTGCTTCGAGTTTTGGTTTTCCTCCTGTTCCTCGATCGGCGACGACAAGAACAGTCTATTAACATCCAAACCGTGGTTCTCCAAGACTCAAACCGTCTCTGGGTTCCGGCAGGACGTTCGTGTCTACGCTGCTGGCTTGAAGCAAGTCGTGGACCGCTTGAATTCGTCTCGGATCCTTCGGGACGAAGGCGCGACTGTGACGGTGCCCTGGACAACGTGCGGCGGCCACCAGCAGGGAAGCCAGCCATGGTAAGGCGCGCCTGTGAACCGCAGGGAGATACATTTCCCATGGCTAGTGCGTCAAAGCGAGGCATGCAGCAAGCAAGTGCTTGCTGTGGCTGGCTCCAAGTACCGCGTGCTTGGCACACATTCTGGTCCGGCGGAAACTTGGACGACGACTTGACGCTTTCTGCTGGCACTCTGCAGGTACGAGTGCGTGGTTCGCTCGTCTGGCGGCACCTCGTGGGGCCACGGCGTGGGGACCTGCAGCATCGGCCGCGTGGTGGACAGCCGCCTGCGCGTCAAGGGCGTGCAGGGCCTGCGCGTGGCCGACGCGTCCGTCATGCCGTGCGTCCCGGGCGGCAACACCAACGGGCCCACCATCATGATCGGCGAGCGGGCGGCTCACTTCATCAAGGAGGAGCACCGTGGCCGCCACTGCCGCCACTGCTGAAGCACATCCAACAACGCGTCCTTCGCGTTCCCGCACTGTTGAAAAATTGATGTAATTTAACAATACTTTTCCTGTGGTGTCAGGAACCCTGTGATAAAACAACTGATGTCCGTAATTCGTGTCCGATGAATTGCTCCTCATAAAACTTGAAATCTGCACTGTAAACAATATGTTGTGAATTTACGACGGAACATTTTCCGAGGGTTTTGGGAGTGCCCAAAGAAACACTGTAAAGGATTCTTTCCTACAGTGTTTTTTGTAAATCAATCGAAGATGACCGTCAATTTACGAAGGCAAATCGTGGATTTACGAAAATCTTTGTAAAGGACTTCGTAAATATACTACGAGCTTCGTAAATCTACGATGGGCTTTAGTAAATTCACGAAGGAACTGCGGGCTATTTTTCAGCCGGAGGATCTGTCGTTGATTCCGAACCTGGCCGTGGCTTGACGTAACAGGCTTCGCGGTGCTGCGCCAGTTCCGAGAATCCACGCCTCCCGCTTACACCCACCTCGGCCTGCCTTGGCCTGCCTTGGCCTGCCTTGGCCCACGGCGCTATGACCTGCTTTCGGCAGGCTCCATGAAAAAAAAAATTAGAAGTGCAACCGGTGCTTCGGTTGGTTTTGGCCCAACTAAGATTTTTTGTTCCAGTAACGAAAATTGCGTTCGAAGAGCGAAAAATTTGTTAGAAGAGCGGAAAGTTCGTTGGAGCAGTGAATTCGTTGGTTGGCACGACCGAATTAAGAGTCGGCTACTGCAACGATCCAATTTGCTGCTGCAACGATCGAATTTGCTGCTGCAACGATGGATTCGTTGAGGCAACAAACTTATCTGATCTTCTGACGAAATTTTCGTTACTGGTACGGAACATCTTATGGGCCAAAACCAACCGAAGCATCGGTTGATCTAACTAAAACTTGGTTGGACTGACTACGTATTTTTTCCGTGTCCTTTGTCAGAAACCGGCATAAATCGCCGTGATCGCAAATTAAAACAGCATTTTCTTTCTGTAATTCATCCCAGGTGCTCCGCCCCCCAGACCCTCTTTTCAAGTCTGGAGTTACAGGGGTCACTCATCAGACTGCATCAATTTTTTTGAGCTTGGCACCCTCAAAGACAAAAGACATGATAAAAAATTTGGAGGGAAAATTCTTGTCAGATTACAAACTTTGGGGATTTGAAGATGGGTCGAAGGTCACAATGGATTCCGTGTTCGTCATTTGAGCCCTCAAAAACATAGGAAACGACGAAAAACTTTGTAAGAAATTAAAATTTACCAGTTGAGAAAGCTGTATTATGGCGCGTGGTGAGCCAAAGACATATCTAAGTTCCCTGCAAAATCTCATCAAGATCGGCCGAGCAGTTCAGGATTAGTCCGGAAACACACGCACGCACGCAAACAGAAGGATCCGAAGGATCTATCGTTTATTCCGGATCTAAAATTTTACACTGTCCATCGTTTTGTGAGCACCAATCTACTGCCAAAGCTGCACCAAATGCGACCAAATGACGGCGCGACCCTGCAGTCACGACGATTGGCCGAGAATGGCCACACGGTTAGCGCGACTCCTTGAAAAACAAGGACGGTTTTTGAAAAACAAGGAAAGATGGAACACTTCAAGGAAGTTCCTTGGAAGTGTGCTCCCATTCCAAGGAGGCTCCCTTGTTTTCCAAGGCCAGTCCCTTGTTTTCTTGGACTCCAGACAAATTCCAAGGACCCGCCTTGTTTTTGGGGTGCACTTCCAAGGGGACGCCTTGGTTGGTCTCTGCCGATTCAAGGAACCGCCTTGTTTGTCCGCAAAAGCTCGAGTTACGTCGTCAGCCACGTCATGAGGTCCCCGATGACGTCCCCCTGGGGTTCACCATGACGACCCCCATGTTTCTCCGTGCCGTTGAGGCTGCCGGGTCTCACAGTGGCCAACGCCGAAAACCGTTTTCTTCTACGTCCAGTACTTTCGGAGATACGAGGACGTACCACGAGGCCGCCGTCCAGGCGGAGGAGGAAGTGGTGATTTTTTCGAGGCCAAAGTAGCTCTGGCCACGAGCCTACTTGGTGTCCGGGACTTTTGACTTCGGAATCGGGTTAGGGGGGTGCCGGCCCACCTCGAAACAAAATTTGGTCAAGTTGCGGCCAGCCGTTTGTCCAGGATGGCGTCAAACAGCTCGATTTGTGGACTTATTTTGCTGATTGGATGATGTTTGTCGCCATCCTGGACAAACGGCTGGCCGGAACTTGACCAAATTTGGTTTTGAGGTGGGCCGGCACCCCCCTAACCCAATTCCGAAGTCGAAAGTCCCGGACACCAAGTAGGCTCGTGGCCAGAGCTACTTTGGCCTCGAAAAAATCACCACTTCCTCCTCCGCCTGGACGGCGGCCTCGTGGTACGTCCTCGTATCTCCGAAAGTACTGGACGTAGAAGAAAACGGTTTTCGGCGTTGGCCACTGTGAGACCCGGCAGCCTCAACGGCACGGAGAAACATGGGGGTCGTCATGGTGAACCCCAGGGGGACGTCATCGGGGACCCCATGACGTGGCCGACGACGTAACTTGAGCTTTTGCGGACAAACAAGGCGGTTCCTTGAATCGGCAGAGACCAACCAAGGCGTCCCCTTGGAAGTGCACCCCAAAAACAAGGCGGGTCCTTGGAATTTGTCTGGAGTCCAAGAAAACAAGGGACTGGCCTTGGAAAACAAGGGAGCCTCCTTGGAATGGGAGCACACTTCCAAGGAACTTCCTTGAAGTGTTCCATCTTTCCTTGTTTTTCAAAAACCGTCCTTGTTTTTCAAGGAGTCGCGCTAACCGTGCATGTGTCCTGCCACCATGCTATGTGCAGTATTCTGAGAAAGTAACCCAACTGCCCGCTTACAGATGCTATGCCGCACTAGCCTCAGCAAAGCCAGAGCAACGACTGTATGCTCACGTATTAGCGGCGGTGTTATCATGCTCGAAAAACTTATTTGAACGCGACGATAAACTACATCCCAAAAAGTCATAGCGAGTTGCTGTCACGCGGCTCAGGTAGCCAGGAATGGGACTTCTTAGAAACCGTCACTTTCGCGGTGTCGTGGTGCAGAAGCACTTCCAACGCTCAGCATGGCAGGTATGATAATCGGATTGCACGGTGAGGGAGGCCACCTGAAAAGGTATTGTTTGGATTGAAACCCAGACACGGGGGTGTGGGGAGGTCAAGTGCCATCCCGAAAGGCCCCCCTCGGCCTGAGCATCCGTGGGCGCGCAGGACCACCAAGATGCCATGCACTCCTTGTTCCTTGGATGGCGTCCCTTGGAGGGGTCGATTTAAGATCGCATCGCATAGTATATCAATACTTGGTGGCCCATGACGTCTGCAGCATGAAACGTCCTGCTTTAGCCTGGAGCGCCATCTAACTTACGGACGCACAGTGTTAAAATGGCATGAGACATATCTCCTGAATTCTTCCATTCCATGCTCAGTCTTCAATGGCGTGTGCCGCCCTCTGTTTTGCAGACCAATGCGTTGCTGTGGCGTCCTTTTTGGCGCTGTTAATATCGAGTGCTCGAGAGACACCCCCTCCAACGTCGAACATCGTCCCAACGGAGGTGGACTTCATCGTCGTGGGTGCCGGGTCTGGCGGCAGTGTGGTGGCCAGTCGCCTGTCTGAAGTTCCTCAATGGAATGTATGTATCTAACAATGACAGAAACGTAGTGTCGCATTTGGGTGTGACGAACATGGTGCACAAACATTAGGCCTATACGATTGTAAACGCAGGTTGAACGCATTTGAACCTTAACGGTTGTCTTTGGAGGGGCCAAAACGCAAGAACCTACCCTCAGAGCACTGTGTTACTAAAACCTGCGTGCTTTCCACGAATGTTTAAGAGAGCAAAATTTTACGTAGTTGCTTAAACCCATTCAAACTTGTTCCTGGAAACATAAACCATTAAGTACATACATTCAAATTTAGAAACTGAACAGAAGAGATTGATGTTTTTCTGAATGCTCATAGGTTCTACTCCTTGAAGCGGGACCGGAGCAAGATGAAACGACATACGTGCCCACTTTGTATGGCTACACGTTCTCAAAAGACGAGTATGACTGGCAACTCAAAGTCCAAGACACTCCCAACGATCACACCGGAGAAATTTCAAGGTAAGAACTAGCATCCTGGGCCTTGACTTTGCACATGAATGTTTTCGTTGGTACGTTTTTTTCACCTTAGTCCTCATACGCACGCATGAGCCTGGTCCTGCACTATGTATTTATGAAGTTACCAGTAAACACCGGAGGGCGGGCAATGGTGTGATCCATGCTTTATGTTTAAGTGTGAGTCCGGGCACACACTCTCAGCACGTTACAAATCCAAAAGTGAGACTTCTCGCCTTTTCAAGGCCAGTGTGTCAATGCATGGGAATTTCTCATCAGGGCCAGGATGCTCGGCGGCTGCAGTTCCCACAACGGCGTCAAGTTCATGCGCGGCGAGGCAGGCGACTACGACTGCTGGGAGCGGGCCGGCGCCAAGGGCTGGAGCTACAAAGACGTCCTGCCGTTCTTCAAGAAGTCGGAGGACAACCTGGAACCCGACTTGGCCAGTGACACTGAGTACCACGGCACCGGTGGCCCTCTCAGCATTCAACGGTTTCTGCACACGGATAAAGGCACGGAACTGCTCCTCAACACATACAAAGTAGGTAACGGGACTATCGGGCGAATTGATGAGTTGTTACTAAGTTACACAGCAGATCACTTTCTTTAGGCACGAAGTAGCCTGTCAGTTTCACGAGAAACAGTGATTCTTTTGTTTGTGTCCAAAACTGGTAGCAGCATTTTTATTTTCCACGAATTTTATACACAATTTTAAATTATATCATAACCCATACTAGCACCTACTAAATTTTAGTTCATGTTATGATCCTTTCATTCTTAGTGACAATTTTTCTTTTCCACTCGCAGTATCGCAGGTCGCGTTTACGTTTTAGCTTTAAATGTTCATTGTTCATTGAAAATACTGCAAAATACATGATTTTTTGAACTGCTTCTTACAGTTTGGTTGTTCTTTCGACGTCTGGAAAGCAAGCTCTATTTTGAAGCTAAGATATCTTCTCTTGCACTTAGGCCGCGGGGCTCAATGAAGTGGACCTGAACGGGCCCCACGCCACGGGCCTGGACAGAGTGCAGACCAACTCCCGGGCAGGGCGACGCAACAGCACCAATACGGCCTTCTTGTCCAAGGCCAGGGTGACTCGGCGCAACCTGCACATCCTGACCCGCGCGCTGGTCAAGAGGGTCGTCATCGACCCACGCACCAAGCGCGTCCGCGCAGTCGAGTTCACCGACCAGAACGGTGCCCTAAAGGTCGTCAGGGCGAAACGCGAGGTGAGGGTCAAAGGCAGATTCGCTTTAAGGAGTAGGAAGGCTGTAGACTTGCATACTGCAATCGTGAAGCGATCAATACAAAATTTGCTTGAGGGTATCGACAACTCAGATAAAGGTTGAAAATGCTTTTCCAATTATGTCATTTGCATTCAATCATACTCAAAACAACAGCCAAACAGCCCTTACTAGTGAAAGGAATTCAAATTATTAAGATATCTGTGACATTTCGAAAATTAAGTTGGTGCGGGGTGCCTTTAGAGTTAAGGCGGTGAGAAAATTAGTTTTCATCCTTACACTCTAGTCTACAAAGTCACAGAAGCCTTTTCCGTGTGCAGCTCATCAGTTCAAATTAATAGGGTCTAACTTTTCAAATTGCAAAATCACATGGAAATATTGTTGGGTTTTGTCCTGAATTACCTCAGGCAGTTACTAAAGCAAATAGGATACTAAACAAAGCCTCTGTTACTTCAGTTATGTTCCTCTGATGATTTTAAGCTTTGTCCCATTGCTGTACCTTTCAAGATACCCCGCACTGGCTTCCAAATCATTTACACAATATGTGAAAATTCTGTTCAGCAAAAAGATACCGATGAAATATTTTTGCAAAAAAAAAGATGTGTAAAGTTCTCTTATTACGACAATTTCCTGTTCTGACAAATACCTATATTCAGACCTTCTGCTGAAGATCCCTGGGTAAAGGTTTTGAGATCAAAACTTACATAAATTCAGATGTTGGCATAAAATGAGCATTTTAGGCGTTCCCGACCCCTCGATGCCGATTTGTTCCACCAGTGTGTTAATGGACCCTTCCTTTGTTTTTTCCTCGCAGTGCAGGCACTTTTACCCTTTTCCACACTGGTGCCTACAAATGTGTTTGTTACTCCCAGGTCATCGTCAGTGCAGGTACGTTTCAGTCACCGCAGCTACTCATGCTGTCTGGAGTGGGACCTGCCAGGCAGCTCCGGGAGGCCAATATACCCGTCATCGTCGACTCTCCTGCCGTGGGCCAGAACCTGCAGGTAGGTTAGTGGAGGGTGTAGCGTGTAGCGGGCCTTAGAGCCCACCATCGAAATCCAACATCAAACCGTGCTTCAGGCGTGCACTGCAAGCTGCTAGCTGCGTGGAGCGTTTCGGGTTGGGGCGGGGATTCGGGTCGAAAAGTGTCCGCGCCTCTGGTCATCGAACACACCCGAGACTTTGTTGGATTTCTTACATTCTTAATGTCCAGCGGATCAGTCCGATGGAGTTCTTTTCGGACAAAGCCCCCGCTCGGGCCGTTTTCAGGGCCCTGTCATGGCACATTGTCCCGACCACTGAGGGCTCATCCGAAAATTCTATGTTTTCACAGGACCATTTGGTCTCAGTTGGAGGACCGACTATCACCCTGACGCAAGATACGTCGGTCCCAACGGCTGAGCAGATGACAGCAGACGCTGAGAATTACGCTCAGGTAACTCCACACAGTGAATGCCTTACCGGCTCAGACAGCTTTACATTCCGAATGAATCTTCGGAATGGATTGTGGACACCTACAGATGCGTACTTGCATGAGTACACATCTACAGATGCATACTAAGCCGATTACATATTTGTACTGGGATACGTTCACACCTAGCGTCTGCATCTGAAGGTGTGTACTCGGCTAAGTATGCATCCGTATGTGTTGCCCATTGCCCGTGTTTCCAGCATGGCCAAGGACCACTCACCGGTCACGCAGTTGCCGCCGTCATGGTTCGGGAGCGCAGTCCCCTGCAACCTACAAGCGACAACCGGCCAGCCATGCTCACGCAGCACCACGGCACCTGGGTCGACAACGAGCAGTTGCTGCCGTACTGCAGTGAAGCGGCCCCAGTCCAGAACACCACGGGGTCGTACTACAACCAGGTGCGGATTCAGGGGCAAACCTCTCCGTTACGCAGCGTGCACTGTAAAAAAACAACCTCCATTTAAGAAATGTTTGGGGGAAAAACATTTTGTAAAATTGCCAGTTTTTATTCGTTTAATTTAGAAAGAATCTAAAAGGTTCGACCCACATCGTAAACTTGTTGTTTTAGCCTGAAAACGTAAGAATAGGATTTAGGCTGAAGTTTCAGTAGGCAACTCTGCATATTAATAGTCTGAAAAACTTAAGTGTGTGCTTTACGAAAGTTTCGTTTAAAAATATCCAGCAATTTCATCGTTACTCTACAATTTATTTCGTGAAACGTTCGCAATGAACCTTTACGTGACGGTTTTCCTCTGAACATGACGAAAAAGTTCGTTAGTTCACCCCATTATTTCGTAGCTTCACGAAGGAAACTGAGGTAAAATGAAGAAAGTAAAAAAAAAACTGATGATTTTCGCTGGTGGGTTAAGATCACGCTCGACATCATGCTTCTGCATCCGCGGGGAACTGGCCAGGTGCGACTCAACACCACCCATCCGCAAGAGGCACCGCTCATCTACCAGAACGTGTTCCAGCACCCCGAGGTAAGCAAGGCGCGTGTCTGAGAAAGGCAACTTTCGAATAAACTTGCATGTTGTCACAAATTTCATCACCATATTTCCTAACCTGCAATCTGGGTGCGAAAGTACTCCGATTCGACTTTACTGTAAACCAATCGATTCTTGTTGAAAAGGCGAAAAAAAGGTCTTATGGCGGCCATGACGCCGGACTGACAATGGCGATACATACTGTCGATCATAAAGTGCGAAAAAAACACCATTTTCTGTTTTCCAATAGCCAAACCCAAAACCAGTTCTGGGCGGTAGATCAGCACCACAGACCCTTCCCTTAAAAATTTTTCATCGAAAAATTCGGATGCATTTTTAGGGTTTTTTTTGTCCATATCTCCCCCGAAACAAGTGACTTGTAAAGTGGCTCTGGGTGTCATTTTTAGCACGATGAAAACAAAGAAAATCAACCGGGTAGGTCGGCTTAAGGCAACAAACAAAATTTTAGTGAAGGATTCAACACTTTGAGGGCTGACCACAAATGTCGAGAACGTTTCGTGACGCTCTTTGCTAGGAAAGGAACACACCCACAAAGGTTTCGTCAAAATCCGAGACATCGATTTCGGGGTCTCGGGTGACTTCCGAAAGAATTACCCGGCTCGCGTCCAAACAAAATTCGCGGTATTAACTTGTGAAATTTTTAACGGTTCTGTGACCTTTAAAGCAGTGACATCTGTAAATACAAGTGACTGTGGCTAAATATGTAGTATGCCTTTGATTAAATAACGGTTTATTTTTTGCTTTGGGTACGGAAAACACTAGTAACTAATAAACTGTGTAGACAGAACTTTTTTCTATCAGTGATACTCCCTTTCTCCTCGGCTTCCGGCTTGCTCTTCGATCGGCGACTAGAATGATCTATTAACATTCAAACAATGATTCTGCAATATTCAAACCGTCATTTCTTGCCGGCAGGACGTTCGTGTCTACGCTGCTGGCTTGAAGCAAATCGTGGACCGCTTGAATTCGTCTCGGACTCTTCAAGATGAAGGCGCGACTGTGGCAGTGCCCTGGACAACGTGCGGCGGCCAGCAGCAGGGAAGCCAGCCATGGTAGGCCCGTGACGCCGTGGCGGACGGGGCAACTCGGGGCTACGGCACGAGCCGGTCTAGTACCGGGATCGGGCTACTGCAGGGCTGCGCCGCGGCCACTCGCTTCGACAGGGGTCGGGGTCAGGCCCTAGCTTTGTTTAATGTATTGTCGCAGGTCTATTCGTAACTTTTCCATTGGCTATCCGAGGTTTTCTGCTCCACCAAATCCATCGTGCTAGCCAGCGAGGCATGCATCAAGCAGAAGCTTGCTGTGTGGGCGGATGCATGCAACCTTGGCACCCTTTCCGGAGGTACAGCTGTACGGTGACTCGTGTTTGACGCTCCTACTGGCGCTCTGCAGGTACGAGTGCGTGGTTCGCTCGTCTGGCGGTGTGACGTGGGGCCACTCCGTGGGGACCTGCAGCATCGGCAGTGTGGTGGACAGCCGTCTGCGCGTCAAGGGCGTGCAGGGCCTGCGCGTGGCCGACGCGTCCGTCATGCCGTGCGTCCCGGGCGGCAACACCAACGGGCCCGCCATCATGATCGGCGAGCGGGCCGCGCACTTCATCAAGGAGGAACACCAACACCGTGGCCACCAGTGCCGCCACCGCTGAAGCACTTCCAACAACGCGTCCTTCGCGTTCCGGGGAATTTGTTGCCGAAGGAACCTTATGACAAAAACAACTGATTTCCGTTTTTCATGTCCGATCACCTTCTCTTCATAAAACTTGTAAACTAACTGAAATCTTAAAATTTCCAACCCTTAATCACCTTCTCCTATTGAAAGTTTTGATAAGCATGTTCCAAATTGTTATAAATGGATGGCAAAATGACATAATATTTGTTTGAAGTGGCACATAGGTTTCTCCTTTGATTTCTTATCTTCGAAATCCGATAACTTAAAGTTAAATTTATAACATTGATAAGGTACTCCAGAATAGTTGATCTGGCGAACGTTTTCCTGCATCCCCGATTCCAAAAAATACCCCTACACGCCCTTCTAGCTGTATCCGTTGCCGAAATCCTCCTCGACCCTATGTAAACATGATGCACCCGGAGCAGCGCCCCCGGGGCTCGGAGTGTGTATTTTCAGATTTGTTTCGCACCCTCTTAAATCAGGCACTTCTACAGACGGCCAAAGCAGGTGTCATCGAGACATAGATTGACGGACAATGTTGGTTCCACCTGGATGGTTCCCAAGTTTCGGCGAACCCGCCGGTCCTGCAGACACCGCACAAGTGGTGCTTGAGATAAAAGTGGGTTCAAACGCATTGCACCGATTCACGCCACACTCGGCCACTAGGTTGCCGGTCGACTCGCCAGGTGACGATTAGAGCTGCGCTAAAGGGGCGAAGCTCACAGTGCGGGCGTACGAACAGGTGCCGCACGGACGCAGTGCTCAGTGACTCGTGACGGCCGTCAGACCATTGCGCTCATGCGGCATTCGCTCCCCACCACTCTCTTAAGGCGTTAGGGCGGCTAAAAATAAGTCGCCGATGACCAGTTAAGCACATCTTTCCAAATTTTATTGACATTTTTTTTACATCTCATATGCTTGAAAACGTTTCTTGAATTTCGTCACTAGCCAATCGTGTCTTAAACTCTTGAAGTGAGGTCATACGGTCACTTTACCCGTCCGGTGCGCTACGTGTTCAATAAGAAACACCACCGTCGATAGAAGCAACCCTATCGAAACCAAGTACAGGTTGTACATGACCAAGAGAAATCCCGCTGACTGACGCTGTTCCTTCAAAAACTGTATTCGGCTCCTGGAAGCCCTGTTCTGCCTGCGCACTGCGTCTAAATGCAGCAACCTGTCGATGACACCGCCGCTATGCAGACGATGAATGGTCTCATCCAGCACCGTCACCAGGAGGTAGTCCTTCCTGACGAAGTTGACGTAGCTCGCCTGGACGAGGCTGTCTTTGAGCCGGTAGCGACAGCCACGCAGGCAGCGGAAGCGGGAGAGCTGACTCGACGCCGCCACTGCTAGGCTGGAGTCCTCCTGGAAGCGACTCTCGAACTGCTCCACTTCCTGCTGGGTCTGGCAGACGACGATTCGCTCCAACGGGACACCCGATTCGTTGAGAATGCCGCGCAGTGAGTGCGACGACACGCCGACGCTGAGGTTCGGCACGGCGTGCACCAGTTCCCCGACGGACTGCGGCAAGGGTTCCGACCGCGCCAGGGTGCTCTCGGCGAACAGGAGCCCCTTGACGGCCACGTTGAAGTTGAGCACGTACAGCAGCCACGCGGCGCCCAGCACGCGGGCGGACCACATGTCGGGGTACAGCTCGGAGAAGGTCGCGGACACCTCGGCCGCCTTTGCCCAGTAGTCCAGAAGTGCCGCCTGGACCACGGCCAGCCACCGCCACGGCTGGGGCGGCACCGCAGCCACCCACGCAATGCTCAAGTACACGGCCACCGAGGCGAAGAACCCCAGCACGGTGAGGGAGGACGCCAGCGTCATGTTGGGCCCCCACATTATGTCGAAGACCACTCGCCAAACGTTGGGCCGGGCCGCGCTTGCGTCGGGGCAGCGTGCCATGACGCGGACGGGCATGTGCAGGAACGGAGCGGTGGCCCGAAAGTGCCTTATCCTGCTCGGCGTGGCCGCCAGGGCCCCCAGGACGACGTCGGCGTCCCCCGCGAGACCCCTCAGTGATCGGGATGGGGTTCCGTTCTCCAAATCCAGGATCTTCTCATCGTGCAGGTACTGCCACTTGACCCTGACGTTTCTGTACCGCGCCACGGACATCATGATGTCCAGAACGATCTTGGATTCGATCGACAGATCGTGCTCCGCAGTGCCGTCGCACTGATTCCCCCGTCTGACGACGAGGGCAGCACGCATGACGCAGCCGCCCAGGTCCCTCGGAACGACGCCGTGCTCGGCGTAGAGCGCGGCCGGCAGGGCGGCGCGCGGACTCGATCCAATGACGGGGACGACGGAGGGCGTTTGGCTGCCACACACCCCGGACGCGTTGGCGAAGGGCGCCATCTTGAACAGCGTTCCGGACACGCGGCCCGCCACCGCCACTGAAGTCAGACCCCAGGACCGGGACCACGCCGTCGCCATCACGCCGCGCACCAGGGGCTCCATCGACGAGCTGCCAATCCAGGTTTCACAAAAACTTTTTACTTGAGAAAATATTTTAAATCCAGGTTTACAAATTTTGTACTGGCATGCGTTTTCTGGTTTATAAGGGTCTTTGTACAAAAATACGTTAAAGCTTTGGACCTCTCACCAAGCGAATATAATACAAACGAGCAGTTATGGCTCTTTCACCCATGGTGAAAAACAGCTCGCTGTATTACACCGTGAACGAACTGTGATTGTAACTGTGGCAACTGTATTGTGATCTCGAATACTCTTCTTACCATAATCCCCAATATAGTCCCGACAGGCCTCAATGAAACAAGTACCCACGTAACACTGTGTAAAACATAACAGCTTAAGTAAATACAACCACATAAAAGTATCTTTAAACAGTCTTAAGCCACCTTTTTGTAATTTGATAAAACTATGTACAGGGTTCTGTATGTCTTCATGAAGATAAAACAGCACACACGAATCTTCAATCAAAGATTTGCAAGAGTCTTGAAAACAGGTAATGTACTCGTCCAATTTTCCGTGCCGCTTTATTAAACCTCTTAAGTTCCTACCTGGGATCGCCGTCGCCGTCCGCGCGCACAACGACCATCATGTTGCTGTGCCAGAGCGACGAGGCGGGCTGCACGTTGGACACAACCTGGCGCACTCGCTCGGGCCTCGCCGCCACCACGAAGGCCACCGACGCCATGGGCGGAACCTCTGAGCCAGGGCACAGCAGCATGACCGGAACGTGGCGCAGGTGCCGACGGATCCACGAGGGGGGCGTCCCCACGTCGACGAGGCACAGAACGAGAGTGCCGCCGCGAGACGAGACCAAGTAGCGCGACGCCATCACTCCGAGGAACGCTGCGAACTGGGCGTCGGACGGCCTGCGAGCACCAATACTTACAGCTGAAAACGAAATGAAAAATAAAACCCTTGAGGTGGCCACAAGATGTCTCAGTTTTCAGCTCCAAGTGTCACCAAGGTGTCACAGAAATATTACGCTGAATGCATTGACTTGCATAGACACAGGGTTACGACAGTGACAAAATCGTAATGAAAATGACTTCTACTCGGTGAGACTTGTTCTGACTCGTTACTCATGCGCAACCACGGGGCGCAGAATGTCTGGAAGAGTTGTTTACGACACTAACGTTCCACTTTTCACATTCTGTACGTCTCATTAGGTTCGCGACACTCGGAGCAGAGGCTTAGGATTCTGACTATTGTTCATTCTCAATTGTTTTCAAATCAATTCACTTCATCATACTCACATTCAAACTGTGAGTAAAAGTATGTGTTCCATCAAAATAAGGTGATATCTAAGCCTCATGACAAAGATCGCACGGTAAAAACAGTGTCAGCGGGTTTTCCAGGCCCACCCCTGAAAAAGAGGCCATTTTGCAGGGTGGTCTTGCGAAACCCGGACACTGTTTACAGGCAAATCCGAATCCACCTACATTAGACAGAAAACTTAACTGGTTGACCTTACCGTTCCACAACAAGCTTCACGGACTCATTGGAATCCTGGAGACAAAACTGTGCCAAGACAGCGACCCGCAACGCGGCCCTCAGCCGCATCGCGGACCGGACTGCAGGTCCAAACTACCACTTTAATCCTTCCTTGTGCCTGCACCATTGATCGGAAGCGAACTTGCTCGGCCGAGGAGGCCAAGGTGGAAGTTGTCCGAGCCAGGGGTGGCCTGAGTATCGACCACATGCTGCTTGTCGACCGAGTCGCTGATGAACAATACAGCTCCAGGCTGATTTGTTAATGGAGGCCACATTGGATACTGTTAAGTGAATTTTTACTGTTCTTTACATTTTTGTGACAGGAGGTTTATCTTGTGGTTCAAAGTCAATCACTACAAGGTGAACTCGGATGAATTCTCTCAACTAGCATGTTATTAAAGTGTTTTTTTTTTTTGTTTTTTTTTGCTGGAATGACCACGTGGTTTGAGATCGACAGCTGAAATCTGGCGTGTGGCGGGCCAAGGACATACCTAATGAGCCTCCAAAATCTCCGCCAGATCGGCCGAGCCGTTCAGGAGGAGTACTGCTGATACACACGCACACAGACAGAAAAAACTTTTCAACCCAAAGCGGTTTGCCATCACTCAGCCAGGACACTCGTTGCATTTAAATTTATTTCTGTTTCGCTAGGTTAAGGGCATCGGAAGCAAAATCAGCTTGGAAAAAAAAAATTAAGTTGTAAAGAGACAAAATTTTTAGTTTTGAAATAGATCTATTCTCGGAAGATTGTGGTCGAAATTTCGTTTACACCTGGTTATTATAATTTGGGGATGTTTGCGACTGGGACCATAGAATTGACAAAAACGGGGAAAATAGATTTAGTTTTACTGAGCTAAGCCGGTATCATGACACTGTATCGTGGAAATCAACAAACTACAAAATTCAACCGGAGTGTCAAACGACTTCAGTCGTTGAAAACTAAGACTGAATTATAGATCCTTCCGCGCTGGTACACATCGATAAACACACTTCAGGGGCTCATCTTGAAGTACGATGCCCAAGCACAGACAAGGGCAGGCACACTGTAAAAATTGGTCGTCACTTTAAGACAAAATCGTGGTTCATCACTTGCTTTTCCTATACCATTACATGTGCGTGACAACTAGCCGCTAGCGGACGGATGCTTTAAGTTGTAGTGGCGGAAAACATGTAGTAGTAGCCAAACTGCGTCAGTCGGAACGCTATCTCTCTCTCTCTCTCGTGCTCTCTCGCTTACACACGTTAGCGCTCGGTTGTGACCACTGCTGCTCGTTGCCAGGCGAGTGAAAACACAGGCGCAGATGTTGAGGAGGGCGATGGGGTGTGACGTGTCGCGAGAAGAAGCCCCGCCCCGCCCTTGAATGACGTGCAGCAGATCGCGGCGACAGTGTAGCTGCGCACAGTGGAGACGGCCATAACTCTAAACGCGTTTGGGGCTCTAGAGTCGCTAAGTGGGACTGGAACCGAACGTGTGACCTCACCTATTGATTGCTCCCCGAACGAGGAATCCATTTAGTGGAGTCACACGTTCGGTTCGAAGTCCTGTTTAGCGACTCAGGAGCTCAAAACGTGTCTCGAGTTGTGGCCCTTGGCGTGGCGTGAGCGTGCCGACGGCGCCGAGAAATGTAGAGACTAATAACTTCAGCATGCGCTCCTCGTTTCGAGAGCTCGTTGCGTTACGTCGGGAATGCGAAATAGAACATGGTTTCCTTTTTATTGGCTAAAATGTTGTTGTTGAATGTGAACTATTTTCAGATCGTTGACATTTGTACGATCCAGGTGAAACCTTGTCCGGCACCGGAACCTTCCCGCCTCGCCCCTAGCCCGGAGGAGTGGTCTTCGGATTGACCATTGCGATCACGCGGACGCACATGAAGCATGCGTCCTTCTCGCATATTTTAGAGTCCATGCGCCATTTTCCGTAAAACATAGCTGGCAGTGACGAGATGTGAGAGCCCTGCAAGTCGGTGGACAGGTTACGAATGCTGTACGAGCCCTGAAAAAGTGAAACAGACCACACTGTAATTTCAATGGTGATACTCTTAGTACCTTCTTTTTTTTGCGATACCATGGAGTATCACCAACAAACAGCCGCACGGAAAAATCTTGCCTTCAAAACGGCGATACACGAAAGTATCGCCAAAATTTTGCGATCAGGGCAAAGCCGGTGGTAAGTTTACTTGCCACTAATTTGGCAAGCCGTTTTGAATGACAAAAATTGGCAAGCTTGGCCCGGAAATACTCCTCAGCTTGCCAAAATTTGGCAAGCTTATGAAGATTTCCGACCAAAGCTTGCCTAATTTTGGCATTCAAAACGGCTTGCTAAATTTGTGGCAAGTAAAGTTACCACCGGCTTTACAGTGATACTTTGGAGTAATGCCACGATTTGGGAGTGAGCTGTGAACAAATCAAGGGGACAAGTTTTTACTATAATGTCAGAGTTTGGCGATACTTCCGTGCATCGCCGTTTGTGGGCGATAGCAAAGTGTATCGCCAAAAAAAGATACTGAAGTATCCGCCTTTGCATTTGCAGTGCACACCAAATAAAATTAGGATGAGTTTTTCGGGCAATGCGAACGGTCAGATACGACATTTGTTTGGCAGTGTCTTGGGCAGTGCAGCAAAACCCGTAAGCCAACCTCAGCCTGCCCGCTACGCAATATTTAGGCTTCGCTGTCGAGAAGTTTCCTTTCGACTGAGTTTGGCAACCCTTTCGGCGCTCGCGGGAATGTTTGCGGTTATACTGCTTGTTATCGTCGGATTTCCGGCCGTACCGGCGGCACTGGGCATTGCGAGACGCGACCGCCGGGCCCATGGAGGTTGTTCCAGAAGTACTTGGAGATGCCAGGAAGGAAGGTCTTCAAAGCCGAGCAGGGTCGTGGGATTTTCATGGTCAAGGCGTTGTCTTTCCAGCCGCCGCGGGAGCTCCAAGAAGCAAACTCGTTCCGGATCTCGGCAACAGAAACAGCATTCACTAAGCATAGCTCTGCGCCCCGGCAAACACACGCAAACATGCAGAATGTTGTCGTTTTTACGTGTTCGTGACTATGGGGTAAAAAATTCGACAACAAGGCGTCATTTTGTTTTCGTTTTCACGTCACGGACTGCGATTTTTTTTACTTTGTGACTGCATAATGTTAGTTGGGGTCATTGACATCTTCATGCACTTTTATCACACATATCATAGCAAAAAGACACTCACAGTCTTGGTCTCATCAAAAGCCGAACTCATGGTGAAATTTGCGTCGAAATATCTGACACGTGGGTTTTGGCGAGATCTCTTCATGCTGATAGTGAGCGGATATGGACGATCTAGCACACTTGGCGGGCAAGGTTCCACAGTTTCCAAGTCGATAACGTAAGGGCCCTGCACACAATGCGAAAGTTGATAGTTTCTGTTCGCACAGTAAAAAAAAAAATTTGGAAAAAAAAAAGAAAAAAAACCTTTATGCACAGTTTTTTTTTGTCTATTCCTTTATAAATGCATCAAAACCCGACGGATGTTCTCGTACCGCAAGACGCTGGCCTCCCGTGCAGACAAGGAGGCATGCTGCTACGTGAAGATCCAATCTCGCAATGATCCATTTTCGCACACACACTGCGCAAAAGACGAACATTTTGTTTGCACTTCACTTGTTTCCTGGGTGTACTAACAAACTCATTTCATATGCAAGAACGTTTTTATTGCATTATGAGTCCCATTAGAAAGTTATTGCATTAAAAGTGCATTAAATATTGTATTGCATTAACGTATTTATCCCTTTATCACGCCAAAACTGTGATAATGTGGACCCAGACCGGCCAAAACTAAAGAGACTTGTTGCATTTTTAACGCGATATTTTTTTTATTGCTGCCACGGATGCGATAATTCGAAGGAATCACATTAGCCTTTTTATCGCACACTGAGAAAACCTTACAAACTATTTCAAGCCTTACAAAGGAAATCAGTTTGTTATAACAAAGTATTTTGAGCATACATAAAGAAGAATACTTCGTAATATAAGAGCTATTACTTCGCGTCACAAGGTAATTTAGTTTGTTTTAAGTATGCTCAAAATACTTTATAAGGTTTTAAGCGTGCAGCTCATTGTATGAAACATTAGAAACATTAAAAATACCAGTGATGTGGTGGCGTTTCATAGAAAATTTTAACGTGAAGAACACACTAAACGATTTTAGGCAACATCTACGGACAATATTTGTTACCAAATAGAAACAGTGCTACGCCTGGAGTGAATTCTGATCATGATAGTTTAACTTTCACTTTAGGCGCTTCAAAATAGTATCTGAGAGCTTACTGCCGGGACAGGCTGTGCGCATCCAACGTTACCAAAATGGACAACTGAACTAGTCACGAGCAGATCAGAACCCAACGATGTAGTTGTTGAGACAAGCACACCATCATCAACACTGATAGGCCGCTGTGCATTTTCGGTTCACGCGATGCTGCCGGGTAAAAATTGTCGCCAGAAAATTAACTTCTTTTCGAATTGTTGGCGATGAATAATACAAGCCAGTAGAAGAAAAGTTTAAGACACACTCTTAAAAAATGCTGTCAAATTACAAGGCAAAACCTTTGCAAATTTTGTACCTCAAACTCTTCTCCACCGAATCAAAACTATTAATTTCGGTTTCGACGTTTCCGGAAGCGCCACGTCAAGTTTCCACTAGTTTCCACGACTAACGCATTACCAACGTAGCCACGCCAAATCGGCGGCATGGCCAAACCAGACCAGACGTAGGCACGACAATGGTGGCTACACTGTAATAAACTAGGGGTACGCGCCGTTTAGTTTGGGCACGTAGCGGCTGAGCGATGCGACTTGACAAATTCTAGTGCAAGCGTTTTTGCACGACGGAACTCGCTGTTCAGGGATGGATTTTTTGGGATGTGCCACGCTATTATTGCCAACTTAGGCGCATGGCCGGGATTGCTTCTTTTATGTGCCCCATTCCACCCTCTTCCCAAATATTGACATGGAATTGGCCAATTATGGGTAAAGTATGGGTCTGGGAAATTTTGCTCCTTGGTCTTCATGGATCACCCTATGCGAGTCACTACAGTTGACTACAGTATTCGATATATCTTCTTCTTTTTTCAAACATATGGATTTACAATTTTATTTGTAATATTTGAGGAGCCGTTTGTTCTTTCATTTTAAACCAGTGAATTAAACAATATAGATTGAAATATGTAATTGTAGTTCATATTGAGGCTCAGTTAAGGGCAGACTGATCCGTCCGAACCATTTAACGGAGACTAATTATTGTCAAATCTAGTGAATCGTCTCATGTCTAGTGATATTTTATCTTTAGCTGAAATCGATACGAGTCTGAGAGTGCAGAGATCGGACTTCGTCCGTGAACCCATTGCCATGCGGTCATTTCGCCGGCGGACTTTGAAGTGTTAGCTGATTGCCCTTTCTCCTGCCGACTTGGTTATTCCGGGTTCCGCGGTGAGAGGTGGCGTGTTGATACTAGTTTGCGTCAATTAAAGACATTGAGACTGAGCGATACGAGCTATCACGCCCGAAATCGAGTATTGTGTGCTCTTGTCAAGCAATGACTACTCTAAATACTCTCGCTGGTGGTGAGTTCTTTCATACAAGTCATCCCGTATCACGCGCGTATCTAGTTCCTGGCGTGACATCTGTGTCAACTGAGTGCACTGTTTTTCGAGAGTCCGGCCAAGAGGTCCCGCCTTTTAAAACAGCGCCGCGCGCAGTCCGAGGCCTGAGCAACGCCTAACGCCAAGCCGTCAACATGCTACGCATCCTTCTCGTCGCGGCCGTCGCCCTGGCCGGCTCCGTCCATGGGGGCTGTAAGTATCACTGTAAAAAAATGCTGTCACTTTATGAAGGGGAAAAAGGCAGACTCAGGGAGAGCCCAGCGTTTTTCGCTCCATGTGAAGTTCAGTTTTGGAAAGCAAATGAATTTATCGATCATTAAGTTAATCAGCTGTTGATTACCACGTTACTCGAAAGAGTTAACGCGTCAGCAATTAAGTTAACGCTTATATCGCTAAATTATCTTGAAAGTTGTCGTTGGCGGGGGTCACGAATCAATTATAGGTCTTTTTTTTTTTGAAGGGCCGGTACAAATCCATGAATGAGCGAATCGATTTCAAATTCAGTATGGATCTTCCCTCAACCCTCCTTAGCCACCTGAAACAGCGCGGATGTCTGAGCAACGACAACAACGCCACCTGCACAGCAAAGGGAGACCTTCAAAATTCAACGAAAAATTGTGCCTATCCGATGGCAAGAATAACAAAGAAAAGAGGATATTTTTACATTCTCAAAAAAAAAATTGAGTTAAGGAATGAAAGGGGACGCCCTTACCAATTTAAGTGTATAATAGGTTAAAGACTTTAAGTCAACCTTAGTTTGGCAAAAGTTGTGCAAGTTGTGCAATGCATTTTTCAAAAAAAGTGACCCACAATGCCAATTGATTTTTTGACTTACAGGGCTACAGCCAGGCACCACGCCCAACAAGTTCATCGTGACCTACAGCCTCTTCCCGGACCCCCTGCACGCCTTCAGCTTCTACACCATGCCCCGCACCATCGCCGAGGCCGAGAAGGACCACTTCGCCCAGGTGTCCACCAACGACGCCGACAGCACCACCCTGTGGTGCCGCAAGAACGACTTCAGGGTGTGCGTGTACTTCGACCAGCGGGGCAGCGTGGCCGGCATCCAGAGCTCCGTAAGTGAAGCATTCAACACTGAAAATTAAAATTGGAAGCCACTATGCGGAAATATTGCGAGACAAAAGTCGCGCCAAAATTCGGGTTGACCTGGAATTCTCACCGAAATTTGGTCAGACAGAACTTACCACAGAATGGTTACACTTCTTTGAGTGACCAAGAATCAGGTCTCGTGGAACGCATTTGCTGGTTTCTAAATATTCTAGCCACATTGTGGTCATACAAAAACTGACTCCCCTGAGCCAAGACATTTTGATCTGACCAATAATCTTGGCGGAGACTTCCAGTTCTGACCAAAACTTGACAAGACTTGTTTTGTTTCACCTCTGGAGAACCGAGAAGTCTGGCCCATAGATTTGTAGCGAGGGTGAGTTACTCCTCGCTCCACCGAAACTGACATTTGAAACGTTTTCCCCGCAGGTGAGAGTGAGCGAGGTAGAGAAGGCCAAAGTTCCCCTTGACCTCCTTGCTATCCCCGAGTGGCGCCAGCAGACCCTTCTCGGCGAGGAAGTCTACTCCACTGTGGCCTACTTCCAGCCCCGCGGTGAGCAAATATTCCAAAATTCCAATCCAGCAAAACCTGTAGGGGCGAAAAACAAGAAAACGAGCGAAGACCGAGAACTGTGCCAGAAAGTGGCCTTTATCAGATTTGGGCAGCACTGGTACTGAAGCGCAGTTGTATACGCTTAGCTGACAACGGTCGAACACCCCAAAAAAGGATATCTTGGATCAACTAAAAAGTAACTTATCTTGTTCTTTCCAATAAAGAATTTCTTCGATTCCAACTTTTTTTTGTGTATGAAGAAAATTTTCTCAGGTCAAGATGTTTTCTTGAAAAAGTTAACATTCAAGAAACCATATTTCTGGCCGATAGTTGGGATACGTTTCCATTTTGTGTTCTTCCTCATCTTCTACGCTCTGGCTTCAAACGTCTTCACGGTAAAGACTGCACTGTGATTTAAGGCGCTATGAACGTGCAAATGCATTGAGACACGTGCAATGCCACAGCCACATTGCACCTAACGTGCGATGCGTTCCGATACCCGATGCGAAAGAGGTCATTGCGCTTCACGTGTCATGCTTGCACACTAAATTACTATGTAGGTTTTTCTGCGCGCTAATGCACGAAATTGTACATGCACTTCCTAACGCACGAATTTGTGCGCGACAATGCACGATTTCCTGCATACTTGCGCACGAAATCGTGCACTATCGCGCACAAATTCGTGCGTTACGAAGTGCATGTACAATTTCGTGCATTAGCGCGCAGAAAAACCTACATAGTAATTTAGTGTGTGAGCATTTAGAGTAGGAGTAGGATTAAAAATCAATTAATCGCTTCTGTCCACTCACAGACCAGCTCCTGACCGGCGGCCGCGCTCTGACTGAGGAGACGCACACCGCCCCCGACGGCATCTACCTGCTGCAGACCGACCGCAACGGCGTCGAGACCGGCCGGCTGCACGTCGCCAACGCCCAGTCTCAGGCCGAGGCCGCCGGCTTCGACGAGCAGGCCTGTTTCCCCGGCATGGGTACGTGTCGACCCGATCTTTTGCAGTGGACTGCCTTACAATACCATGAAATTTGAGCCATGTTACCGTACATGTCTTGCACCTGCATCTGATTTCAAACGTACACTTCGTGCAAGTCCATATCCCCTCGGCCCAGCCTAACACGCGCGTCCTCTTGCAGGCAAACACTACTTCCAGAACCTCAAGAAGGACGGCACCTGCGAGGCCCACCGCCCCTACTTCCTGCTGTTCGGACCCAAGAGCAAGGAGCTCCAGGGCTTCGGTTTCGTCCAGTACGGCAAGGTTAGCCAGGGCCGCGGCTGGTTCGAGACTCCCCCGGCAGTCGTCTCCAAGGTACGTGCCTCGCCTACACTGCAAACCCAACAGTCCTAAGTACACATATATGTTTGCTAGCGAAAGTTCACACTAACAATCGTATACTTGGTGACGTCCGTACCTACAAATGCATACTTGGCCACAATTTCATATGCCTAGCATTGGGTTATGGGACCAAGCATGCATGCATTCGTAACGGTGTACTAGGGAAGACAGTTGGGTTTGTAGCGTATCTGAGACTTTCTTGTCCGAGAGTGCTGTTCGACAGAACTGGAACATTCTGACTCCATTGCAGATCATCGCCCCGAAGTCCCCCGACTGCCTGACGAAGTGGATTAAGAAGTACGGCGTGTTCTCCATCCACGTTTACTTCGTGGAGAAGCCCTGGTACACCCGCTGCTGGTAGTCGCGCTGCGAACGTGGAATAAATGGCGATGACTATTTACCTCGTTGTCTTCCTAATGCCGAGGGCAGTAACGCACCCCACGCCAAACAATGGCGTCACGAAACGGACTTTCTCAGAGCAAGCCTCATTTTTGGGCCATCTTTGCGTGGGCCGCACTAGTGCTGCCAGAAATGCATAGGGTGAGGGTGGGGAAGATTCAAACACTGCAGGAGCGGGGGGAAATCGCATACCCCTATTGTAGACTGGATTGTCTCGCTTCGAAACCAGCAAACCCTCCCTGTAATTGGTACGTTACAAAATCCCGTAATAGCTTTAGAAAGTTTTAAAATAAGGGAATCCAGTCTCTAAGTAGGATGTGCGATGCCTACCCCTAAGGCGTTTGATTCTTTGTCTCACTGTCCCAAAAGGAGGCTTTCACATGCATAGGAATAGGCGGGAAATTTCCTTAAAGGAAATTTCTTCGTAAGTGTAAATTTGTGCAGTTTCACACACAATATTATGCGAATTCCAAGTATGGACAAGGTTTTACAAGTTACACGAACAAAACTCTACATTAACATTTAGCGTGTAGATACGACTGCATCATTTATTTTCAGGGTTCGTAGGGCGACTCGCGATGTAGCTTGCGATCTCTGGTTGAGATTCAACTTTCTTGACAAGTGCCTGAAGCGTAGGGTATGCTTGTAGTAGGTTTGTCTTGGTAACAGCTATGTACCAGTTGAGAGGAGCAGCGAAGAAAATGTCGGCCAAGGTGAGCTAGAAGCAGAAATCAAGTTCCACAATGTCACAAGGTTATCGTACTCAGAAACAGTACTCTGACGGACAAAAGTCCATAACGAACCTTCCCGTTGACGAGGTAGCCACCATTCGCTTTCACGATCTCTTCCAGCTTAGCGAGGCAGAAAGGCACTTGTTCTTTCAAGAGAGGCGCCTCCTTGGAGGCCTTGCTGTCTGGGAGCGGATCGTAGTGCCACGCGCCGATCTCTGAAAACGGTGTTGAACGTCTACACAACAAAATCTACTGTGAACTTAGTAAACATCTACAGGACTGTACTAGGACAAGCACAATCCGTTCATCCATAGTTGATGAGATGAGAGATAAGAAAATACAATTTGTTGGGTTGTAACCCCTTTTTTTGTAGTTTGCTAATGGAAGTTAGAAAATTGCGGTTCACTCAAAAACCAGAGAAGTGTTAATTACTTTTGAAAATGTTTGAAAGACAAAAGAGAAGCAGCTTACTGGAGAACAAATCAGCACAAACGTCGACAACAATGTCGATCTGCAGACTCTCCATGTCGTCCTTCCCGGCAAGACCGTACTGCTTAGCAAGGTACCGGGCAATGGCGGCAGACTGGGCATACTGCTTGCCGTCCACTATTAGAATGGGCATCGTTCCACATGGTGTTTCTAAGGACACGAATTATTATTAGTAAATTTTTGACGGTTATTTAAAAAAATAATAGTAAAACTTAAGTACTTACTACTTTTAGCCTTCTGCCAATCATCTCCCCAGCGCTCATATCGGATATCTTCCCAGTCGGCTTTGCCGTAAGCAAGCAGGAACCGAATGGGCTCGCCCAAGGAAGTGAAGTTGAAGTAGTGCAGCACGTACTTTGGTGCCATAGTTTATGGACCTGAAAACGCAAAAGTACTCCAGAGGTATTAATGAAATGCCCTTGGTGCTCAAAAAGGTCTCATAAGGTCTTACGAAGAAATTTCCCGTAATACGAGGGAAATGGCGCAAATATAATACCAAGGTGGTTTTTCTTCGTATTACGAAGGTTTTTCTTTGTATCTTGCAATGAAAATGGTAAAAAGATTCGTATTACGAAACAACATTGCTTTGTATTGTGCTTGCACCAAATGCACTGTAAAATAGCTCAAACTTCATAGTAAGTCATTCAGAGTGTGGCATATCCATGAGGCATGCGCCACCAACTGCGTGCTGGCTGAGCACACACTTCGAGGCACGGGCAAGTACACGTCTCGAATCGCATGCTAAATCATACGTTTCGAGGAGCGAACTGAGAACACAAAAGTTTTGGGCCTCATTCCCAACAACATCCTAATTTTGTTTTTTGCCAGACAGTGCCCCGGCACAGCCTGGACTCTGGATGATATGTAATGTCGCTTGAGGTATGAAGGGGATAACATTACGGTCACCTCAAAGTCATAAAAGTTTCATCAAAAATTGGTTTAATCTTCATCAAAGCTCCAACATTTATAGCTAGAGCCTAGCAAGAATGCCATCGACAGGTTAGAAAGTATTTTCATGAGGAATATTAGAAGTGAAATCGTCAACACGTGACAACCAACATGCTGAATCCGCAGCAATACTTCAAAATTCACTCACCGTTTAGGCAGTCGGGCGGCAGTGCTGCCTGACTGGCGTGAGACTAACAGTGCAGGAATAGAGAGCAGCTCGGCTTCGTGTAACCGCCCCTCTGGATAGTCAGCCGATAAGATAGCAGAAAGGGGACCTTCCCTAAAAGGATGGATGGTACAAAATAGGCTTATCTGAGCCTTGCCGGGATAAACTATATCGTCTGACCTGACAAGCATGAGTGTTTAAATTAAGTTTGATCATTCGAGACAGATTAGTCCTGAATTCATCGCACCAATTGGTGCTCATCGCACTTAAAGTACAATTGGGCAATTGCACTTATGGTGCCCAAGTATTGCACCATACGTGCTATGTTCATAGCGTTAGGAAATCACAGTGGTATTATATCAGCGCACAACCTTTAAGAGCAGAAAGGTCGAAGATCCCAGCGGTGAGGTGATATCAGAATGAGCGTCCGTGTATTCTTTGATCCTTGATCTGTCCAGCATGACAAGGGAGTGTATTTTCCCATTTTCCTGGCCAATTGTACTCAACTATTTTATGGGCACACCTAGCAGAGCTGCTGTGAATAGAGAGCGTAGATGCGTCCTCCTTCGCTGTCGGCACGGCACTGTCCGCTGACAGCCTGGGCAGTACAAAATACACTCCAGCCGGGCTGTTTGCCTGCCGAGCCATTCCGAAGAGTCGCTCTGACTCTCTCACTCATGCGACACTGTGTGCAAGAGAGACAGTGCGGCGAGCCACTTCTCTGAATCGCTCGGTGGAGCGTCAAGGTCGACGAGTCGAGTTTTGCCATGGTAACAGCCATTTTGACAGCAAAATTCTCAAAACTGGCCATTAACTATTTAATCACATTTCAACATTAGAATCAGCGTTCAAAGTTCTACTAGTTTGTAAAATCTCATTAAAATCCTTTAGAAAAATTCCAAAATGCATAAGGGGCCCACACGAATTGAATCTCGCGCCGGCTGAATCTTGGGGATACTATAAGGCTACTTCGTGCCCACAAATGAGTTTTTGGAATGTTGTGGTAGTGCAGTGTTCATGTTCACTGGTAGCCAACGAATGTGACGTCATACACTGAGAATGAAAGAGTCATGATCATGACTAAAATTTTGGGTGAGGAATTCTTTATTACCCAAATTTGGGCGAGGAAATTTTCCTCGCCCAAATTTGGGTGAGGAAAGTTTCCTCACCCAAATTTGGGTCATAATACTATGGTGCTATATAGGGAGCTGATACACCCTTCCTCACCCAAAATTGGGCGAGGAAGCTTTCCTCGCCCAAATTGGGCAAGGAAACGTTCCTCGCCCAAATTTGGGTGAGAAAGTAAACCTCGCCCAAAATTGGGTATTGATCATGACTTTTTCATTCTCAGTGTATTCGTTCGAATGTGAATTTCGTCACGTTCGTTTGAGTATGATGTCACATTCGTTTGATTGTTGATCCACGTTCAAACGAGTTTGAGACCCTACTTCAACGACCGCGTAACGTTCAAACGAACGAACGTGACAAAATTAACACTTCAACGAATATGACGTCACATTCGTTGGCCACCAGTGTCGCGCCTCCGTCTCCTCCTGACCTGCTCAAGCTGATAACAAGTGCGCGTCTTCCCCCAACCCATTCTCATGAAAAGAGAGAGGGGGAGGGGATGTTGCGCGTCGGGTCGGCGCGTTGCCCCGGCTAGTGCAGGACTGACCGGTACCTATCCAAGACGCACGCGTCTTCGTAGGTCAGGGCAGTGTCCGTGATAGCCACTCAGTGGAGCTCCACCGCGGCGAGCGTCTCGGCCCGTCAACAAGCACTGTAAGAAATAAAATGGGAACCTATCGTAGCACCTCTGGCAAAAAATACTGCCAAGGTCCCTTTGTAAATGCACGAAGATGTTTCTCGTATAACAGACTCTTCATGAACTGACGATGGACCTTCCCGAATTGACAATGTCATTTCATGTACGAAGCATCTTGGAAAATTGCCGAGAATCGTTTCCAATCACCAAGACTCTTCGTGAACTTACGTAGATGCATTCGGCAAGATTTCAGCCCTTCAGCCAGAGCCCAAGGAAAAAAGAGTCGTGATAAAAAGGTCTTCGTGACTTCGTTCAAGTCTGACCTCTCATGAGCTTACACCGTGATGAAAATCCATAGCCTGCCGCTGCCGCACTGACATTTCTATTGTGATAAGTCTCATAACATTAGAAGCGATAGAAAGGCTAATGTGTTTCCCTCAAATAATAGAAGAAGTTTCTTCGGTTTTCGCCCAGATCATTAAAGGCATGCATAGTTGGTGAAGGCAATATGATAACGCCATTCAAACTCTATTGCACTTATAATCCAATGACTTTGCATGTCGCTATTTTAATTGATTTTGAAATGAGTTGATTATTACACTTGGAATAATGGTGTGACCTTGTAGTGATGATTTCCATCCTCCTCTGGAGGTGCCTTTCTAAATTTCAGAGATTCATTTTTACAGTGAAGCAAGCCGGCATGGCAGCCTTGTCCTGGGTGCTGGCGGTGTGCGCGGCGGGGCTGGCCGCGCTGTGGGCCTTGGCGGGGCTGGTGCGGTACGTGCGCTGGCGAGTGTACTGGCACGGCGTGCTGCAGCCCTTCGGCGGGCCGTGCGTGTCACTGCCCCTGATCGGCACGCTGCACTACATCATCGGGCCCATGGACACCATCTTCGGGCGGGGCCGAGAGATCCTCGCCCGGTACAGCGGCGGCCGCTGCCACTACGTGTCCTTCTGGCTGGGCGAGCGGCCCTTCCTGTTCGTCACGCGCCCCGAGGACGTCGAGTGCCTGCTCAGCTCCTGCAAGCACGTCGTCAAGCCCGAGATCGTGTACGGCCTGGTCAGCCGCTTCTTCGGCAGGTGAGTGGAAGGCAGGAAGGTAGGCGGACAAAGTCCCGGACACGTTTTGAGTTCCAGAGTCTCAAATTCAAACGGGGCTCGAACTGAACGTGTGACCTCCACCAATGGATTCCTCGTTTGGAGAGCAATCCATTGGGGTCACAGGCTCGGTTTAAGTCCTGTCCAGCGACTCTGCACCTCAAAACGCGTTTTGATTTTTGGGGCCCACTGTGCGGCTTCGTATCACGGGTCTCGCACGGGTCGGAAATGCCTGCCTTCTCTCCACCTGTAAGAAATAGATTGGGAATTGTCGAAGACTCCTGGAAAAAATGTTGGCTAATAGACCCTTTCAGTCTTCGCCGAGTGAAGAACAAAAGTAATCAAAAATCCAGGAACCACTAGGAACGTTCCTACTGGTTCCTGGCTTTTTGATTACTTTTGTTCTTCACTCGGCGAAGACTGAAAGGGTCTATTGCCGCATTGTCAATTTACGTTCAATCTTCGTAAAATCCCAAGAATCTTCGTGAATTTGCGATGAATGTTCGTGGCTTTACGAACAGTCTTCGCAAATTACCGAAACCCTTCGAGGTACATTCAGCAACATTTTACCAGAAGTACCTTTGCAGTCCCAAGATTTTTCTAGAGCCTGAGATTTCAGTATAAACGTGGTTCTGCCATTAATGAAAATTTGTCGGTGCGATCGAAATTATTTCTTCTCTCAGATAACACCAGTCTTACTCGTGTGCTGTAATGGCTGTGGCAACGCGTTACGCCGCTGCTCTATCGCCCGATCTGCGTGGCACACAGTGTGGCAGCAGGGGTTAATCGTCCGCTTCCGCACTCTCAGACTCGTACACACCAAATATTATATACAATTTTGTACGAAGTAATTTATCGGCATGATGATAGGTTTGTGTCGTACAGTACTTAGAATCAGCTTGGTATTATAACTGCTCGGCATTTCTTAGTACACAGGGAGAAAAAAGGATAGAAAAAGTATGGAACCTGGTCAACCATTAGCCTGGACCGCCCGTACTTGCCAAAGACGGAATTTCTGTACCTTTTTTCCGCTCCCGTTCATGAGCCCATAAGGAACTTGTACAGACGTTCCTTTCTTCCATATCTTCTTCCGTCCATTTTTTACAGTGTAGGAAATTGGACGTTGGAAGGGTCCGGCATGGCTACTACCGATGGAGCGCCTGAGAGCTAAGGCAACCCACCCGCTAGCCGCGCTGGCTGGCTTGCCGGCGACAAAGACGGCGTGCGTCGACCCTGGCACGCGGGAAGATAGCGCGTCGCTCAGTGCGTACAGTACAGCTTGGCGATGGGGAGGGCATCTCAGAGGCATTGACCACTGTGACCTGGGCACTGCGTCTATGACACTTCCCCAACCCATTTGTCGATTATTAATAGATTCGTCTTTGAAGCAGCAACAAAGTAAGCGAGAGGTCTTTCCACCCACACATAACAACGGGCACAGTCGCTGATTCCCGGCATAGTATTTCTATGAGAGTCTGTGGAGTCTCACAGGTTCAAACACGACTGGAAAGCTATCGTAGGATCTGAAATTAGTGTCACTTCATCAAGAACATAGAAAACCAATTTGTGATACATCTTGCTCTCTGAGGGGTGAGACAGAACTGTCTCACCGAAAAAGGGTGATACTGAAATGTATCTCCGAAAAAAAGGTCGCACACAAATGTATCACCGAAAAACAGTGATATACTTCTAGGAAAACTAGAGTCAATTTCGCTGATGTCTGACCTTTTCTTCTTGTGTACGACACAGGTACGACCTTTTTGTCGGGGATACATTGGCGTACGATTTTTTTTCGGTGATACTTTTGTGTTCGACCTTGTTTTCGGTGATCCGTCGAAAATTGGTGAGATGTCTCACCCTTTGAATTTCAGTAAAGGCTGAATAAAGTACTGTTTTTTTTTTCCTTTTTTGTGTGGATTGAGAGAGTTGATTTCTTTCATACCAATACTTTTTGAGGTCCAAACAGAAAGTTGGGAAAAAATTGAAAAAACGTGAAAAAAGTGCTACTGCTTACTTTAACCCTATAAACTAGAACTCGTTTTCCAATTTGAGGTCGCTCTTCAGCAATATTTTGGTCTGCGAGTGCTAACTGAAAATGATCGTTCAAAAATCTTGAAATCTCCTTTAACAATATATATTTTTTTTCAGTGAAAGAACCTCTGTAAATTCCGGAGATTCATTTTACCAGTGTTGCAGGGGCCTCATCACGATCAACGGTGACGAATGGCGGCACCACCGCCGCGTCCTGACGCCCGCCTTCCACTTCGCCGTGCTCGAGAAGTACTCGGGCATCTTCACACGCCGCGCCGCGCACTTCGCGGCCCAGCTGACGCGCGACGGCCCCTCGGCCTCGGGGGAGAGCTTCGACTTCATGCCGCTCGCCAGCACCTTCGTCACGGACACTGTCCTGGAGACGGCCTTCGGCCTCCAGGGTGGCGAGGAGCACGACGCCGTCGGCCGCAGGGAGTTCATCCACGCCACGCAGAACGCCTTCCAGGTACAGTCTGCAGACTCACTTCGCGTGGCGTCTCGGCCGAGGGGCAGGCGCGTATACAGGGGGGGGCGGGGGGAAGAGATGGGGATGGGGTTTTTGCCCCCCCCCCCCCCCCAAGCCCTTAGATAGCCGCCTGAAAGGTAGGCAAACAGTGCTACTTTGCCCCTGTAAGTAGGCAAAAAGTGCGTACTTTTAACATGTACGGGAAGGACCGAAGACGCTGACATGCATACATGCCTATGCATGTATCACCACTTCACCTATGTTGGACAATGCACCTGACTTTTAACTCGGCTGCGCAGATCATTGCCGATCGCATCATCAAGCCTTGGCTCATGGTGGAGTCCCTGTTCCGGCTGTCTCCGCAGAGCAAGGTGCAGGACGAGTCGGACCGCGTCATCAACAAGTACGCCCAGCTCGTCATCGACCTCAAGCGGCGTCAGATCGGTGAGCACACGCTAAGTGTTTTGCACGTGGTGTTGTATGATTTTAAGACATGTCTTGCAGCATAAACGTGGAATTTGCGCTCTTACTCCACTGGCACTTAAACCTCAACTGTATGCTTAAGAATAATGTTGTGCGCGAAAACAGTTATTCTTCAAATGAAGAATAGTCCAGACCCCCGCTCCCCCCATCCCGATAGGGATAAATCTGGGAGAATGAGCCTGTGTTACGCTTTATTTCAAGCGGAAACTGGTTATGCTTCAAAATCGAGGGTCACAGTACTGTGGTTTATGGTTAAGTTCTGCCAGTGTGTTACTGTCACGACTGGCTTTCCCTGCAGAGGAGCAGCGACGCGGCGCCGCGACGGACGCCGCTGACATCACCGATGATGACGAGGACGGAGTCAGGAGGAAACTGACCTTCCTGGACCTGGTGCTGGGGCAGCAACAGGACGTCCTGTCTGACCAGGAGATCCTCAATGAGGTGAGCTCGAGTGAAACTCACAAACTTGTTGAGAAGATGGGCTCAGATGGTGTACAGTGTGCTCTGCAGCTTATTGTGATCATCGCTCTAGTGTAAATTCGATTATGCACGAGAATCGATATCTCGAGATATCGCGATGCATCCACTGAGAATGAAAAAGTCATGATCAATACCCAATTTTGGGCGAGGTTTACTTTCTCACCCAAATTTGGGCGAGGAAGGGTGTATCAGCTCCCTATATAGCACCATAGTATTATGACCCAAATTTGGGTGAGGAAACTTTCCTCACCCAAATTTGGGCGAGGAAAATTTCCTCGCCCAAATTTGGGTAATAAAGAATTCCTCACCCAAAATTTTAGTCATGATCATGACTCTTTCATTCTCAGTGTCGATGTTCCCTGCCTGAGAGGAGAACCAACCGGAAGCGTTCGTTAAAAGGCAAAATTACAAATCGTCAGAGGACAATTCATGTAACGATCAGCGACTGACACATCAATCTAGCTTTGTAAAGAACGAGTCCCTCCCATGTGATATCAATTCTTTGATGTCTTTCCTTCTTGTTTGCAATATTCTGATTTATATTGTAGAAATAAGCGATGATTGTTCCGTTACACAAAATTCATTGCATCTGAGGAGCAATAGATTCGTGGGAGTCACATTCTGGATAATATCACACCTTTTGTGCAACTTATATAACAGTGCACTCAAGTGGACTTGAAAACCTGTTTGAGGGTAGCGTACCCTCCAGGTGCTAGCCCTGACTTTCCCCCGACCTGCAAGGTCGGTTCTTGTTGCCCAGTTCCCAGTTGCTCGATGCCAAGTGGTTCAATGTGCACAAATTGGAATTGCATAAAATCCGCTGTATGATATAATCTGGGAATGAACCAAGGTACCTCTGAGGGAAAAAAGTTAGTGAAGGTTAATGAAGGGAAACACACTGTTTGCTTTCAAACAAGGAGCGGATCACGAATTGACGAAAGTTCCTTTGGCAACATTTTCTGCCAGTAGTCTTCAGCAAAATATAGGGAGGTTTCTGTTTCACAGAGTTGCTCTTGCAGGTGCGCACCCTGATCGCGGTGCAGCAGACGTCCGCGTCGACGCTCAGCTTCATCGCGGTGTGCTTGGCCTTGCACCCGGACGTGCAGCAGCGCGCGCGAGAGGAGGTGCTCTCCGTCGACGCGGAGGAGGGCCTGACGCCGCTGGAGCGGCTCAACCGCCTCAAGTACGTGGAGCGGGTCATCAAGGAGACCCTCAGGCTGTACCCCATCACGCCCCTCTTGGCCAGGTCGCTGAGCGAGGAGCTGGTGCTGACCAACGCGCTCACCGCCAAAGGGTGAGTCCGTGGCCGGCGCAGCATGTTTCCAAGGAGGTGGTGTCGTCAAATTCGGTTACTTGCGCGCATGCTTAAAACCGTACGGTGTATTTTGAGCATGTGTAAGGTAGAAACTTTTAAGTTTGTAATACGAAGATATTGTTCGTAAATTACGAACTATGTCCTTGGAAGCTTACGTATGCTCAAAAATACTTTGTTATATAAAGCCACTTTATTTCCTAAGGCTTAAATAGTGTACAGCGTGCCGACATAGAAGTGCTTTTCGTACGTCTTCCAGCTAGTGCATGCTCGGCAGGCATGCGCTAGGCAGAGCGTGCTTTCACGCATGTTCCAGCCAGCCATACAGTGAAAACTTGTTGTCACTCGAAAATGGTGTGGATTTAGGACGGACGTTCGAGAAAAAGGCGCTTTTTACATCATATGCAGTGAGGATAGTTCTGAATTGACAGTGGCGGTTAGGATCAAAATCAAGTGCGACCAAATTTTTGTGGAGCTTTGGATTCGTAGATTATTTGATGCGGCCCAGTCTCAGGATCTTCCCTGTTCCCCGCAGGCCGGGCCCCGCCACGCTGCCGGCGGGTCTGGCCGTCACGCTGTTCGTCTTCCAGACGCACCGCGACCCCAAGCACTGGCCGCAGCCGGAGCGCTTCGACCCGGACCGCTTCCTGCCCGAGCGCAGCGTGGGCCGCCACCCCTACGCCTACGTACCCTTCAGGTGGGGAACACCCATTTGAGCTATTTTTCAAAGTGTCTATATGTAGTTTACAATTTTATGGTTTATTTATTCATACCCGAGAAACAGACAAGGATCATTATGACGTCAAAGTAAGCTAAAATTGGTCAAATTATGTCAAGCTCGCTTCATCAACCCTCATAACCCGCGAATTTGATTATATTTTGTGTCAAATTTTCATTAGACACCATTTTTATTTGACGTGCAGTTGATGTCAAGAATCGCTAACTTTGACCGTGGCAGTGAAGTAATGTCAACATCATTTGTCATGATGGTGACCTTTCCGTCTTCCTTGTAGCAGTCATGTTTTCATTTAAAACGCATACCTACCTCAAAGTGATCAATTTTGTCTTGAGATATATTCCTTTTGAGTGTGAAACTTAGCCAAGTACTTATAAAGTACCTATTAAAATCAAAAGCAACTCTGTTAACGTTCGGTGCACACGTTTTCTAGAGTGGTAATGGAGCCATAGATCCAGTGTGTTCTCTGGGTATAAGATACTTAATACATGTTCCCTCTTTACCTTGTCGTCTAGTCTTTTTGGAATAGATTCCCCGTTTGGCTGGAAATGAGTCAGAAAAGCGAAAATAAAAAGTCAAAACCCCATTTAATCTTCTTTTTTTCTTTCACGTAGCGCGGGTCCGCGCAACTGCATCGGCCAGCGCTACGCCATGCTACAGATGAAGGCCGTGGTGGCGGCCCTGCTGCGCACCGCGGTGCTCAGCCCGGGCAACGGCTGCGAGAAGCAGGATGAGCTGGACCTCAACACCAACACGTTCCTCTACATCAAGGGCGGCTTCAACGTCAAGCTCAGGAGGCTGCGCGAGCACGGCTGCTAGGTGTGGCCGCCGCGGTGCCGCGGTCAAGGAAGGTGTACGCCAGACCGTGTCTTGTCACAGGCTTCGGGATGCTACGCCAGGTACGACAGTCCACGCCTGGCGTTCGCACCTATCTTTGGCCTGCGGCGCTTCCTGCTTGCCTTCGGCAAGCCGTCACAGAATTTTATGTTGAAGCAATGAATGGAGCACTCCGTGATGAAGAATTCAATAAGGGTTCATGATCGAAAATAGCAATATTTGACTTGCAACAGCAACTCATTGCAACCGAGGCCCTGCAATGGCGCAAGACGAGTCCGTGGCACCCATTGCCACGACTCAAAAAGTTGGGCTCGAGGACCCCTTTTCCGACCCCTCGTTCAAAGGGCTTGCCGAGACCTGCCAGCGAATTTATGATAATATTAGCGTATTTTGGTTCAAATTTGGACACTATACACAAATTTGCGACGCCCCAACGGTGAAAGGGGGGCGGGGATGTTCCATTTCAGGGGGGCGTTGGCCCCTCCTGCACCCCACCGTCGATGAAACCAGGAACCGTTGTTGCCGTGTATACCTCGTGTTACCATCGTTAATTCTAACAATTGCAAACATGCGTCTGGTAATGACTTGAAGTCAGTAAGGCAGCACAGCACACAGAAGTGTGTACTTCTTATTGTTGTGTGTTACAATGTTGGTACCTACTAGCGCCATCTACCGACTACACCTGTAACCCTTTCCACTCTGTTCTCTGTAATCCTCATTCATCTGGAAATCATTAAAGAGTTAACATCACAGATCTCGCTCTCTCTCTAAATGAGTAAATCAAAGAACCATCAATACCAATCTACAAAGCTTCTGTTAAGAGGTACATACAGAATTCTGTCTAACGAAGCTTTCCTTTGAATAATAAATAACGCAGTGCAGGATTATATTACAATACAAATCTCTAAAAATGTTTCGTACGACCAACTGCACCGTGTTTCCTAATAATCCAAAAGTAAGTTCTGTAATGTAAGGCGCGTGCCCCGTGCAGGCTTTTGTTTATTAAGACAAAGAAAAATCCTTAGCACATCCGTTTGAGTGTGAGAGAGTGCCCCATGCTTCCATGCTTGTCTTTCTTTTGGGTTTCCTTTTTCGTCTGGCCGTTTTGCCGCGACGGCGTGCCGCGGTTGCGGACGTGGCTGGTCGAGGCGTTGGGGTGCAGCAGCGTTCGTGCAGCAGCATCAAGAAGGCGGAGACGAGGCCGAGGAGGAGCAGGGCGTGCGCGGGGAAGATGGGGTCCAGCCCCACGGCCGTCAAGGCCCTCCTCGCCCCTTTGCAGGACGGCTTCGGCGCGGACCACCGCCTCCTGTTGCGATCGCGCAGGCCCCGCTCCAGCATCAGGACGTACCTGTCGGCACGGTAGTCCCGGGTAAAATTCCAAAGAAGCTCTGGCCCGGTAGAACAAAACAGGGACAGTTTTTATGGGAAATTGACGTGTCCACACGGTAAAAACTGTTCCTGGTTTTCCCAGGAACTCCCTGGAAATCGCCTATGCCTTCACCATTGGCTTCCTGGGAAAACCAGGTTCCGTTTATAACCGTGCGAGGGACGAGAACGCCGTTCCAGACGCATAACTTTTATGGATTTGGTATACCAGCGAGGCAGTTGAAAGATAAGCGCAAGAATACTGCAAATCTAAGTGCGGGAAAGTCTCGCACTATGTGGTGTAAGTCACACCAATGTCTCTTACAGTCTGTCCATTGCCACTGTCCCAAATATAGTCAGGACACACTTCGATTTCCATCGTGCTGAGGTGCCCCCCTTACCCCCGGCTGAAGAGCTCTTTGAAGGGAGACTCCTTGGGGATGGGCGCTGCGTTGCCGTTGCCGGCAGCCAGCTCCACTTCGGACAGGCTGCACTTCTCCTCGACGCTGAACGTGTTCTCGATGGGCGGGTAGAGGGTCGACGCCTCCGAGCCGAAGGCGAAGCCACCGCGCCGCACGCGGACCACGCCCTCGGCCGCCGAGAAGAAGGCGCCCTCGGGCCGGTCCTTCCAGGCGGGGAGGATCTTGCGCTTGTACATGCCGGACGTCAGCGGGTCGGTGGAGTTCTGGACATGGTAAGGTTAGGTTTTTCATCGAGACTTTCAAAACGTGTTGGCGTACACTCAAATGCCAAAGCACTTTTCGTCCAGAACTATTGCCATGTGGAAATGGAAGTTATGTACAAATTTGTGCAGAAAATGGCTACCATTTCACTTATACTTCAGCTCGACATGGACATGTTGTCCCTAATTTATGTCTTACGAAGGAGTTTCTCATACTGCGAAGGACATGGTGCAAGCATAATACGAAGATAATAGTTTCCCTTTGTATTACGAAGGTTTTTCTCTGTATCTTGCAATGAAAATACTCGTTCGTGTTACGAAGAAATATTGCTTGGCAGTGTGCTTGCGCCGAATTCACTGGAACATTGCTTATATTTCCATTGTAAGGCGTGTGCATGGCAGCCATAGGCAATCGTAATGGACAAACGTACACTTCGTGTGTAAACACACCTGAAACACGGCCCTGTTGTACACGAACTCCTCGAGGCCCACTGTGAGCGGGCTGCTCATCAGGTCCTGAACGGAGCGGATAGTCCGGGGGATGGGCTTCAGCAGCGTGGAGACGATGGCCGAGGTGTAGAAGCTCTGCAGCATGATGCCCAGCAACATGCTCACCAGAAGGAGGCACCGACCCGACACCAGTCGGCTGCCCAGCACGCTGCCTGCAACGGATGGCGATCAGAGTTTCGCGGAGTCACGAAGCCGCAATGACATAGCAACTGGACGCACACAGTTATAAGGCTATACACCACTAATTTGAGCGCAATTTGAGCGCTCAAATGGTCATAGGTGCATCGTTTGAGCGTCAAAACTAAAGCCTCCGTCGTAGACACGGTCGCGGCTTGTCGGAGGACAAGCTCCAGCTAGGAAGTAAAGCCCTCCAATGAAAAAATTTGTTGAAACTTAATGACAAAATTGTGGATATCATTTTCATCACTTGCAAAATTTGCAAGTGATTTAATTATGACAATGTAGTTTTATCGACGCTCTTACACTTACTGCGTGCATGAGCGTGACATATGACATCCAATGCTTTGATGATGTCCTTCGAAGGAATTATCCTTGAAATCGGCATCAAGTAACAACCAAAATTTTCAATGTCAGTAATTTTTTTTCACGTGGCCTGCTGTTTTCTAGCCCCAAGGCTTTTCGTTTCCGTCTCGGCACTTCCGAACTAGAGACTTAAGGACTCTATTCGGGCCCTGACGACGCCACCCCTTGCGACGTCCCGCGGACCTGCGGTTGGGAGCAGCCCTGAGCCAAGCAGGGGCCCATCACGAAAACTTTACTGTGCATAGCTTCCGCAAAGAGAACTAAAAATAGCACTTGAAGTTTGTTCCTACGCGTCTATTTTTAGACCGCCTGCTCACCCACACAGCTGAAGACGGAATCAGAGTCATCCGGGAACCCAGCGGCAATGTGGTCTGCCTCACGTCATAATGTTTGGCTCGCGATTGCCGTCGGTGACGCATCGCCTTGGAGAGGCTCGCCGAAGCAGTGGGAAAGCGCCAGTTCCCCACACTTGGAAGCGCAGAGTTTGCAGTCTCCGCACTTCAAGTGTGATGAAGCTCCCAGAGCCCCCACCTCTCGGCATGGTGCAAACGTGGAGAACTCCACACTTGAAGCGTAGGGACTTGCACTCTGCCGTTCCAAGGTGACTGCAAATTTCGCAGTGTATTGGCTTATCTACGGTTAGATAAGGCTCGTCAATGTTTCAGCACCGGCCCGTGCTGGTTATAACAAGCAGACTGGACGCTCGCACTGGTCGGCATCGACGTTTAAAGCCCTTGGACAGCTGACTGTTGACCGTGAAGCGTAGAAATACGCACATCTTACAGACATCTGCTACACCAGAGTCATCGGGAGAACACACTTCAAATCCTGTTGTTCGGCCACAGTGCGGTAAGTACCTTCGTAAATGTATGGGCGATTCCGCGCGTACAGTATAAACCTGCCTACTTTAGTACACACATACTCATGCATGCTTGGTGTCGTATTAGCTTGCTACGCATATGCATTTGTCTGTGTGTACTTCCCAAGAAAAATGCAGCAGGTGTGTACTTGGCGAAATATGCGTTTTTACGTCAGTACAAGCATGCATTTGTAAGTGAGTACGTAGTTAAGTGAGTACGTAGTTAACAGTTGGTGTGTTCCTTTTGTGTCCCCACCCCAGAGCAAACAAATGCGAGTGAAGTCCATTTCTGCACTCACGAATCTTGTTCAGCTGTAGACTCGTTCCCCAAAGTATAAGGAGTTGAAAAGTAATAATTTGACTCAAGGTGAGGCTTGAAAAGGTTCGTTTTTTAAGTTCTTCCATGTCCATTTGCCCCATACACGAATCTGCGGCTCTGTATCTGTAATCTGCTGTAAATTGTTAAACATTCTACCTATTTTCTTGTTTTCAGAACGTGTGCTGCATCCGTGAACTTCCAAGCGTAACGTCAAAATGACACACAATGATGCGGGTTGCCTTTTATGCCTTCTGTGCCTCGGACTGTGCTCTTGTTGCATGGTAAGTTCACATCATTCTTTCCAGCATGATTCGCGCGCGAAGGCTATGTCGAGGGGTCCTATTCAAAAGATCTTATCTGGGCGTTCCCCCCAAGACAATCTTATCTTAAACGCAGGTGAATTTCACATAGTTTGATCATTTGATACAGCTACATATCAATGAAATTTGTGAGTATGTTCAAGTAAATCTAAAGATGGAAGATGACAGAAACCAAAAGTGCATGTGGAAATATGTGGAATACAGTGGTCTAGCAAAATTCCTATACATGTATAGGAAATACCAATATTCCGATACATGCATAGGAATTTTCCGATTTGCATAGGTTTTTTGCTATACGGACCGAAAATGTATAGGAAAATTCCTATACGTGTGTAGCAACTGCCATAAGTCCTATTCATGTATAGGAATTTTGCAATACGTGTATAGCAATAGGGCCAACTGATCAGGAGAGCTTTGTTAGAAAATGTTAAAACTACGATTGAAATCCTTGTGACCTGTTCAAATATTGGTAATCAATGCGAGTATTAATTCACATGTGACAAAAGTCGCGAAGCTGCTTCTTTGCCGATAATCCGGATTATCCGCTAGATGGCGCTAGTGTCGTTTTCACGGACTTACTTCTCGGTGGGTGCTGCGGTTGGGAATTTCGTTGGGTGACGAGGCAGGCGCTCTCCCGATATGAAAGGAAGTCGCACAACGTTCCGACTTTAACCACAATTTTTGACTAAGACTTGTCCTCGCTCGTTTGAAGAGGACAGTTGGAGGCGTCGGACTACGCCACATTGGTGAACCGTCTCACCGAACGACAGGCATTACGAGTTACCAGCGAGAACTTTGACCTTCGCGTACAATATCTGCCACGATTCAGTCTCGCGGCCTGCCTGATTTGCATTTTTTTCCCTCCATCGGAGAAATTCTACACATGCATTGAAATTTTGCAATACCGATGTATAGGAAAAATCCTGTACAACAGATAGGACAACGCCTATACACGTATGGTCATAATGCCATACCGATGTATAGGAAAATTGCCATACACGTGTGTGGTAATATTCCTATACATGTATATGTGAATTGTTTCACATACATGTATAGGAATTTGACTACAAAAATTTTTTACAGTGTATATTTCGCTTACCGTCGTATTTATTCTGACGATTCAAAATGAGTGAAATTTGCAGGCCTTTAAGATAAGACTGTCTTGGGAGGAACGCCCAGATAAGATCTTTTGAATAGGACCCCTCGATGTCATCAAACTCTTACGTAACTGGAAATGTTGCGATACCGATTGTCGAGCTAGTCACGTAGAGTCACGCCCTTTTCATTTTTCGAGATAGGAATGCCATGTAAAAAAAACATTACGGAAATGAAGTTTCAAAATTTTGAAGAAACATGACTGTACGGGGGCGAGGAGCTGTTCATGGTCACATGTAATACCATTTTAAAACTCACCAATACAATACGCAGAAATCCATCGCCAATATTTGAATTATTAAAATTCTGCAAGGGATGGTGGTGCACCTGGTTTCACTTGAACGCCTGCGGCTATTGCACGCTTGCACGGCTAACAAAGTTAGGCGTGACTAGCTACAATTACAGTATACTGGCATGACAGAGGCGGTAAGAGTGGGGCAAAAGTTAACTTTTCTCCTCTGACCCGCAGGAAATGCAGCAAGAGATAGAGAGAGATGCGAAGACCAAGAAGATGCAGAAGCAAGTGGACGAGCTCGTCGCGTACAAGGTGAGAACCGAGCAGGAAGCGGCGGAGCGGCGCGCGGCGGAGCGGCGAGCGGCGGCGGAAGTAGTGTCAGCGCAGCCCCGGGTAGACGTCGCCCAGGCCATGCCCCCGCCCCCTTACAGCCCCCGCGAGGCGCCCCCCTACGACTCGGATATTCAGCCCTACTACGAGTACGAACGCACCAGCGCACCCTCAGCCCCACCCGCGCCCGCGCCAGAAAAACTGCAAGAGAAGGATACAAAGACCATGTCCTAAAGGAGGTGTTGAAGAGAATGAGAAATTGCTAGCGGAGGTGGAGGAACCCGTTCTCCATCGAGGGACAATAACTGTCTTCTGTGAATGGCCTCAAAAAGCGTTACGTATTTTATGGATGGCCTCCAAGGTGTTTCGGTCTCGCTGGCTAACCTTACCTGACTGTGTCTCTGACGCTTTTGCTTTGGACAATAATTACAAATTCTGATGCGTGTGCGCATGTTTTTTCTTGCACTGACAAGTCTCTAAAGTACAAAGTATTTTCCTCTTTCGCGAGCTGGAGCGAATCGTTACAGACGAATAGGGTGCAGTGTTGTCCGGATTCCGTGGCACGGATTCCGTCGCTAGTGTGCAGAATGGGTTTGCCGTTGGCAGTTTTGATGCAAAAACCACCACGGATCTATTTACCTATCGGTTTCTGCGATTCGGGGCTCTCCGACCACAACTGATTCTACAATTTAGATTAACTGTGCATGATTTAAGGGGCATTTTTGATCATAAATGTATTTTACATTTTTAATAAAGGAAACAATTTTAGAGCAATGTTTGAAAAGAGAAGTCTCCCCTGAACCTCGTAACGCGTCTTACTTACACCCAAATGATTGTTGATACATTCACCCGTTTTCTTGCTTTGGTTTTGGGGGGGAACACTCAGCCTTTTACTAACTGCTATTGAGACCTATTTCTTTTAGCAACCATGATAATAAGTATTTTCCTAAGTAGTAATTAGAAATTGCTAGTTACTGTACTTATTTTTGTGTTTTAAATGAATTAAAAAGAAATTTATAGGTATTTAACAAGGAAACACTAGGTATTATAGTAGATGCTTTCACAGTGCGTCTGCCAATGAGAAGCACCCAGTAAAGGGCTAAGAGTGAGTGCCTGCACACTGAATACATTCATTCCAGGGGCGTGACATCAAAACGAGCGTGAAAAAAATGCCACGCTACGTCTTGAGAGCACTGTGTCACATTTGTTCGAATGTGAATAGCTCCGTTCACACGAACGTGACACAATGCTTAAACAAGCGTGACATGTATGTGCACAGTAAATGTCTTTCGGTGAAAGGCTGCACCAACATAATATGGTGGAGATTTTCTCCATAATACCAACGAAATTCGTCAAAATCTCTATAAGGTGCAGTGAATTCTCAATGGTATGTTACGAAGTGAGCTGCACCACCATAATATGGAACATTTTCATCATAATGTGGAGAATCTTCACTGTACAACATTTAGAGTGTGACGCCCCTGTGATACCTTGCTGGCTGAGGATGCCGACCACCACCACGGCGGCCTCGGCGTAGTTCCCGCTGCCCCCAGCCTCGCAGCGCCGCACCGCCGCCAGGAGCACCACGGCCACCGCCGCCACCGCGGCCACCGCCAGCCACGACGACGTGGCGAAGGGCTCGGCCAGCGCCTTGTACGGCATCAGCATTTGCGGGTGTCGGAACACGAAGCACAGCCTGCCTTGCGACAAGGCGCGCTTAAAATCCATCACCACAATCTCAATACCTTACAAACTAGTGGTAAAGGAAGGACCAAACTAAGACTTGGCTAAAATAAAAGTTTTGTAGCTCGTCTAATACGTTTTCAGTGGCTAAAAGAAAACATCCGAACCAATGTGCCCCACTCTCCCCTACAGCTTGCAAGCCTAGCACTCTCTGTGCTTTAAAGTGTGGACCAAAATTTCTCACATTTCAAAGCGTGGATCAAGCTACACCCTAGTCCACGATTAAAGCGTAGACCTGGCGAGAGGTCCACCTGCTGAGAGGTGTACACACGATAACTAATTCTCAAAAAAAAAACCTCTACAATTTTACTTAGCTGGGAGCATTTTTTGCCTATAATCATACGAAAAACACCCAAACATCGATAGGAACAGCGAAACTATCCAGTTTTGATATGTGGTTATCAGTGATATCTGGACAAGTACACACGATTACCAGAGTGAGGCACCCCTCGGGACCTGGTCCACACTTGGATTAGCAGTGTATAGATGCCACTTGGTTCCCCCTTGAGCCCACCGAAACTGCCAGGTCTGCACAGTGTAGTCCACGGCGTTGAGGCGCGGCAGTGTGAGGATGGCGGGCGTGATGCTGAAGTCGGCCTCCCCGCGCTGCAGCATGCCCAGCATGCCGTCGAAGCTGCCGTCCGCCTGCACGCTGAAGCCCCACGTCGGCGTCACCAACATCTCGTACCTGCGAGCACCGGGGCAAAATTCTTGATAGGAGCTGAAGTGTGTACTGAGTACACAGAAGAAGTACGCAAAGTACGTAAAAAAAGGACAGGACGTCCGTACTTGTCTCAAGAACTCATGTAATCGGGTACGGGAAAAAGGTACAGAAGTTCCGTAGTAGTAGGACAGGTACTGACGAAGCAAATTATTGACTCAGACGTATTCCGTGCTTATTCTGTACTTTTTTCTCGCCTTCGCAAATTCTAACTTTGATGTGTCACCTACGTAAAGTTGTACATCTCCGCCAGGTGGACTGCCAGGCTGTACCCGAAGCGGGATTGCGTGTCCAAGTTGATGTTGCTATTGTCTTCAAGCGCTCGCCGTATCGCGCCTTGATCGCCGTCGACAGTGGAGTGGTGCATCTGGAAAGGTGCGCACGCCATCAGCTCGAAGTGAGACGCGGGAGACTTCAGCAAAGAACGATTCGCCACCACTGGACAGAGGGAGAAGTGCTGGCGGCAATAAACGCAACTCATTACGAGTCTGAGAAAGTACAGAGAAAAAGTGGCTTTATAATATGTTTGCACAATTTTTTTTTGTTTTGTAGAAAAACAGGGCTCGTTTCCTTCGCAAGACTACGAGAGTGTAGGTTCTAATCACCACGACGGCGGCGCGCAGCGTGCTTCCCTGGAGGTCCCAGCGAGCGGACGGCGGGCGCCCTGCCTCCAGGAGCGGTGGAATGCTCAAGCCGCAGTCCCGCCGCCACCAGCCAGCGGGCCGGCGCAGGAGCGGGCCGCCGGGCTGCACCTTGGGGAGAGACGAGAACCGACGGAAGGCTCATAATATTCTAAAACTAAATTATCCAACCAATCCCAATCAAACTTTGCGGGCTCGTGGACTGATCTTACTCTACTCGCGACAGATGTTACCCTACTCTCATCAGATCTTATTCTCAAACCAAATGGTCGCTTCGCTCAGAAAATATGGTGCCGTAAGACATGTAGAGTGTAGGCGAAAAGCTATACCTTGCCCCTGTAAGTCGGTAGTAACAGCCCCCCCCCCCCCTCCCGAAAGCTCGCTTCCGCCACTGTAAAGTGCTACTTTCACCGAGGGTTTGCTAATCTTAGTACCGGTATCCGTCGCCCATAGTCTCAACCTCGGTCTCAACACAAGTGTCAACATTCATTGAGGGACAAACGAGAACTTCCATCACCGTCGTGGTGACCGACCTTGTGCAAGTCCAGCAGGTCCGCCGTCTCCCCATCCTGAGCCGCGCTGGCGAGCGTCAGGTCCACATTGAAGGTGAGGTTGAGCTTCTCTAGCGCGTCGACCGCCGCGGGGTCTGCGCTCCAGAGGAGCCAGGCGGCGCGGACCGTCGGCACTGCAGCCACACTGGCCGCCCCCGGCGCGCAGGACAGGTTGGCGAACACCGCCAGGCCCGAGGCCAGGCCGGCCGCACTCTCCCGGGCCGCCAGCGACGGGCTCAACTGCCACCGGATGGGCCGCGGGCCCGACTGCAGCGCCCGAGCAAGGCCCAGCGACTCTGCACCATTTACTTTGTTTCAGAACTCTGCAGTGAAGTGTAAATGGATCGGCGTGACTTCATGTAGCAGTCTCGTATTGACCTCTTTTACCCGTTTATTACGTGAGTTTTTGAGATTACTAATCTATGTTGTGCTGTGTGCCAGCCAAAATCCCACGATAACCTCAAAATCGGTGCCGGCGCATGCGCCCTTCTCTCGGCTAGGTCTCAGGGAAAGCCCCGTGCCTCTAGGAACATTGTTAGCGCACCCTAGCCCAGCCATGTAACGTAATGTAGACGGAGACAGACCTTCTCCCCTAATCTTAACCCAAGTTGCCCATAGATTGTACTGCGCCAGCATTATTTTTCTCTGTAGTAACGTTGTTACCAAACCTTCACCTATTCGTAAGACATCTGTTGAACACGCATAAAACCTTACGAAGTATTATGAGCTGTACGATGTTGTTAAACGAAGAAATAATTCGTAAATTACGAAGTATTTTCTTTGGAAGCTTATATGTATACTCAAAATACTTTGTTATAACAAGCTGCTTTTCCTTAAATGGCCTAAAATAGTTTCCAAGGTTTTCTCAGTTAATGATTTGTGCTTTATACTGACTGAAATACTGAGATTACATTTGTGTCACCTGAAGGTAAACAACGAGTACCACTTACCTACATCAATAAATTCCTTCTCTAACTTGTTTGTCCACTGTCCAGGCTCGGACTTGCCAAGGCAGGCAGGCAGCAAAATCTGCCGAGGCCTTTCGGGTTTGGGACCAGTGTCACAAAGTTGGTCAAAGAGTCCTAGCATATATAGGACCAAAGTAGACGTTTTCGCTGATTTTGAGCGGCCACTGCGTCCGATCTTATTGCAGCCAACGTCCTCCCTCGACGTCCTAGTATTCTTAAGACCCTACTCTTTCATGCCCTGTATCGGGAAGACGTTGACCACAACGATTTTGGCTTTGACCGCAACGATTTTCCGACCAAGTTGGTCAAAAAGTGATCGAATCTCGGAAATTTGTTGATTTTGCTGACTTTGGGTAGGCACTGTGTCCAATCTAGTAGCCGTAAAAGGCCTCCCTCGACGTCCTAGTATTCTTAAGACTCTACTCTTTCATGCCCTGTATCGGGAAGACGTTGACCACAACGATTTTGGCTCTGACCGCAATGATATTCCGACCAAGTTGGTCAAAAAGTGGTCGAATCTCGGAAATTTGCTGATTTTGCTGACTTTGGGTAGGCACTGTGTCCAATCTAGTAGCCGTAAAAGGCCTTCCTCGACGTCATAGTATTCTTAAGACCCTACTCTTTCATGCCCTGAGTCGGGAAGACGTTGACCACAACGATTTTGGCTCTGACCGCAACGATTTTCCGACCAAGTTGGTCAAAAAGTGGTCGAATCTCGGAAATTTGCTGATTAAGCTGACTTTGGGCGGCCACTGTGTCCAATCTAGTTGCCGTAAAAGGCTTTCCTCGACGCCCCAGTATTCTTAAGACCCTACTCTTTCGTGCCCTGTATCGGGAGGGCTATTGACCGCAACTAGTTTGGGAGCGGTAGCCTCACAAAGTTGGTCATGAAGGGTAAAAACATAATGATGATCGGGGCCTTTTGCGGTCTTATCCGCTGGGGCCTTTTGAGGGGCCAGTCCGAGCCTGCCACTGTCGTTACCAAGAATGGACAAAGGAGTGCGAGATACTTGCCACGATGTGAACAAGTGACTAGAGTCACCCGCCGGACGTCCCTGGTAACGAAAAAGTCTCTGACCAGGGTGTAGGAATTGTGCGTCCTCTTGGACTCCGATCCTTGGCTGCCTATCAAGCCAACAAAGGCATTAGGACAAATTTCGGGTTCGGTATCAGGTATTCGTTAGAATGTGACATGCCAGCGAATTGTCACATTTAAACGAATGTGACGTTCATTTATTGGGTGTCACATTCCTGGCTGTGACAATGAAAAAAGGGAACTATGTGCCACATTCGTTTTGATGCGCCATAATTCAACGTTCAATTCAGCGTGTACTCACAAGTACACTCCAACCAGAGTGTACTCACATGAGTACACACTCCAGTTACTCTGGCAATATATGTAGCTGACTGAGTGTATTTATCTGAGTACACGCTCGCGTCGGAGTGTACTCGTGATCAGACTCTGAAGACAGTGTGCAGGTGAGTACCGGCTAAAGTGAGAGTACTGAGTACACCGTGGAACGACTGTGATGCGCCACTTGGCTTTCGGCCAGTGCTTGCCTTTGTCGTCGCTGCTGGCCGTGGCCGTGCTGGCCGTGGGCGTGCTGGGCCCCGGGCACTGCCCCGCGGACAGCGGCAGCAGCAGCACGAGGAGGATCATGGAGTTGCGCGGGAAGCCCGCCGGCTTTCCGGCCCGCTGCCCGTCGAGCGGCTGTCGAGCGGCTGTCGAGCCCCAACCCTCCGGACGATGTCGTCGCGTCACTCGCACTCATGTATGCCCACGAGGCGGGGAGAGAGAGGGTGAAAGAGGAAATCCTGCACGTGCTTCGCCACAAGCGGCATGGCAAATGAATGGCTACACGGCTCTGCCGTCGAGCAAGGTCGCAAACAAACATACCGTGCACGACCAGTGACGTGGCGGTCACTACGCCGCTTTTCGACGGCACGCGCCCCATCACCATCCATCCCCCCCCCCTCATGGGTGAAGGCGAAAGTGAGCATCGAGCACGTGCACATCTAGGGCTCCTTTTCAAAAGATCTAATCCAGTCGTCTCCCAATGAAAGATCGTACCTGATCGCTTCCGCGCAAAAGAATCTCAAAGACGAAGTGAGTTTACAAAGCTTTAATTTCTTGTATAAAATGTAACAGTATGTATCCGCTTTCAATTAACGTTTTGCTTTTTCCCCCCTAGTTGAAAAATTCAAAATGTCCATCCATAACTTACTCAGTCATTACGCCCATGATGTGAAGCCTGCACACTTCCTTCACAATTTGCTAGAAGGAGAGAGATGAGCTCAAGGAGTGAGATGATTTGGGGATCATCGACGTGCAGACCAAGGCAGAGGATTTAGCTGTTGTTGAGGTTTGTACCACAACTAAACAATCAGTAACAGTCAGCTTCACTTCACTGCTTTCTCAGTCCCTCTAATAACAACAACAACAAGGTGTAAACGCCAGGCGTGAATTGCAGTAACTGGCGCAGCGTCGCGAAGCTTGTTACAAGACGGTCTGGCGTACACCTACCTTGTTTAAACTTCTTCTGATTTCCACTTTATTCTTAATATGGTGCTGAAATCAGATGAATGGATTCATAAGAGATTAGCTTTGTATTTTCACTTCACTGTATCAAAAGCGGTGGCACAACATACCTTGGTGGGACAACTTGTTTACCTTTTGTTTCCAGGCACAGAGCGTATTCAAGAATGAGCCAGTGAACTAGACATTTCCTACCTTCCCTATGATGCCGCATGGGTATCTGTTTCGAACGCGGCCTACTCGTAACAGGCCCCATTGTTCGCATGTGTGTGGCTGTCGGCTGTGAAGCCATTCCAAAGCCATGATGGTCGGTCATGCTCCCGTTCACCGGGATCTCTCTTAGCTCGCCAACAATTTGCGTTTGCCAAACTTCTACAAGATTCAATCGTGTGGTAACGATTGAAACAACTCGTGCGGAACCCTCCACCTCCCATGGCAAAACAAATCCCCCCTCCCGGGCGTGAGGACACGGCTACGGCCTGTACGGCCATGCCACAGCGGTGTGGTGATGTACGGGGCAGTCACGTATGAAGTACGATGAATTTTTATGTGATTTCAACGATAAACCCCCTTCCCCCAGTTCCCCCTTCCAAAGAGACCCGAACCTCAATGAGGACATTCGCAAGATAAGGTGAAAGGCCGTAAAGTGTACGTCTTTCAAAATGCTAATACAGTGGACCCGGTTGGCCTACCCTCGCTCTTGGACGAAGGCGGCTCTTACCGATTACAGTAATAGGAAAATTGCCAATTATTGGAACGACCACATACGTGCATTGCCGGCCATTGCCCCGAGACTTCAAAAGTAATTTGTAACTTTTCCTCAGAAACGAATTGTAATCACCAATCCACGTGGTACATTCACGTCAGATAACGGCGTGACTCACCTACCACGCCGTATTTCGTCGTGGCTTTCCTGTCACGCCGATTTTCGCGAAAATCGGTGTAATATTTTCTCATGCCATAATTAGGCCATGTCGGACCATGCAATTTTCAAAGATGCCACAATCTAAGCGATGAATTGTGTTACGGCTGAGAGTATAAAAAGCCAACGTTTAGCTCTGATCTTATAAATAAACCCCATTTTTTTATAGTTTGGCGGTAGAAGCGATAGACACCCGGGGTGATCGTGACACGATTCACTCCAACGAATGACTGGCAAAACAGACATATAAATCGTCGTCAACCAATTCAACGTCCACCTGTTTCGCGCCTCACCTGTTAGTTTTGTTTCCTGAAGATCACGACATGCCGGACACGACGTATATAAAAGCGGGATGCGGTCACATGTTGATCAGACACGGTTCTTCATTGACAGCTACCATGGAACCGGCCCGACCCTACTTCTTCGTCCTGGCAGTGATGGCTATCATCATTGCTGCTGCGGTAATTTAAGTAACTCACACGTTGTTGCGTCAAACGTGATTTCCCGGGAGGGGGGGGGGGGGTAATGACCTCTAAGAGCGTAACGTATTTTATGGACGGTCCCTTCAGTAACCTTAAATCAACGTTGGAATAACGTTGAACTAACGTCGAAGTAACTTGAATTTAACACTGCAAAGCTGGTGGTAAATTACACACTAAATGTCATGGGACTTTATTTGTCCCACGGTTTATGCAATTTTAAGCACATCCGACGCTGATACAATTTTGTTCCCGTCTGCTGACACATTTTGTCCGGCGCCAGCTGCAACTTGTACTTTCACTAGACAATTTGTTCCGCCTGGCGGACACAAAATTGCATCACCACCGGATGTGCTTAAAATTGTATAAACCGTGGGACAAAAAAAGTCCCATGACATTTAGTGTGTAGTTTGCTTGACACAAAAGGTAAGCCGTTTCAAATGCCAAAAGTCGGCAAGTTCGGCCCGGAAATACTCCCAAGCTCGCAAAAATTTGGCTAAAATTTCGCAAGCTTGTGAAAATACGAGGCCAAAGCTTGTCAAATTTTTGGCATTCAAAACGGCTGGCAAACTTGCCACTGACTTTGCAACGGTATACAATCTATTTCGAAGCAGCGCCCCTCCAGCTCATGTCTTGCGATGCGTCTCGATTTTCAGGGCGATGACCAACAGACTGCTCAGAAGCTGCAAGCAGAGAGCCAGAAGATTGCCGAGGGCGCCACCAAGCAGCTGTTGGCAGCTTTTGCCAAACTGCGATCCGACTACGACGCCACCGAGGCCGCCGAGCTGAAGGCAGCCTCTGCCGCGGTGAAGGCCGCCCTCAGCGCGGGAAGCGCCAAGCTGGCTAAGATGCGGGTGCCGCAGAGGGCAGCACTCCAGGCCTTCGCTCGGAGTATGGGCAAGGAGAGCAGCGAGCTCACCGGCAAATACACCAGCCTCATCAATCTCTACATCAAGGATAAGGTGAGACCGTCGAAAAGGGTCCCTCACTCAGAATTTTGCTGTCCAGAGATTGCTTGATTTTCCTCGGATTGTCCGCGTCTCTGTACGATTTTGTCGCGCTTTATTGCCTGCACCCTCAGTTTGCACGCCTAGAAACTGGGCTTCCGAGTCGCCTGCTCTACTTCTCGGGGTTCACCAATTTTTTGTCACCCAAGGCAATATTTTCTGCAAAGCCCGTGCAATTTTAGACCCTTTGCTGATATTTACTTGCAGCGACAAAAATAATGGGTATTAAAATATCATCTTTGGACTTAGAGTGATATGAGACCTCTTTCTACCTGGGGTGCTTTGTCCTCAGGCCGCCGCCAAAAAGGAGAACAGCATACCCGCCATTCGCAAACTCCGCCAAGGCAAGCAGGCCGCGCTCAAGAAGTGGGAGGAGGACCTCGTGGCCCTCTTCTCCGACATGCGCTCGGCGCTCAGGGCCGCCTACAAGAACGTGGCTTCCTCGGCCGACGTCCAGAAGAGCGTCGACGTGTCCGTGGTCAAACTTGTGGACGCCCTGATCGACTACCAGCACGGCGTGCTGAGCCTCACCACGGCCACCCTGTTCGCCGAGGTGCAGAGCTTTGCGGCCCAGGCCGACACGGCGCTCCTCCACTTGGCCAACCACGCGTACGCCTAGGTCATGCCTAGGTCAACCCCGATGCCCCTGACAATAAAGTCTTTGCTGGCAAAGCCAGCTAATGGTCTCAAAGAGAAGGTCTTGAAAGTTTTAGTAGTCACTATCCCCGGGGGGGTGAAGATCACTGTTATTCAACGAATACTACGAAGCAAAGGTCTTCACACTGATAAAACTATAGCTTAGTATTACGCCTTTCGGGCGATAATTGGTAGGACAAGTGAGGCCACACTCTAAATGTCTTACGAAGAAATTTCCCATAATACGAGGGAAATGGCGCAAGCATAATACGAAGGTGGGTTTTCTTCGTATTACGAAGGTTTTTAGGCGCGAAGTAGCCTTATAGTATACCCAGGGTTCAGCCGGCGGGAGATTCAACTCGCGTGGCCCTTTATGCATTTTGGAAATTTTCTATAGGATTTTAATGAGATTTTGCTGGGGCCCTTAACTTAAGGAATAAATTCATCTAATAGTGGTTGAGTTTTGACCTTGACCTCAAGAAGAACGTCCTGTCGTGACGAATATTTCTAGGACATGCTAGTCACTTTACAGTATCCTAAAATGCGGTGCTAGCGCTGATGATGATTGATGATAAGAGGGTGAACATTCCAAAGTCTGTTACGAACTGCCCCACTCTCCCTTACACCTCGCCCACGCGCTAAAGCAGTAGTTGATACCCCGGGGCAAACGGCATGCCCCATCCACCCCGCCCCACCGGCTCGCTGGGTGACTCATGAGCGTCGCTCCCCCCTCCGCCCCCCACTGCAAAGCTAGGTCGGTGCCACTGGTCCGATGCACGCCGGTTTATCTTGTTGCTGTCAGTGTTGCCGGCGCAACGCGACGCGGTGGTCCGCTGCTGGGCCACTAGGAGACTCGCGCCAGATCTGCGAGGTCCCAGGCCAGAACACATTGCGCAACGACGCAAAAGCCGCGCGCCGCCGCCTCCCTTCCCCTCGCCGGGCGGCGCTCCCCCTCCACCCCCCCACCACCACCACGCGGTGGCATCGACCCAAGGCCGACACAGCTAGCGCGGCTCTGACGCGCCGCCGGCGGTTTCTTTTGCTGTGCTTGCCAGTGCGGCCGGCGCGACGCAGCGGACAACCGTTGTGCAGTGTAGAGGCGTGGCAAGCCAGTCAACACCATCGAGTCGACTGGCGGACGATCACAGCGCAGTGCACTCCGAGCCTGCACGCCTTCATCTGCATCGGAGACGAGCCGTGGCGCCAACCACTGGTGTGTGAGAGTGTGTGTGTGTGTGTGTGAGAGAGAGAGAGGGAGAGAGAAACGGGGGGGAGAGAGTGTGTGTATGTGTGTGTTTAGCGTGGTGCAATACGTTTGAACCGTTTTCATCGCACCAATTGGTGCAATGCTTCCGTACGTGAACTGCTATGCCCCAGGCAACGCGTTCCTCTGCCTTGGCATTGGACATTTTCTGGACGCTTTGCACGTGGCACAACTTAAATGACGACCCTTGTCTTCTTCTGTGCAGGATCTTCTGGAGCGAAGAGCCGCATCGGCATGGCAGGAAGTGAGCCCCCCACGGCAGGGCGCAGCACTGGCGGAAGTGGCAGTGGTAGTGGCAGGTGCGAACCAGGGAAACGCAGAACATGCGTGTTTCATTTCGTTAGGTTTTCTTCTAGCTTTGAAGGAATCATTCAAGACCATTTAAATATAGACATTTTCACTTAACTTATAGAAAGGACAAATATGGTGAGGCCGTAAGTTTCGCCAAGATTTGGTGGGACAAAAATTTCTCGCCACAAAATGGTGAGACTGCCTGACCGCGGTACAGGCTGCCTGCATGGGCCGTTTTGACTGGATTCAAACTTCTGATCACGTTGTGGTCAGACAAAAGCAGGGGTCCTAAACTTACCTCAAAACGGCATCATCACGTTCATCGTAAGAGTTGCATAACCAAAACACAAAACCTTTAAAAAAATTATTTAAATGGGCATTTTATAAGATGGTCAACCTGGCTTAACCTAACGTAGATGTAAGGCCTTAATAGGTCATTCCGCTGGTGGGAAAAGAGGAAGAATAGAAGTACATACTTCCGTCCCCTCGCCTGCGGGGGGACGGAACTTCCGCTGCCCCTCTCGTCCCGGCGCAGGCGAGGGGACGGAAGTATGTACTTCTATTCTTCCTCTTTCCCCACCAGCGGAATGGCCTATTGGTTATCCTTCGTCGATATCAAAGCTCGTCAAGCGTAATGCTGAGCTCTTTTTCCAGGTCGAGGAACGAGCTGTGGCGCCTGCTGACGGAGTACTGCACGCCGCGTAGCGACTGCGGCGTCACTCTTCCCTCCGGACCCTGCGGACGAATTCATGTCAAAGACAAGCGCGTCCAGATCATCGTAGAGCGACGAGAATACTTGCACTCCAGCATTTGTTCGGACACTGATTGCGAAACGACGACAGAAAAGGTCTTTTACAAACACCGCGAAAAAAAGAAAGCTTTGTTTCAAGACGGAAAGTTCGGTGGACGTCCAGACCCTACCCTGGTGGCCAAAATTCGAAAAGCCTTTTTAGAATTAGTCGACGAGTTTGCAAGAACAGTGAAACCAGGCAAAGAAGAAAATACAGAAGATCTACCAGTGCTCTATGAATCATGCTGTTCGGGTCATTGCGATGAGCTGATCTATTTGTTGGAATTTGGAAAAATTGGAGCTCTTAATCGTTACCCGAAGGATGAGTATGAAAAAGTTATGCATTGCCAACATGGTGGTCAAGCCGTCGGGCATCATATGTCTTTCTTTATGCATTATATAGTCCATTTCTTCATAGGGACAAAGTTGTTATTGTACAATAATGTTGAAAAGGCTCCCAAATTGCAACGGATGTACGATCTTGCTTGTGATGGTCAAACGTTCCTGCCTTACCAGCGTAAAAACTTGCACTTGTGGATGAAAGACTTGGACGTAACGACAGAAATGTGCAAGGCGGCCTTCCGCTGCATTTACCTCTATGTTTATTTACGACGTAAATTTGAGCCGGACTACAACATAGAAACTGATCGCATTTTAAAACTAGGGTATGAAGAGCGCATTTGGTTGCGTTGTTTTTAATCTAGGTAGACTGTCAACATGTGTAATCTTGATAAAGACGATTTTGGATGCACAAAAAAGTTATACTATTAAACCGATTTTTTAAGTAGGTGAAATCTACCATATTGTCCCTTTGTTTCGGATGTGAAAATAGGCCGGGAAGTGCTGGAAATCGCTCTTCAGTAGAGCTCTGACTGTAACCGGGTTTCACCGGCTTACCATCTTTTTCCTCCATCTACAATCCTTGACGCTCTGGGCCAGAAGTCCGACGCATGTATGGTACCAAAGGAGTAACTCTCAGGCAAAACGAGGTGAAATTTTATCTGCAATCTAGTTGAAGCTGCTATTAAATGTAATCTGTGAAAATGGGAACAAGGCTGAAATAAATAGTTGTTATTTTTTTTAAGTTGAATTGGTTAGTATTCTATCTTTAGCCTACAATACAAATTTTGGCATGAAATACAATGCAAAGAATACTTTGGTGTTTTATTTACTTTTACATATTCGCAATCACCGACGTTTTCTCTCAGAGCAGAAAAGAAAACAACAGAAATACTCTATTCAAGGTAGTTTGTCTCCAAATGCACGTTTCATGTTAACATCGTTCGGAATAGTGAACGGGATGAAGCCCTGCTAAAACTAAGACGCCTGACTTTTTATTCCAGTAGCGTGACATCACTTTGAAACGAGCATGACAAAATGTCGCGCTTTGAGCATTGTGTCACGCGCGTTTGGATGTTAATCAGCCATAAACTCGCTTGTTCACATTCACAGGAACTTTCAAATTGACGCCCGTTACAGGGTTGCCACAAGTCTGGAAAACCTTGAAAACCCGGAAAAGTCAGTTAATTTGAAAACGGTCGGGCAAGTCAGGGAAATGAAATGGAGTCAGGGACAAACGGAAATAAGTGGCACAAAAAAACCCTAAATACTTTGTTTCCTTCAAGAAACTCATCATTTATAATACCCAACTGCAGGAAAATGTACCCGAAAAAGTCAGGGAAAAACCGTTAAATAATGATCTGAAAGCCAGGGAAAATGAAAATTTCATATTTGTGGCAACCCCGTGACGTCACGATCCTGGGATGAAAGTAAGCATGACGCGTGTCTTGAAGCACACTCCGCAAAATAAAGTGTGCATATAGTATACTATATAGTACACTCTCATGAGAACATGCTTCCAAGCACGCTCTATAATTACAGCATACTTGCTAGGCACATGCTACACTAGAGTACACTCTCATGAGAACATGCTTCCAAGCACACTCAATAATTACAGCATTCTTGCAAGGCACATGCCACACTAGAGTGCGCCTGGCATGTACTCGCTAAGAGTGTGCCTGACATGTAAACTTAAACTGGCCCGGGCTCTAAGATAGGACTATGTACAGTTTGCAGAGTACATGAGCACGTGCGCTCCGTTCTCTCACGTAAATGCATGGAAACAGCCTCGAAGCGCAAATGCTACGCTGCTTTAAAGAAGGTCCGAAGTTATTCAAGTGCATGCGTTCGCTTTACGTTCACATAAACTTTGGTTTTATCAGAGAGTCACAGATAACCAAGGAGTGCGAAACGCGTCGCGTTTCTTTCAACGTGACATCGAGCCCGACTTCCGCGCGGTCATCCGTTCGCGTTGGCACGTGACGTGATCATCTTGCAGTCAGACGCGATATCCTTCCCTTGCGTTCGAACTTGACGTCGCACCGCTCGTTTATCAGTGAAGTGTCGCGAGGCGGCGTTAGGATGCGGTTGGCAGTTTACCTAGTATCTTTTCAAAATATCCTATCTTACCGTTTCCTGAAAAAATATTCGTTCCTGGGATACCACGAAAACACGTCTTTTGTCCGAGACAGTCGAATTCAGTCGGCGAAGTCGGTGCGTGTGGGGTCCCGAGTGATACACGCTTGAAACCCTACGAAGTATTTTGTGCATACATAGTTAAAACTGTTACTTTGTTATACGAAGTAATATAGTTCGTAACTTATGACGTATTTTGTTTGTACAGGGGATGAATATTTAAAAACTAGTCTTCAAATGCTCTCGTGCGAGCTGCTTTTCTGCTGGTGCTTCGCGCCTGAGGTCTCTCAATAGAGCACAAGTGGCTGGACTCAAGGTTAGGCCCACCAACTAGATTGAGAGTGGGGGACGATAGTGAGCTGCCTCCAAAGCACACTAACCAGCGCCACTGAGCGGGGACAGTGTGCCATGGAGCGCTTCGTGGGTCGCGTCGCCGTGGTGACCGGTGCCAGCTCCGGCATCGGGGCCAACGTCGCCAAGGACCTCGCCGAGGCGGGAATGGTCGTCGTCGGAGTCGCGAGGAGGAAGGACCGCCTCGAGGTATGTTACCACCAACGAGAGTGTTTTGAAGCCCATCGACTTAGTTCTCCAGGCGTCAGAAACTTCCTCGCCGGTCACACAAAAAAATCCATGGCATGCTCTAACGTTGGACGTTCCATGTTTGCATTTGCAGGCTTGAGACAAACAGTGTACCACGCTTTTATACAGAAATGTTATGTAGTTCTGTACTAGACATCGCCGTTTTTTGGTACCAAAAACATTAACTTTTTGTACAATTTTCCCACGAAAAAAATTGACTTATTTCCCCTTTTTTACAAAATCACGTACAAATACGTTTAAGGGCGTAGGAGCGGGTGGCTACTCTGAGAATGGTAGCATCCGAGAGCGTTTTCGGGTGCATCCGCAGTCGTCTGAGGCCGGGGTCCCGATGCCCCGTAGACCTGGTTCGCAGACAATGCACCCTCGGCCGGCTGTTTATGGCCGGCCTGCCGGAGTGCGGGCGAATGACACCCCGGCACGGGGCTCGGCCTGGGCCGCACGGAGCAGATCGCCAGCTTTTCGTGAGCTCGGGGTCGGTCTTCAACTCCTAAGTCCAAGTTTCAGGTCAAAATCAAAAGTTTCGACCAAATTTTAACAAAATATTTTTTGCGAAGTACTTATTATTTCTATATAGCTAAAAAAATTGTTCTCATTGCTCTGTTAAAAGTGGCCGCAGAAACTTAATTTTTAGATGGAAAGTTCGAGATTTTCATCCCGAGTACGATGGTGAACATCCCATCAGCGTCAAACGACGCGTTAGAAAAATTTAAGCTTTCAGGTAGCGAAGGGACCGCCTCCCTTTTGTATGGAGAGGCCTGCTTCACAATGGGCTGCGCCGAGGCGACGATGATGACAGGCTGATTTATAACCCCAAGACCCAAAATACAAATTTTCAAACGAGCCTTTTTCCGATTTTGGAAAATGCGGCAATAGATTCGTTGTAAAAAGCTGGGTCGAATGGTGTTTGAATTCCTGTTCTACGATAATTTCTACCGAAATCGCGACGAAAATCGGCCAAAACTGGTCGGGGCCCGGTGCCGCCTGCATTGCAGACGGCTCCTTGACGGCTCGCCTATTGTCCGCCCGGCGCGTCACCCCGGACCCCGACTACCTGCCTCGAGCTCCGGTGTGCGACGGAAACAACACATCGGCCGAAGCAGCCTGTCTCTCTCTACTGGTGCAGGACCTGCAAATCTGGGTAGTTTTCTAACGCACGGATCTCGAAAACCACAAGTCGTGGCGTCATCGGAAAAACTTTGCCGTAAAGAGGAAGATTGGGCCTAGGGCACTTGGGGTTTCGTTTTCTCTCCGTATTATTAGGTCCCTCTCAGTGGCTTTCCAAAAATCACTTACTTTCAAGACGTTCCAGGAGTGCTCCTGGAACTTGGGACGCAAATCAAAACACCACTTGCCCTTCATATGGTCACTGCCAACATGTGTGCAAAATTTCAGGTCGCTGCGACTTTTCATTCTCTCAATCGGTGCTTCCAAAAATGTTAAAATTTCGAACTTTGAGGCGTCGCGACGCCTAAACTAAGCGTCGCAGGGCAAAACGGTTCGACATGATGGTTCAACACATCAATCACTATCGATTAGCGAAAAAAAAATTTTGCGCTCCTACGGCCTTAAAAAGTTCATCTGGACCTAAAAACTGTGACGTCTCGTAGAAAATTTGTCCAAAGGCATTTAGTGTGCAAGCTTGTTATTCGGGTGCAAGGGTGTGCACACGATTGCGCGAGTTGTGGCCTCCTCCTTCCATGACCTTTTCCCATGATATCAGAAAGGTTTCAGAACAAGTTTTGTCAATAGTTTGCTTGAACCAGGTGCAGAACGGGTCCCTGTCCCAGCCAAGTCTTGCTGTCGTGACCACATGACCACCCAAAGGTAGCTCGCATTTTTATGTTGCTTTTTATTTTGTTGCGAAGGACTTGTCTGCGTCGTTGAGCGCTGCGGGCGCCAAGGGTCGTCTCGAGGTCGTGCAAGCGGACCTGTCCAGTGTAGAGGAGGTTCGCCGGGCCTTCCAGTGGGTGGAGGACACTCTGGGCGGAGTGTCAGTGGTGATCAACAGCGCTGGTGTCGTGGCCACGGACATGATTCAAGGCAATACATTCTGAGAAGTGCAATTTAGAAGTTCAGCCTATTCGTAAAGAAGAGCAGAATTTCCGGATGTCGCGGCGGCAGAACCCTCACATGTTTTTTCTTACCTTCCATCACGAAGCAGCCGACGGCAGTGGCTGAACGGAAGGGGTAAAAACATGTGGCGGTATGTTATGGGCTGCAGCTGTCACGGTAAAAACGGTTCCTGGTTTTCCCAGGAACTCCCTGGAAATCCCTTGTGTCTCCACCATGGGCTTCCTGGGAAAACCAGGTACCGTTTTTTACCGTGGTGACATCCGATAATCCTGCTCCTCTGTTAAAGCTTAACTTGTCCATACGGTACTTTTGTGGATCTTGGGCCGGAAGTCAACGGACGCCATGTTGGCGGATGTAGACCATAACCTGATATGGAATCAAGACGGTTGCTAAGTATTACGGCCACCATATGCACATGGTGGCTCATTACATAATTGTCCGTTAAAACAAAAGTTGCAGTATTTCTAGCTCACCAATTTCTAGTTCACCGTTTAGCAACACTTAGTAATCCCTAGAGGGATAAGGTTCGGACCAAAATGTCTATTGGCTTTTGGTCCAGGATCCATGCGAAAGTACCCTGATTCCAAGACTTTGAGAAAGAGTAGCTCCAACAATTTCTCGTCTCCGCGCAGATTTGGACCTATCGCAGATTCAGAGCATCGTCAGCACCAACGTGACCGCAGTAATGGCCAGCTGCAAGGAGGCAGTCAGCAGCATGAAGAAGCACGGCATCAAGGACGGCCACATCATCAATATCAACAGGTGAGATGGCCAACATTCATCAATTGATGCTTAGTCCGACGACAGAGTTACACTGAGAATGAAAGAATCTTGACCAATAGGATACTTTGGAGAAGTGATGGAACGGAAGTTGAAAAAAAAAGGAACAAAGTACGCGAAATCCGTGATAAAGAGCGTCTGTTTCGCCGTTCTGCCGCAAAGCTATATTCCCATACAAGTCCGGCTTTTGTTTTTCCTTATTGTTTTCTCAACTGCCGTCTCAGTTCTTCTCCAAATTCATCATATTCGTGTAAGAATAATTTAAGCGCCCAAATGTGGGTGATCAAGGCCTTCTTACCGTATTTTCGACGATGAATAGTGTCACTGTTACCCATGAGATGGATAGCATTAGCTTTACTTTATACCCGAAAGGAAACTTTCTCCCAACTATTGCCAGTGAAATTGATTCTTACCCAAACTTTGGTGTTAAAGTCAACGTCACCCAAACTTTTAGTCCAGGTCATGACTTTCTCGTTCTCAGTGTACTTTCAATTCAATTGTTGTCAGTGTGGCCGGGCACGTCGTAGTCAATATCCCCGGGATGTCGTTCTCCGCCTACACTGCGACCAAGTACGCCGTGACTGCGATGTGCAAAGGCCTGCGGTTTGACGTGCAGAGAATTCCTGGCTTCAAGATTCGCGTCACGGTAAGGTTACACTACACTCACTTCCGTGAGTAATTTTTTTTAGAAAAGAAAATTGTGGTTGACAGTTCACGAAGTATTTTGAGCATATACTCAGAGGTTCAAACTGTTTAGTTTGTTGTAAGGAGAATTAGATAGTTAATTACGTTCAGTATTTTCTTTGCAAGCTCATGTATGCTCAATATACTTTGTCATGACTCGCTAGTAGCTGCATTTGTTTGTAAAATAGTTTTGAGAGTGTTCGCCCTGAACTATTCCACCACTGAACGGCCGGGCCGAGTCGACGGTTGCATCGCGAAGCGTGTTTCTCAAATGCGGTCCTGTGCGCCTACGGAAAGTTTTTCTCCCGTTTATTTAGTCAGTTGACCTTTCGACTTCGGCCCAGTCCCAAATGCTCTCATTCTGTTGTCCGTAGAAGGCGGGAGGATATTTCTAAGCACTGCTGTAGGAGAGGCGAGGGGGAGGCGTATTTTTATGTCGCGGGCGAACATCTGTCAAATTTCTGACTCAAAAGAAAATTCTCAGGTGAAGCATCAAAATTATGCCCAGACAGGGCGTATATGATTCAGGCCCCTGAAGCGGCGTGAATCGGTTCACTCCCTTGGGATGGGCGTGAATGTATAGGACTTCCAGGCAAAAGTCTTATGCCCTACCAAAGGCATTACCCTATCACGCCTTCAAAATGCGTGAAAGATTGTTGTGCCCTTCAGGCCGTAGTTCTTACATGCCTTTGGTTTTCCAGTGCTTTTAAAAGGTTTGCTACCCTTTCATTTCATTTATGTGCCAAGCATGACTCTGCTAATCGGTTGCAGAGCATCAGCCCAGGAGACGTACACACCGAAATGGCTCATGTCATTTACTCATCGGAGACACCGGAATGCATTCTCCAGTCTGCAGACGTTTCGAACGCCGTCATGTTTGCTTTATCCTGTCCCCCCTCAGTTGAAGTAAGGAGGCTCTTTCAATGTTGTGTGATTGCTAAACTTTGGTTTTGAGTTTTCCAACAGGTATTGAGGAAAGTTCTTTGTTGATGCAGATCACTGAGCTCACCATTCAGCCAACGGGAGAGATGTGCTGACCACGACAAAGGTTTCGACCAGAGCCCATGATCCCAGACCAGCCCGCGTCCAAAATCTGGCCACAAAACACGAGTAGCATTTGCTCCCTCAACGCCTGCGAAGCCGAAGATAGGCCTGCCCGCCAAGCACAGCTGTTTGGTTGGCTGCTACCCAACAGGCGCTCCCTCCTCGACGTTCTGTAACCATTCAGTTCACGTTCGCACGCGTTTACAACACAAGATCAAGGCGAGGCTTTTACCGGCCGAGCTCAAGGGGTGACCCATTGTAAAACTTTGTGCACCATGATTGTGAAAACGTGCTGAAATGTGCAAGAATTCTGGCGCACCTACTTACAGGTTGTTTTTTCATCTGAATGCGGAATGTGTTCAAGTTTTGTACAATGAACGTGGGAACGTGGAAAGTGGGAAGTTGTTCTTCCTTCGGCCGAGTCTGTGCGGAAACGTGACTAGAAGCGAATTAAAATGGGCGATTTGATTCATGTTTTGGTTTTCTTGACAATCCAATAATTTAAAAAAACATCCTGGTCCCATAGTCTTACTTTATTTCTCTTAACTGGCTCCAAGCGTGGAATAGGGCACCCCAATGAATCTTAAAACGGATGATTGTTAGGCTAGCTTCGACTCTCGATCGCAGCCAACCGTTTTGCAAGTCGGCAAAATCTCTTCAGGGGCACACCAGTGAAAATGCATAGGATTCGTAAAAAAAATTATTCATGTTAAACAACAAATCTAGTGGCTTGATATTTTATTCATAGCTTAGAACACACTAAATCAAACTAAAACCGTTGCAAGTGATGGTAATGGAAAGGGGGGCTGGCCGTCAAATTTTATTTTTGTCGATGGTGTGCCCAAGTTTGCGCCGCTCTCAACTTTTTTTTTTTTTTTTTTTTTTTGCTAGGGACACGGCGGTTTGAAAATTTATTATCAGCACGCATGTGGCCACGAGCATGCCAAAAGAGTCATCCCAAGTACAATCATTTTGGGCAAGGTAAAAAATAAAATAATATATAGTAACTTTCACGTTTCGTTTGGACGTCACCGTGACTGCTTCGTGTTCTTTACGTTAGGAAGGACGGCACACGGGTCGATGCAGCGTGGCAAGTGCGATTTCTTATTAGTGAATGGACAGGCGTTCGCCCTCTCCATCGAGGCCTGGTTCTTGCCGGGCACACAGTCCGCCGGCCTCATGAGTGCAGCGACCTGGGCCTCGCTGTGCGTCACCGCGCTCTTGGTCACCTCGCCGGCGCAGTTCCACCCGGTGCGCACTGTTCCGGCCGAGGGGCTAAACACTCGTAGCAGCGTGTCTACCGTGGGGTTCCCTATGAAGATACGTTGTTCTGTCAGACGATCACTCAATACACTCCGCCAGTTTCGATTCGTAGAATGAACCGACGCGATTCCCCCGGTTGTCGCCGACGGCGCTGCCGAAGTCGCCGTCCTCGGGCTGGGCGTCCTCGGAGCCGCGCTGGCACGCGCTGCTGGAGGTGGTGCTGGCCGCCATGCCGCCGCGGGGTTGCCTCGGCGTGTTCCACGACTCCAGCGCGGACGGCGTGGACGTCTTCCTGGGGCTGGTGCGGGGCCTGAGGCGGCCGTACGCCGTGCGCCTGGCCCGCGTGGAGCCCGGCCCCCCAATAGAGGACCCCACGGTGCTGCGCTGCGACAGCAACGTCGTGTTGCTGGGCCGGCCCCACGGCCCCGCGAGCATGCAGCCCGTCGTGGACGGTGAGGGCCTCGGTGCACTGCAAGAAGAAGAGTGAATAGCACAACAAAAGTTAAAAGGTACCACGAGGATTGCACAAAGTATAACGAGGCCTGAACTGCACTCGCCATGCCGCTTCTATTGTCCTCTAACGTCGAGTTTCATAGTTTTTAGTGGCAAAGTATGCGTTTGGCGATCGGCAATTCGAAGATTTGCACAGCTCTAAGATAGCGGTTCCCAACCTTGGGGTCGCGACCCCAAATGGGGTCGCGAAAAAATTTCGAGGGGTCGCGGCGAGGTGGTTGGGGTCGCCTGGGGTCGCGGCTGTTTTCCAGCTGGCAGAATGATTCAAAACGGTCGAAAATGCGTTTGAAAACTCGTGTTTTAGGTCGACTTTAAGCAGCAACTGCGTCTGATCCGAGGCGGTATTTCGTCCTCCCTCAGCGGGCATTTGGTCTTTGGACCTTCCTTTAGCATGCCTTTGTTACGGAGTGCGATTATCGGCCTTAGTTTGGGAGCAGTATTGTCTCAAAGTGGATCAAAATGGCATTCAAAGGCATTTTTTACTGTTTTCATCAACTTTGAGACAATACTGCTCCCAAACTAAGGCCGATAATCGCACTCCGTAACAAAGGCATGTTAAAGGAAGGTCCAAAGACCAAATGCCCGTTGAGGGAGGACGAAATACCGCATCGGATCAGACGCAAAGGCTGCTTAAAGTCAGCCCAAAACACGATTTTTCAAAGACATTTGTGACCGTTTTGATCAACTTTGTGGCAATACTGCTCCCAAACTATGGCAGATAATCACACTCCGTAACAAAGGCATGCTAAAGGAAGGTCCAAAGACCAAATGCCCGTTGAGGGAGGACGAAATACCGCCTCGGATCAGACGCAGTGGCTGCTTAAAGTCGGCCCAAAACACGATTTTTAAAAGACATTTGTGGTCGTTTTGATCAACTTTGCGGCAATACTGCTCCCAAACTAAGGTGGATTATCGCACTTTGTATCAAAGGCATGCTAAAGGAGGGGTCGCGTGGAGTCGCGAAATTTTTCCTGGGGGTCGCGGAAATTTTTTGTTACAAATTTGGGGTCGCGAACCGAAAAAGGTTGGGAACCGCTGCTCTAAGACCTTGACTCAAGGTGGGGTTGTGCACTGCTGAGCAGGGTCCCTGGCCAGGGTGGTCTCACGCAAGCCGCTCATGCGGTTCCTCTTCGCGTGGACGGGCGACGTGGTGGCGACCCGCGCCGTCCTGGACGCCACCATGGCGGCCGTCTGGCGGCTGGGGCACCTCAACGTGCTCGCGCTGGCGGCGTCGCCGCGGGGCTCCGGGGAGCACGGCCTCTTCTCTTTCAACCCTTTCTGGTCCGGTAAGGCGATCCTGCTTGGCGCCTGGCGAAGTATTTTGAGCACACATAATACAAACTAAATTTTTGCGAAGAAATAGTTGGTAAATTACGATGTGTTTTCTTTGTAAGCTTATGTATGCTCATATAACATCGTTATAAAATGACTTGCACCTCTCTACAAAAATAAATCTGCCTCTTTGTCAAAAAGTCTCGTTGGACCTACACCGCTTTGTCAAAAAGTCACTTGGGCTTACGCCTCTTTGTCAGAAACGCACTTGGACGTATCGCCTCTTTGTCAAAAAGTCCTTTGGACTTGCCTCCTTGTTACATCTTAAAAACTGCCCAAGGAATAGCCTAAAATGAGGCGTGAAAGACTATTTATGCCCCAGGGGAGTGGTTTTTAGGCCTTGTTTTGCCAGTTGAGTTCATTTGGATGGTTTGACTTCGGCGTGCTCCAGGACGCTGCAATGACACCAGCGCGCTGCTGGTGGCCACCTGGACCGTCCAGTCCGGGATCAATGTGGCCGGGAACGTGTCCGACTTGTATCCGTTCGGCAGCATGCGGGCGCTGGTGCACCTCAAGATGGGGGGCTGCCCCTTCCGGGTGGCCATCGCGAACCGCACCAACTTCCTGACCGCCTCCTTCACCAATCAGACCTGGCGTATTTCGGGCGTGGGTGAATACATATTAAGTGCGTGCGCGCGTACCCTCCAGTTCCAAGCCAAGGTGTGAGTCTCTGCAGTGAATTAAAGTACAACACTACAAAGCTTCCTCTCGGATTACAGAAAACCGCGGTGCAGTTGTATTACAAAACTATTCTACAGTGCTCCATAATTTTAGGTTATATAATGAAACTTTTCTTCGTGTTTCAAAAGAAATCGAGCCTTGATTTTTCAGGTGGTTTGTGTTATGGACTTTCTACTGTTCAGTGTCGCAAAACGTTACGTGATAAAGAAGATGAGTTGGCCGAACATATTCTTTTGTACTACTGGGGAATAAGTTTGTGATACAGCTACCTACACTGTATCGCCAATTGTGATCACATTCGTTTGCACTCGAAAACTACAATGTCAATTCAAACGTTGTGAAATTTTTAAAAAAAGCGTAAAAACCGAAAATTAGGTAAAATTAGTTACAAGGCTCATTAGTGGAAGGAACATGAAACACACTACTGACGTGTTTCGTTAGGCCTCAACTTTTACTGGCAACCCTAAACACATTGCCTCATGAAGGGTCCAAATAAGTTTGAGTGAACTGAGCGGTGTTTTGCCCACTTTGGGGGATGAATCCTTCCAATTTTTCCTAGGCCAGGCATGAAGGAAAAGGAAACCTTTTTTCAATGTTTTCAGAAACTTTTCGATGAGCTTTTTCATCCTTAAGTACGCACTTTTGAAGGGCTGTGTTGTGGGCTGTATAGTGGCTATGCATTGTGTCACTGTTGCACCGAAAACACTGCGGCTCTGTGCCAGGTGCAACCGACGACCCTCAAGGAAGACCACCGGTCCGCCAGGTACTGGGAGATGCAGGAACTGGCTCTGGGACTGCACGACCTACTTCTGGTCCCTGGCATGAGGTGACCATCATGTTTCAGCAGCCTTTCCATTGGTTAAAACGCTACCCCAAATGAGCATTGGTTCTACCTCCTACCCAGTACAGTGTACATGGTTGTTCCCGCCGGATAGTCAGCCTGACGGTTGACGGTAATAATTGTGTACTTGCCAGGCACTCTGTAAAAATGGGTGTACAGCATGTACCGCCTAAATCTTCCGGAGCGTCTCCCAGAAGAGTCAGCCATGTTCACTGTTCTGTTTGCCTCCTCGCCTTAAATTTAAGGAACTCCTTTCCCACGGGACTGCGCAAGGGGCTGCGCATGCTTGAAATCAGAAAACACCCTGGCATTGCTTCCACTTGGTGCGCAGGCACCTATCAGCGTTGGTCTCCGGTTACTTCACGTACTGGTGCGTCACCTTCGCCGTGCCGTTGAGCTACGGTGGGGCGTCGGCCTATGACGCGTAAGTCCCAAGCACTCGGATGCACATGCCGCATTTCATTGAAATTTATTCGCAATTTATCTGGAATTCAATAATTGGTACACTGAAATTCAAAGTTGTTTCCCCCTGGCGGTGCAGGTTGACGGGGTCGTTCCAGGGCGACGTGTGGTGGTCGCTGGCGGTGGCCGTGCTGTTGGCGGTGGTCACGGCCCGGCTGCTGGTGGCAGCACGCGGTGCCGCCGAGGCCCCGGTCCTGCACACGCAGCACGGCCTGCTGTTCCTCGTGCTCTGGCCGCTCGCCGCGCGGCCCCTGCACGCCCTCGCCCTGCCGCGCACCTCGGCGCTGCGCGTCTTCATCAGCTCCTGGATGTACTTCGGCCTGGTCGTCTCCACGGCCTACACGTCCGCGCTCCGGTAGGGACTACAGTGGAGGGGACACGGAAACACTCCGCACTTTTCGACGAAAAACGAACAGATGGATACAGTAGCCCAGAGAGGAACGGAAGAAGCAGGACAGACGGGAAAATACTTCGTAAACTGCAAACTCTCAATCGTTCATCGTTATTTCACAAAACTCGACAAAGATCCTCCACGAATTTGCGAAGAGTCTTCGTGGATCTACGAAGTAACCTCCAGCAACTTTGCTCTAGAGGCCCGGCACGCCCTCCTCCTGAATTTGTGCCTGACCCAGACAGCCACAAGTAAAGACAAAAGCGATTTCCACAGACTTCTTGAAAAAGCCTGCAGGACCCGTTTTTGCCGTGTGGTTGACTCTCTCGCTTGGCTTAGCCCGTTGAATTCCACTACGCTGAACATTACTGTCCCCGCTTCTCTGCTTACCAGGAGCATCGTGCTGGCGCCGCCCTTCGCGCGCACGCTCTGGTACCCGGAGGCACTGGCAGAGTCCGACCTACCCGTGTGTAAGTCGGTCGACCATGCGAAAGTCTGGTCCTCACCTTAGGGCGCGTAAAATCAACAGCATTTCGCGAATCTACAGAGGAAAGGGTTATGCATGAAACAGCTCGGATTGAAAATTAAATATTTTTTAAGACTTTTCCAATTTCCGGCATTTAAAACTGCTTGCCAAATTTGTGGCAAAGCCAACTTGCCACCGACTTTGCACTGCGTCGTGGGCCAGAAGGCCGGTGGAGGCGATCAGTATATACCGGGCGGCTGTTGAGCTCCAGAATCGTTAGATGGTACTCAACCCGCACGCGTGACCCCACTAATGGTTTGCTCTCCCCGAGGGGTTACACATGTATTGTGAGAGTCCTGATGGCGACCCTGGAGCTCAAAACGGTGGCCTGCTGCCCCGGACCTCTGGCTCACTGTACGTACAGTGCTTTCACTGTGACACTTTCGGCGTGCCTCTTCTCCTCAGTGACCAACCAGTTCGGCCTGGACCTCATCCGGGTGCGCAGCGAATCCGTGCTGGTCCGGCTGGCCCAGCGGTGCCGGCTGGCGGCGGTCAGCGACATCCAGACGCACATCGCTGACCCGCGCCACGCCATCCTGGCGCGCAGGGACTTCCTGCTGGCCGAGCAGCGTGAGGCGATTGGTCGCGCTGCCAACGTCAACGACGTCCTGAACGGGCCAGGTGAAGGAACAAGACGGACACTGGTGGAACTGTTGCATGCGCTCCCAAAGGCAAAACAGTCTTTCACACCCTTGAAGGGCGTAATTAGGGGATGCATTCGGCAGGGCATTGAAAATTTCGCCTACACGCGCATGCGCAGAGGCATTCTACAGGCCTCACTTTTGTCGTCCTTTCTCAGTAGAGCTTAATTTTGTTAATCGATTCCTTTGATCGGCAGGCCGCCTGTTCATCTACCCCAACTACTGCCTGGTGTCGCACTACGCCTACCCCTTCCTGCTGCCGTCCAACTCCCCCTACTCGTCCGCGCTACGCCGCGTGCTCAGGGCGCTGGTCGAGTCGGGGCTGACGCTGCACTGGCTCGAAAAGGACAGGTGGAGACCGCCGCCCATGTACAACAAGTACTTGGACAGCAGGAGCAAGAGGGAGAGGCCGCTCACGCTGAGCCAAGTGCAGCCGGTGCTCGTCGTGTACTCGTGCAGCCTGGTCGTCATCGCTGTCGTCTTCGGCGCGGAGGTTCTGGTCGCCTCGGTCTGGCGGCACGAGATATCCGCGCCAGCCCCGCTGGTCCCGCTGCCCACATCGGCGCAGTCTCTGGAGCGCGGGGTAGATCGTGCCGTCGAGACCCCACGCCGGCCGGAGAGCGTCGAGTCACAACGCCCGCCGCGCCTGCATCCAGGTCTCTCAGGCGCCAGTCCATTTTCCATTGAATCGAATATTGAGCTATAGACAGACTATGAAGGAATTCAAACTCATGGTGAGGCCTTGTTGGTCGAGCCCGAAAGGAGGATTACACAGCCGAGGAGGGAGAGAATCAAAGAGAAGAATTAAATAGGTTTATCACAACTCACCAGCACTGTTCGGACCGATTTCTCTTACTTCGTGGTCTGAATCGAAATTTCATAAACATTCATGATTATTCGGACTAACTGTCTGAGTACGACTTTTTGTCAGAAAATTGAGTTCAGACTGCCAATTTTGAATATTTAGAGCGATGGCTATCAAGTGTTGACTATAGTTGTCTAGGGAGCAGGACAGCTCGTCCCAAACAACTCGTCGCTAACATTACTGGTACAAAATTAGTTAGGTTACAACTCTCCATCAAAAGCATTGTAATGACATGGCACATACAAATTCAGTCAGGTTTAAAACTAAATCAAAACCACAACACTTAGCATTTATGCTTTGTTACATACAGGCATAAAGGGGCAAGGTAGGCCACCGTCTTCACACCTGCGCGTTGCAGGCCGCTGTGGTGGCCTACCTCACAGGCGCTACGGGAAGCTTGAAAATGAGAGGCTGGAGGCGGCAATCTAGGTGTGTGTGTGTGGGGGGAGGGGGGCTTTGTCCCTCTCTCTCTCTCTCTCTCTCTCTCTCTCTCTCTCTCTCTCTCTCTCTCTCTCTCTCTCTCTCTCTCTCTCTCTCTCTCTCCCTTAATCCTCGCCTGGCCATTGCGGACCCAGCCCTCCTACCACTGTGTACAGGGCTTTAGCGCAACATGCCAACCAGCAGCTCCCCAGGAAAAGAAAAAGGTCAAGTTGACGTCTAGTGATCAAAACTTGATAAAATTTGGTGACCCCTCATTCAGTGACTGGGTACTCTGATTGACTTCACAAGATCTATTCATGACAAGGGTATCCATTGACCTGTACTTCGTCAAAAAAACTTCGACGACATTGACCGTGATTCTCTTGGCACGTGTCATTTGACATAATTAAGACCTTTTTCTGCTCCTTGTAACGCTCTGCTCAAGGAGAGGGCAGCAGCCAAACCCAAACCCACGCGACACAAAAACGCCTCGCTTTGCTTTGTGACCGCAGCCAAGGACGCACCTTACACGGTTCAGTGGCTTCGTTTTCAAGGTTTCTGCTTTTCGCGGTCTTTCCCCAGCCCTTTGATAACCTTTCGGTGACCGTGGTGCACCGTGGTGGCGTCAGCCAAGCCTGGCCAAGCCGGACCGTGCTAGACCGTGCTCGTCGCGGACCTCGGTGTCAGCGACCTCCTCGATGAAGGCCAAGAAGGCGACGCGCGTCAACACGACGGCCTGAGCTAGGGGTCTACCGGTCTACCTCGAGCCGTGTACCAGTTAATATATATTTTACCGGTAACATAAGTAATATAAGTTAATATACAAAAATAAAGTAACGGTAATATATGATGAAAGAAGATGAAAACGCGACATAGTATTCTTGATTAAGGCTAAAATCATGAATTCTGGTAAGAATTCTGGTATGCGGACACAACCCTCATTTCATGATAGAGCCCCCTGCATGTCATATGCAAGGTATGCAACCCGATGCAACCTATCCGACAAGTGTGTAGAGCGTAGCTTCCTGTTAGGTTGAGTGCGGACATCAAATCCAACTTCTTTCTGTCGCAACTAGTCCTGTTCATGAACATGAACCTAGAGTTCAATTCATGGCCTGTTCGTGACAAATTCGTCTGTATGACCAAAGAATGCTAACACATACATACATACATACATACATACATACATACATACATACATACATACATACATACATACATACATACATACATACATACACACATACATGTGACAAATATAATGGCAAATGGAAATCAACCAGTCGGTCTAATTGATCGCATTTTTTGTGAAAAATGTAAAAAAGATAGGGAAAGTGACTCCGTTTTCCGCACACTTGCCGATGACTTGGCGCGGTCACTCGCAGGAAGTGATATAAAGAGAGCTATAAAGAGAGCGTGCGACCGAGCAGCGCTCCGGCCTTGACAACTTCTGGTGCAGCACCGCGGTGCACCGCTAGCTCGGCCAGCGCGACTACCGCATCCAGGAGGCAGGCGGCTGTGGCAGCTGCAGACCATGCAGACTGATTCCAAGAGTCGTTTACGTCGCTGTCTCCCTCGCGCCTGTACTGAACGCCACATGAGTGCGAGAGAGGCAGACACTGGCTGAAATTTTGTCAGAACGTGGGATGGAGCATGTCTGAAGTCCAAAATTCGCTGCACCTCTGAACCAGCCCTGAACCGGCATGAAGTCGTGCCGATGCATTTTCAGGGCAAAATCTGTTCTCGCTCATGAACATGGCTGATAACACCGCGTAGATTTCACGCCATCGTTCTCGGTGCAAACGGCCTCTTGTTTGACACAGTTTGTCTCTTTTTGGGTCGAGTGCCTGCTGCCATGCTCGGCCATGCCGCACAGTGGGCCAGAAGACCGGTGGAGGCGGCCGAAACTCTAGACGCGTCTTGAGCTCCAGAGTCGCTTAATGGGACTCGAACCGAACGTGTAACCCCACCAACCAATGGATTGCTCTCCGAACGAGGAATCCATTGATGGGGTCACACGTTCGATTCGAGTCCCATTTAGCGACTCGGAAGCTCAAAACGCGTCTGGAGTTTCGGCCGCCTCCACCGGTCGTCTGGCCCACTGTGTGCCGCACGTGCGCCCGTGATTGTGCTCACTACCCAGTATCCCGATTGGGAAGTGGGGGAGGTGAAGAGGGTCTGATAGTGCGTTGCCCTGTGGTGCAGTCTTCATGTCTCGCCTCTGTCATCTCCTGACCTTCGGAAGCTGATAGCAAGTCTTCGCAGAATCATAGCATCGGTCCTCACCGAGGGGGGTGGCGGTGGGAGGGGCGGTGCGCGGCCCGGCGGTCGACGCGGACCCCCACGGCCGCCAGTGCGCGTGTGCCGATCCACCACGATAGGCGTTGCGCGCGCGGCTCGGCGCCTTCGTAGGTCAGGGCGGGCCGAGACGAGTCCTCCAGGAGATTGGTCTTCTTGAAGGAGTCGAGCTTCCCGCGTGTCGCTGAGCGCGATGGCGACGCTGTCCTGGGTGCTGGCGGTGTGCGCGGCGGGGCTGGCCGCGCTGTGGGCCTTGGCGGGGCTGGTGCGGTACGTCCGCTGGCGAGTGTACTGGCACGGCGTGCTGCAGCCCTTCGGCGGGCCGGCCGTGGCTCTGCCCCTCATCGGCACGCTGCACTACATCCTGGGCCCCATGGACACCATCTTCGCGCGCGGCCGCCAGATGCTGACCCGGTACGGCGGCGGCCACTACGCGTCCTTCTGGCTGGGCGAGCGGCCCTGGCTGCACATCATGCGGCCCGAGGACGTCGAGTGCCTGCTCAGCTCCAACAAGCACATCGCCAAGCCCGAGGTCGTGTACGGCCCCGTCAGCGGCTTCTTTGGCAGGTGGGTGGAGGGACGGGGAGTCTAGCGGGGCAAAGGTCCACACTAAATGTTTGTGTACAATTTTGTACGTGGTGATGCGTTAAACTTGCGTACCGTCGTGGATAAAATTGTGCGTGAATTTGCATAAATTTATGAATCTTTACGCATGATATGATGCAAATTCCACGTAAGCACAAAATCGTACAAGTTGCACGTGCAAAATTCTACCTAAACATGTGGTGTGTCCAACGGAATTCCCCCTCCCAACTTCCCCAGCCTATCCTTTATCCTCCCCGAGGGGGCAACCACTCGAGAAATCCTGTGTCCCCTGGAGCCCTTGCTTGCTTATGTATGCTCAAAATACTTTGTTTCAACAAACTGCTTTTCTTTGCAAGGCCTATCAAATAGTTTGTAAGGTTTTCTCACACTCTAAATGTTGTACAGTGAAGATTCTCCATATTATGGTGAAAATGTTCCATATTATGGTGGTGCAGCTGACTTTATAACACACCATTGAGAATTCACTGTACCAGATATTTTGACGAGTTTTGTTTACATATCATGGGGAAAATCTCCACCATAATATGGTGGTGCAGCCCCACCGTAAGACATTGGAACGGCCGGCCTGGCGTTGCATTGGTTGCAGGGGCCTCATCACGATCAACGGCGAGGCGTGGCGCCGCCACCGCCGCATCCTGACGCCCGCCTTCCACTTCGCCGTGCTCGAGAAGTACTCCGGCATCTTCACGCGCCGCGCTGCGCACTTCGCGGCCAAGCTGGCAAACGACCACCCGGGGAGAGCTTCGACTTCATGCCCCACATCAGCACCTTCGTGACGGACACCGTCATGGAGACGGCCTTCGGCCTCCAGGGCGGCGAGGACCGCGACGCGGCCGGCCGCCAGGAGTTCATCCGCGCCACGGAGAACGCCTTCCAGGTCGGCAGCCACAGTGGGCACCGGCCGAGGCGGCCAAAGTCCCGGACGCGTTTTGAGCTCCAGAGTCGCTAAACAGGACTCGAACCGAACGTGTGACCCCACCAATGGATTGCTCGTTCGGAGCGCAATCCATAGGTGGGGTCACACGTTCGGTTCGAGTCCCATTTAGCGACTCTGCTGCTCAAAACGCGTCGCGAGTTTTGACCGCCTCGAAGGGTCGTTTCGTCGCTCTGTCTCTCTCGCACTCATGGGGCGTTCCGTACAGGTGCGAGAGGGACAGGGCGACGAAAACGACTCTCGGAATAAGTCTGCCTGTCAGCCGGCAGTCACCGCAATCGACTCTAACACGCGTTTCTGTTTCTCGTCGGCAGATCATCGCCAAGCGCATCATCCAGCCCTGGCTCATGCTGGAGTCCATGTTCAGGCTGTCGCCTCTGAGTCGCCAGCAGGACGAAGCCGACCGCGTCATCAACGAGTACGCCCAGCGCGTCATCGAACTCAAGCGGCGCCAGATCGGTGAGCACACTGGTCAGCAGCGTACTTCTACACTGTTAAAAATTCCGCACTTTTCACGGTTAAAATGGTTCCTGGTTTTCCTAGGAAGCAGTGCAAGCACGGCAGTTGCCGGGCCCGAACGGCATAGGATCAGTTGTGGTCTAGCCTCTCAAGTTCTAGTTGCTCAAGTGTTGCGTGTCACATGTCACGGCCTTTTTTTTTTCTTGCAGACGAGCAGCGGCGCGACGCGGCGACGGACGCCGCCGACGTCGCTGACGATGACGACGACGGGGTCAGGAGGAAACTCACCTTCCTGGATCTGGTGCTGGGGCAAAAGCAAGACGTTCTGTCGGACGAGGAGACCCTCAGCGAGGTAAGCTCGAGGAAACAACGCTCGGGAGCCTCTCAAGGTCAAGGTCTCGGACACGATGCTGGTTGCCTATCCTCTCGGCGCACAGTGGGCTAGAAAGGCTGGAAGACCGGTAGAGGCGGTCAAAATCCCGGACGGATTTTGAGCTCTTGAGTCGCTAAATGGGACTCGAACCGAACGTGTGACCCTTGGATTGCTCACCGAACGAGGAATCCATTGGTAGGGTCACAGGTTCGGTTCGAGTCCTGTTTACCGACTCTGGAGCTGAAAACGCGAAGTGTTTTGGCCGCCTGCACCGGTCTTCTGGCCCATTGTGAGGCGCTCTTGTCGGTCCTGGACTTGCCTCGCGCACATCATAAGTGAATTCCAAACCCGTGAAACCAAAACGGCTGCCGCAGGTGCGCACCCTGATCGCGGTGCAGCAGACGTCCGCGTCGACGCTCAGCTTCATCGCGGTGTGCTTGGCCTTGCACCCGGACGTGCAGCAGCGCGCGCGCGAGGAGGTGCTCTCCGTCGACGCCGAGGAGGGCCTGACGCCGCTGGAGCGGCTCAACCGCCTCAAGTACGTGGAGCGGGTCATCAAGGAGACCCTCAGGCTGTACCCCATCACGGCCATCTTCTCGAGGATGCTGAGCGAAGACCTGGTGCTGACCAACGCGCTCACCGCCAAAGGGTGAGTTCGTGACGCCATCAGAAGAAACAGCCGCGGCCTCAACCCCTCCGCTCTGTCTCTCTCGCATGCATGGGGCGTGCGTGTCACCACTCCACAGTAAGCTGGAATAGATCCCTATTCCACCTACTCCACAGTGGGCCAGGAGGACCGGTGGGGGCGGCAAAAACTCCTGACGCGCGTTTTGAGCTCCAGAGTCGCTTCGTGGGACTCGAACAGAACGTGTGACCCCACCAATGGATTGCTCTCCGAACGATAGGAGTCCATTGGTGGGGTCACTCGTTCGGTTCGAGGCCTCTTTAGCGACGCTGGAGCTCAAAACGCGTCTAGAGTTTTGGCCGCCTCCACCGGTCTTCTTGCCCACTGCGCACTGCTGCGCACCCTCACGGCCTCCTTGTCCTTCTCCCCCGCAGGCCGGGCCCCGCCACGCTGCCGGCGGGCCTGGGCATCACGCTGTTCGTCTTCCAGACGCACCGCGACCCCAAGCACTGGCCGGAGCCGGAGCGCTTCGACCCGGACCGCTTCCTGCCAGAGCGGTGCGTGGGCCGCCACCCCTACGCCTACGTGCCCTTCAGCGCGGGGCCCCGGAACTGCATCGGCCAGCGCTACGCCATGCTGCAGATGAAGGCCGTGGTGGCGGCCCTGCTGCGCACCGCGGTGCTCAGTCCGGGCAACGGCTGCGAGAAGCAGGACGAGCTGGACCTCAACATGAACACGTTCCTCTACATCAAGGGCGGCTTCAACGTCAAGCTCAGGAGGCTGCGCGAGCACGGCTGCTGAAGCCCGGGAGAGCAGCGAATCAAATCGAGTCAAATCAAGTCGAGTTGATGCGAAAGGATGTTATTTGGACGTCCTAATGACATCCCTCAGACCTCATCATGGCGTCACTTCGACTTGCTTCCTCTCTTTGGGAAGCGCCGTCGCACGGACGCACGTCCGCGAGAGGAAGAAATTGAGTCATCAGTGGCTTGTGCCGCGGAAAACTTTTCAAAGAATTTGTATCTGTTAGTGGCATTTTGTTTATTTTTAAATTTGAATGACTTCCTGCTGCTTGTCCTTTGTCCGTTTCACATTTCTCGTTCTGTCTCTTCGCCCTGCTGTGTCCATAGGCTTAAGATGGTTGTGATAAAAACCAAAGTTGTAATAGTATGTTGTTTATTAATTAGTTTAAATAGTTTTTGTACACTTGCTTTTTTGAAGATACCTAAATAAAGGAGAACGTTTTACAGTAAATTTGTAAAGGTGAGCTGTTTCAGTTCAAAAAACAACATAAGGACACTCACAAATTAAATATGCTAATACGCAGGTGTTAAGAATAATTTTGTGCAAAGAAGAAAAACTATGGCAAAAGCACTCTTTTACTCGGAAAAACGTTTTGTTATAGATAATACTAAGATTTTACTTGGCACACTGATAAGTACTAAAGCCCTGGGGAAGAATTATGCTTAAACAGGTGGTAAGAAGAGCCTAATATGTAGAAAAACATGGCCTTACACAGTCTGTTTTATACATTTAATAACACACTTACTAAAACAAATTATGGTCATAAGGACTGGATGAAAACACATTGTGAGCTTTAGAGAACAGAATGTGGAAGAAACAGCTTGTACTGAAGACAAACAAAAATTGTTTCACGAATATATTTTTCTAGAGTGTGGGACTGGAGACAACAAGAAAGACAAATTCCATTATGACTATCACAACAAATCTCAGTCTAAGCTGAATTTAAAACAAATTTTTTTAATGAGGGTTGATCTATGAAAGATGCCTTTTCAATGTCAGCCATTTTTTTTCCCATGTTTGTTGAAATTAGAAAAAGACCCCAAAATGTGAGATATCACATAATGCAGAAACTTCCTAGCACAGAGCTCAGTACGGCTCCGTACAAGAACCACAGTTTTACTTCAACTGCCCTTTCCTTACGAAAGAAAACAAAAAAAAAAACACATTAAAAACCTTCCTTTCCTAAAAACAAAGATAACGTTTAATTAAATATTAATGTCATAGAGTTAAATATACATTCTCACTTCACTCACACACACACAGAGCTGGATTCATTCATTCATTCTCTTCACATTCTCACATTGTTGTAACGTAACACAAGTTTCAACCTGCAATACATTTGTAAATACAAACTGGCTTAATTCTAATTGTGCAAAAAAAAAAAAAAAAAATTTTAAAATTCAGTGAGGAACACTGGCATATATTTCTTGTAAAAAATAGGGTCAGGACAGGACAGTACGGGTATGTGATGGTGGCTCAAACCTAACTCTCGTTGCTAAATACTGTTCATTCCATACCACTAGCCAAGCACTAAATGACTATTTTCTAACCAACGGTTAGAATCACAAAGAAAAAAGAAGAAACTTAACAAAACAGATTGCTCACAGTTATGAATAGTTCAATTGATTTGCAGGTTTCAATATGACACAGCCAGAGACCTATACACATTAACTTGAGTTGACTTGAGTTGCCCAATGGCATTTTGATGAAGTCCACCTTACTGCATTTTTGAAACTTCAAATCTGGTATTTGTAGCCTCCTGAAACCAGATAGATAGATAAAATTATTGACACCAGACAAAGAAACTAAAACTCAAATTGTGTGAAAGAATGTGTGCACAAACCTCATCAGAGTCCAAAATCGGTAATGCACTGGGAATTATCAAAGAAAAGGTTGTTAGTGGAATATTCATGAGAAAGCCAAGCAAATAGAGAGATGAGAGTTGTATGAACTTACGAATCACTAAGATATGCTGGAATATTATCCTCCACCCACTTCAAATCTTCCTCCTGGAAGGGTTAGGACACAGAAAATGTAGACTGGCCAAGTAAACAAGCTTTTAAACAAAACAGAAAGAGAAATATAATTGTTTGACGTTTAAGATCTACCTCAGTGGTGCTTGATTTAGGCTTAGGAGATGAAGAGTTATTGCTGCCACGCATTTTTAGGCCAAATGCATCACTAACAAATTGTTCCTCTTCATCATCTTCATCTTCAGGGTTGTCAAGAAGAGGTGTAAAAGCATACCTAACATAAGAAAATAAAATAAACATTATTATTTCCATGTCTATTGTATACTAAGTTCACTACATACAACTGGAAAATACTAGTCAAGAGAAGTGGACATCATATCATCTAACATACCTTTGGTTATTATTTGTAGGTCTCCACAGTATCATTATGACAAGAAGAATGAGAGAAAAAAGAATATGCCAATAAGCTTCATCTACCCAGAGTTCCTTCCAATCCTGGAAAACAAAGGCAGAAGACTTGAGTGACATTCAGAGCTTAGGTGTCTTTTTAAAATTTATAAGCCTTTTTCTACTGTACCGTGAGACAGTCAGTCAGCTTATGAAATCGGACTGAGTAGATCATAAAGCAGCATGAGGCAAGCACTGAGAAGTACAAGGCATTGCTGAAGTGTCGGTATAATGACAGTTTCACCAGATTCCTGAAAAAGAAGAAAAATTAGCTAGGTGGTACATAGCTAGCACATAGCACTTAAAAATTTTGTAAATCATAATAACCTTCTCAAACGCAATGTCCTCATGGTTTGCACTAAATTTGAGAAAATCCACCAGCAAAATGCAGAATCAAGAAGAGCAAGAGGCACAGTTGCCATAAGAAGATCGTAGCTTTTTAGATTGGTACCCATGATACGCTTATAGCTTTCCACAGATGCAAGAACAAAATACAATACTCCTGAGGTCAAGACTTTGTGGAGCATGGCTCCTAGTCTTGGTTTGACAATACCAAACCCAAGGCTCACAATAATGACCAGCATACGTGCAAGCGTTCGTTTAGCACAAGAAACTAGCTCAGCAAAGTACACTGCACCCTTTACAGATGTCCCCCTAGAATTGATGCTCTGGTATTCTGCATAAAAGACTGCTTTCTCTAACATGCCTAACAATATGACACCTCCAATCCAAAATTGGATTCGAAGAAGATCTCGCCATTGACAAAATGATACAGTCAGCCAACCAATTCCGAACATCACATATATGAGGCACATTGAGCCATAGAATGGAAGCAAAGGCCAGGCAGCTGCAGACAAGTATCCATAATGGTTTTGCATTTCCATAGTCACAGTTGCTGAAAATGTTGTTGTGCCTTTGATATGGAACATCAATGAATAAAGTCCATCTTGTTCAATGGTGTATAATGGACTTGGATTACTCTGGAAAATAAAACAAACATGTATAGAGCAAAATAAAATTACCAACGGAACTGATTTTTAGAAGGGATAAGTCAAAATGACATTTACAAGTTTATTGGGGCTAATGCTGTCTTTCACACTTTGCTTCACTTCAGTGTCTGCAGAAGCACCGGCAGTCTTGTTAATTGTTGGAGGTATCTCCATCTGCAACATAATATTACACTTTTTAAAAATTGTACAACTGTGGCCAAGGGCCTGCACTCCACAGTAAGAACCCACACCACTGACCAATATGACGTGATCACCACATCTATGCTGAGTAGCGTTGCTTGAAAGTGCATGATTGATGCCAATTGATGGCAAAAAAGGACCTTGAGATATCTGCAACAGAGGATACAAATTGAGTCAAAAAAATCTACTGAACAGTAAGCATTTTCCATAGATGTATTCATGGATTGTTATATTCACCCCATCTTGTAACATTGCAAAATCTTGCCAACATTCATATTGCGACAAAGTCCATTGAACAGTAACATTAGTATCAGGATCGACGGAATCGCATGTCACTAAAACAAAACAAAATGTTAATAAAATAGTGAAAAAATGCTTGTACAATAAAACAAAAGAGTATTCAACTTACCAGAAATAAAGATTTGAGAGCCTTTAAACAGACTCTTCGAAATAGTAGCAAATCCATATTGCTGTAAAACATAACATGAACATAAGCACCACAGGCATTAAAAATGTTCCAAGAGGTGATTGGAAGGACAAATAAGAACTGCTCAGTGTCAATAAGGACCTCAAGAGACTGCTTAAGTCATTTATGTAAAGTATATAGAAATAACTAGCAGGAAAATAACATTCAAAACTGGGTGGCGAAAAGGGATTGAATAATAACACTCACCTCGTTTAGTTCGAAAACCCATTTGCCACTGCCATCACACAAGACGCAACCGGGATTCAGAAGGACACACAATAGCGCCCAAAACCCATACGAAAATTTAAAGAACTTCATTTTGAAAGGGTGAATGAGATCATCACTTGGCAAATCGTTCACGCACGCCGCTAGGTTGTCACAAACGATGTCACAAATAAATGTCCATTGCAAGAGATATCTCAGTCATGGAACTATAATTTAGAAGGGAAAACGATTAGTTCGAAAATTAGCGAGTGCCGAAACAAGACACGAGTCGATAATCTTCTCCTGATAAAGAAAGGCCATTCAGTAAAATAGATACAGATAGGCTAACGTCAGAACAACAGAACTCCCCCTCCTCTTTCCTCCGTCCCGTACACTCCTACCGGTCATCAGTAATATGAAAAATAAGAACAAACCTCATGGCTGAAAAACCGGCAAAAACTTTATGGTAATCCTTCTTCAGCTTGTAATTCGAGTTGATTGAACGTCATTTGATGTAAATAAATACTGAAAGAAGGAGTAAAGTGTTAAATGGGCCACTCGATGAGACCGATCAGCTGTTATCAAAATATATCTCACAACTAGTTTCTCATACCTTGCAGAATACCCCTTTGAAAATGAAAGTTTCTGCTCAGCTGTCTGCTGGGGGTTGAGACATTCGGTTGACAGGTCTCTTTGGCGAAAAATTCTTCACCCTTCAGTGATGGCATCAGAAAATACACCGGAAAGCGACTTAGGGAGCATAGAATGCTTCCAGAACTACACTGCTTCTGAAGTTTTTATTCAAGGTTTGGCTGGAATTGTTGATCAACAAGATGTGGAGGCCATGGTTCGAGCTCAAAAACAAATGTACGGTTATAGTTTTTCAGAATTTGTTTTCTCTCTAGGTGGGCAATTTTAAATTTACTTTTCGCCAACCAACCATTTTTACTCAAACTTTTCTTATTTAGGCTTCAGCGGTTTGAGAAAACTAATGAAATGCTGACCAATTGTAACGCTTTGTCAGTAAATCGTCTAGCTTCAGCGGGGACTGAGTTTAAAAAGCATACACAGCTCCTAGTGGATATGAAAAAGGATTTGGATCAAATATTTAGGAGGATCAGTACACTGAAGAACAGACTATCCAATCAATATCCTCAGGCATTTGCAGGTTAGTGTTTTGACACTACTCATTTGCTCTTGGAACAGAAAGAAATTTCAGACCTAATGTTGTGTATGTACTCTATTGAAACAGCTGTTCCCAAACCGAAACCCATTCTTTTGGATGAAGAAAGTGAAGAAGCGGAGGATCAAATCAACTGTGCTGAGAGTGATCGTACTCCAGTCGCACAATCTGCTCCTCCCATCCAAACCAAACCTCAGGCTGTGACTGGTAAGAATGGCAAGGAGTTGCAAGAATGACATCAAACCTGCATAAAAAACCCTGCTTTGTTGGTGACATTGTTTTATTATACAACTTGAAAAAACTCATGAGATGCCATACCAGGTGCAGAAGATTCCAATGATGAGAAAGAAGAGGAACGAGAAAGAGAGAGACAACTTCGAAGAAGAGGGACTTTGAAGTCCAATCACAGCTCTTCCACAGACAGCAACAATGATGATAATTCATCTCAATGTTCCTCTGACACTGGATAGACTGGATTTTGTTCCCAATCAAATTTAAGTCACATTTGTATTAATTAAACTCAGGTAATTTTGGCTGCAGATTCATTCGCAAACTGTATTTTTGTTTTCTTGAACAGAATTTCTTGGCTTTACATTCCAAGATCCTAGTTAGAAATGATGAACTGTGATATTTGCTTTGATTTTGAAATTGCTCTACTGCAATTTGATAGCCCTTTGTACTGTAATCATGTTTTTGTAATTAGCTCTGCTAAAATATAGCCAGGAAAAAAAAGATAAGATGTAGATAAGATAAAAGTAACACTATTTATTACACATTCTCCATTGAAAAGGTTAGTAACAGAAATTCTATCGATAATATTAAAATATACACCCAATATCAAAAGAAAAACCAAAAAGAACACACAAAAAGTGGTTAGATTGTGCATTTAAAATTTATCACAATTTCCTTTGTTTAAGATGAATCAGTTTTGGTAACAGTTTCATAGCACCACAACAAAGAAAGAACAAAACAGCATTAAGATGTGGTTACGCTTGAGACACAAGCCACACAGCTGCAAAGTACAACATGGGTATCACAAAGAATCACAAAAAGTGCTAAGTAAAGATAACAACTGATACATTAAAAACGGCTGACAAATAACAGGCTTTGTTAACAACAATTTGCAACAATAATGGGAAAGTGTTGTATAGATTCTACGCCCAGACAACCCACGTAAGAAGAGAGCATCCTAAAAACCTTCCTTATATCAAAATTCAAGTGTAATGCAAATACTGTAACATGAGTGAATTCATACTTTTAACAAAATGACAAGAAGGAAAAAACATTAGTTTAGTTAACAACCACCAAATTTAACACAAAAACATAAGAAAGATAAAACAAAGCACATATGTGACTTCCATTCTAAGACGCACAAATAGAAGTAAATGAATTTGAGGTAGACACTGTTATAAATACCCTCAAATATATAACCCATAAACTATGTAAAACTTCAAAAGGGGGAGACAAACCCAGCACAGCCACAGTTCTAGCACATAAAGGATTTATAAGCACAGATCTCAAGTAGAACTTAAACAAAGACCACTGCAGGTCCATGAAAAACCATTTATTCAAAGAGAACGTCATGGCGAGAATGGTCCATCAACCCTTTGGCTTTGTGATACAGCAATAAAACTGATAAAATAGGTTAAAAAAATAGTAACTAAAATAGGAAAAAAATACAAATGAAATGACTGTTTGAGAGTTCTAAAACTTTGTTCATCACATGGTGGGTTTCATTTCTTCTCCCAGTGATGGCACATGCTTACTCCATGGAGTACTATGAAGGTAACAGTCAGTTCTTTGCCAAACAAGTAACAAAGAAAAATTGAGAACAAGCGAGCAGCAGTTTAACTGCCAATAAAATAAAGAGACAATGTCTTATAATCAGGTTGTTAGAGAGAAAGACAACAATCCTATCTTGATTATTAAAAATTAAAAGCCAGACACTCCAAAAGTGCCACATTAATAGAAAAGCAGGAAGAATTGATGCAAAAGAAAATCAACAATGAATCAAGAATAATGATGAGAAATACAACTTGTCTTTTGCAATTACGAATCGCGCTCGATTTCAGGTAAAAGGTCATACCAAGCAGTGAATCCTTTCACCAAATCTTGATCACCAAGACTCAAAATAACCTGCATCAATCAAGAAAAAATTATCAATGTTAATTATACTAGCAAGACACAATGAAAATCAAGAGGGCTCTCAAATATTAACACAGCACATTGCGTTAAAACAACACTTTGGACTTACTTGTCCCATAACAGGGCTCTGGGAGGAGAACCAAGTTTTCTTTGTAACCACCGTTACTTCTAGCTGACGAGAATTGATGTCCCCCAGAGATATTACATACTCAAAGTTTTCATCAAAGACTGGATTGCAGTTGTCTTTCATGACCTGTAAATTAACAGCCAATAAATAAAGGAAGAATCCTCTAAATTTGATTTTTTAGTATTGCTAAAGCAGTACACCACCTCAGTTTTGCGCTTGGATTCCTTAGATCTCTCTGGCAGCAGATACAGCTTCACATATGGGTCAGGTATATTATGTGGGTCCTTGGATGGTAAATTTCTGAACAAATAAATACATAGAATTGCAAATAGAGAAGCATGCAAACACAAACATAAGTCTATCTGAACATTAGATGATGGTTTACTCACGCAACTTTGTGAATCACTACCACAAGTCGTTGACGGGGCACAGAATAACGCAATGTCATTTGTATGCGTCCCAAGCCTGCTTCACCAGCAGATCTAAAATAAATAATTTAAAAGCGGCAGAATCATGAAAAAAACTGACATTTATCTCTTTGTTTAGTTTATGAAATAAATGAGATATATGAGAGGAGCTTACGATGTGGCACTTGGAGTTCGATGGAGTAATGTATTATTGGCAGATGATTCTACAGGTGCACTTGATTGCTCAGAGAAAACTGACTCTTCTTGAACTGAAGTTTGAGTCGAAATCATTTCCTTTGAAGGATGAATGCTTATGTTAGCACTGCCAATACTCTGTCCACCAACACTCTGTCCACCTACACTTCGAACTGAGTCTCCACGAGAGAACTGTTTGTTTAAGGCATTTGTTGAACCTATAAAAATGTACATCACAAGATTTAAACAAAACAAAGTCACTCATATCTTCGGCACCTTATTTTTAATACCATATGATTTGTCTTTATAGGGAGTAGCTAGAAATTTTGTTTCCATACAATGGGAAAAATTAAGGATTCAATACGAAAATAAAAGTCAGTTGAGCAGCAATGCAGCCTTTGGCTCCCCTTCCATTCCTGGTCAATGTAAGCCACATTAAAGAGGGTTCATGAAATATGTGATAGCTTCATTGGATTCATAATCATACCAATGCTGCTCAGGATAATGTGGTCAACAGTCTTCTATGTTTAGTTAGGAACAATATAGAAGTGGAAGGGAGAAAGCAAGGGTATAGAAGTGAAGTTGCTGCACCACCTGATACAACATATAACAACTTTACACTGAGCAATTCATGCAGAAGTGGCATGCAAACTTTGGAGCCCACCTCTCTTGCTGGAAGTGGAGGTGCTAGCTTCATCTGTAACATCGTCATCCACCTCAGGAAGGGGAGCATCAACTTCTGGGTCATAACGTTTCAGTATCTACAAATTAAACAAACAATAATAGTAAAAATCATCTCAGGAAACAATGAAACCTGTTGTTGAAAAATAAGAGGCACACATACACGCAGTCTCAGTGATAGTCTAACTCTGCTGATTGGTCCGGATGCTTGCAACAGCAAGGGCTGATCACTTAGCTCCATATTCTCATTAGTCAAGAGCTTGGCCAAATGATATTCCAGACGACCTATGTCATGGTTTGTCTTTTGATCCGTTACCTATGAGAAAGAAAACAAACATCAGTTAAGAATGTTGAGAATGTGAAATTTTCAAATTAAAACAACAACAGGGTATCTTACTTTGAGGATAAATGTATCAGTCTCTGGATTTTTGACCAGACAAGTAAATCCTTTTTCCCAGACAGGAGAATCAGTGCGGTAAATGATTTGAGTAGTTTGGGTATCTTTTCCAACACCCACAGTAGCAAAAGGATCAGGTCTCCGACCAGGGCGTGCATCCTAAACACGACAATTTTTAAATTACCATCCAAACTGAGATGTAAGAGCAATCATTTGACATATTTATTCTGGAATATGGATTTTTTAAAATGAGACTGGTTTCTTACAGGTAGATTTTTGGCAGAGTCAATATAGACTAATAACACAGCAGTACTCATAGAAGTAACACGCAACTGTTGGGTTTCAGCCAAGGCCTGATAAAACAGACAAAGAAAGATCAGTTTAAGAAATATGAGAAGAAAAAAATTAATTATGATAAAAACAAAACTTACAAGTGACAGAGCATGACGATCTTCAGTCAATGTATGCCAAGACAACCTCAAGTGTACCATGCCATGTTTAGCTTCCTCCAGAGTAAGCCACTTTAGATAAACAGTAAGAACATGGATAATTTGAAAATTTGGAACAGAGACAACCAGCATAACAGAGCAAAAAAATAAAATAAATAAATTACAAACCAGAATAATACTTACAATGTCAAGTTCACCTTTTTTCACAACAGTACTGACTTCAACAGATGCCCTAAAGAAAATAGATCATATTAAAATTCTTACTGAGATACAAAAAAAAAGTAAGTCAATAAAATTCAAGATTTAAAAAACTTTTGTTTCAGAAACTGCTTAGGTGCAAGAAAGCCAACATCCCCGTAATTTTTTTAAATCTTCAAGATGTTAATCTTGATGTTAAATAGTAGCCATCCTTTAACTTTTCAAGCATGCACACATGCAAAGAAGCCATCACAAGCCAACTAATGACAAAAGCAAATTGCAATCAACAAAAAAAAAACCTTTCAAACTGCTTTTTCTTATTTTTGTAAAGGGCAAATTAATAATAAGAAAAACGACATGCACATTGTTGCACTTAAAATCTAGTAGTTGGCAAAGGTGATGCCATGCTGATCATATCTCAAGGCTTCACCTATGAGAGCAATGTAAGAAATTTAAAAAAATACAACCCTTTATGGATATAATTTGTTTAAATGAATCATGATTCCCAATTGTAAAAGTAAAATCTACCTTCCCATGAAATCGTCGTCACTCCCTTTATCATGATCAAAGAGTCGTACCAAAACAGTTCGACGGGTGTTGTCGAACATCATATACTGAAGACACGAATAAAAATCCCTTTATTAGATACAAGATTATTGCAAGGGGCAAGGTAGGGTGAACTGTCAAAGTAATTTAAAACAAGGTGAAGGGTGAAGAACGACCATGGCAGTGAACTAAAAGGGATTTTTTTCCCTCAGAGCTTTTAAATAAAAATGGAGTAAACTTTTGTTGCGAAGGGGAATGAAGGAGAAGGAATAATATAGGGAGAGGAGGGATACCTTCCACACCAGTTATCCTGCAGGTAAGAATCTCCTTCTTCTACAGACACATCAAGAAAGATGTTCTGAGGACTTTCCAGGGGAATCTGAGGGAAGCAGGCAAGTGAAACCAGGGAACAGGACAGGGTGCATGCGAAATCAAAGGGAAAATGGCAGAGCCTGTAAAATAGCAGAGGTAAGAAGAGGAAGTTTAAAATGCATGTGAAAGGGACCAAAAATAGGAAAGGACACCTTCTCCAGTGATCCATCTTGGTGGGACGAATCAAATTAATCAGAAAAAGCAAACCAAACCAAAATTAAAAATAAAATGATAGTTTATGGGAAAAAATGCTAAGTGCAAAAGAACAAAATTAAAAAAGTTACACTTGAAATGTGAAACTAATTTTAGTTACTGCCAGGAGAGGAACACGAACAGTCTCAAAATAATTGCCAGCCACACAAACCAAACTTTTGAAGCTATACCTCCCAAGAAAATCATCATTCTGGACCCCAGGAAATCCGGGATCCCAATCCCAACACTGGACCGTAATTATTTGAGCCCTCCGTGAAGATACCTCTGCCTTGGAAAATTCAGATGTGTCAGCTGACCAAATTGAAAAATACAACACATGCACACTAACAAAGGGCTGACTCTGCCAAATAAAAGGGGCTTGAAGTAGTACACATGAGAGCTAGTGGAATAAAATTTAACTTCCTGCACTTGCATGGTAAAACCATCAATGTTACCTAGTTTATGGGAGAGAGCTTTTTCCTAGACCTACATAACAAACACAGTTTAAAAGGGTCATGGTGATTCAAAACAACAATTCAAGATGGTAGCTACCACAGATTGCTATCTTGGAACAACTAAAAGGTGAGGAAAGAGATGTATCATACAATCTTTCTGCTAGGGAGAAACTGCTGATTGCTCTTGAAAAGCAGGAAAATAAATTGAGTGCACTTGCCCAACAAAAGAGGATGCTGCAGAAAATACACACAGCATGCGCGCAAGAGAACACATTCACCATGAGATGGCACTAGGGTGCCATAAAGGATTTAAAGCCAAGCTACAGGTGTAGAATAGTGCATTAGATCACCACCCATTTAGCAGTGATGAGTCAACAGCGTTCAAATTTGTCATTTTGAAAAATATAATACCCTCTAGGAGAAAGGTCATTTAATATTTAACACATGCTGTACTCTGTAAAAACTGAACAAGGTTTGTGTTTGTGAATAAACGACATCATCTATACAAAACTGTTCATCATTAAGACTAATTATCTATTTACAACAATACTGCAAATCAGATTAATTGAAATAGTTAACCAGCTTGGCTAGTTTCTAAACGGCATTCACTAAATGGCATTTGATAAAATGATAAAACAGTTAAGGGCAGTTTCAATAGTAAATTTGTGAGGAGAAAATCAAGCTGAAAGTTAAAAGTGAGATATTTTTCTACGACCACCACCAGAAATCTACAATGTACGTATATTTGATACCAGTACCAAACTTCTCACCTTCCCAATTTTTCATCCTTCTTTGAGTCATCCTTATCGAAGAGACGAATAAGTAGAGTCTGGGCCCTAGGTGCATAGACCTCACACTGAATAGAATAGATTAAGGCTTTCAAAATTATTACATCAACTAACAACATCTTTTTTCACCATACAGTACAAATTAGTGCATTCTTCAGGCCACATGGAACAGCTTATCTTCTAACAATTCGTTGAACACGCTAAAAATGTGCTACAAACTAGGTCACACTATAGTACATCAGTCAAAATATGTTAAGCATACAAGTATTTCACCAAACAAAAAGAAAAAAAAAAGGCATGAGACAGTTAGTAACTTTTTCCCTACTTTACTATGCTAAGGGTGATGAATTTCATAATGTATGGTCCAACACAATTTTCATGAGTCACTGAACACAACCAATGCACACAATCAAACATTTGAAGGGAAACAAAGAGTTATCTTACCTCACACCAATAATCCCACTTGGGACTAACAGTGTTGTTGATTATTTGTGTGCGGAATTGCTGAGCTCCCACGGTCACAAGTGCATAGGGATCAGACTTGCCTTTACCAAGCATACCAATGTCCATCTTCATCAATTCCTTTGCTTCAACCACATGCACTCTTAGAACACCCTGTAAAATATTTGTCAAAATAAATAGGTAAACTGCAAGCCATTAAGATAAGTATACTTGTAAGTACAATACCTCAGGTTCTGGGGTTTTTAAAATTTGGGCAGGAACAACATCACTCAATGTTATAGGGAGTTTATTGGGTAAAACCATCAGTGCAGCAACTTGTTCAACTATGATCCTTCGTAGAATATCACTGGAAATAGTTTCAAAGTAAGCACATGACTCCAATGTACAAAACATAAGGAAACAGCATAATTGAGAAGATCTATACCTAACTCCAGGCACATCTAGGACATCTGCAGCTCCAACTAAGTTGAAGTCGATGGTAGGATTGTTCAAGAAGAACAACTGAAGCCCTCCCACAAGAGGAATAGTTTGAATCAGAGGTTTCATTACAACTCGAAGCATTCCATGAAGCTAAACAATTGAGCAAGAGATGATTTCAGCCACAGTTCAAACTTATACTTGATAGAAACATGCTAATAGTAGCTAATAGATAGTAACCTGAAAATCTTTGATCCCACCAGGAATACCACTGAGTGTGAATGATATATCACAGTCACCAGCATAAAAAAAGTCTATGTCCATGATGATCTCATTGCGAGAGACATTATGGTCATAAACCTTCACACCTCCCACACGGAATGGGATTGTACCAAGGATCATTTTGTCAAACTTGAACCCGGGCAATTTAAAAGCCGCTAGGGCATTCCTAATATTGGGTTCAATGACAGACCTCAACAGATCTCGAGCATAGTGATTAGCATTTGGCCACAATTGTCGTACAACCTGCAACAGCAGCATGATGGAGTTAATAACAGCTGTCAAATGCCAGGGAGGAAACCACAGCACCTACATCACCTACCCTATTTAGCCATTCTGCTCGTTCTACATCTGGGAAGTACACCTGTAACAGACATAATTGAGTTAAACAAACAGCAAGCAACGAAAAAACTTCAAGTACTTGAGGGAAGGACAGAGCCTGCACCGTGGCTACCGAGAACATAGGAAGATGCCATAAAAATGCATTGATTCCACAAACAGACGGGCGGTGTGAAGAAAAACAAAGAAAACAGTGGAGCACTCACCCAAGCAGGCAGTTCGTCGATTCGGGCCATGATGACTTCTTTCTCGTTGCTCATAGCGGCAGCCTTGGCCAGCGCTCTGCGGGCATCGGAGGAGCGCTTCCACTCCTCGCGGACCACCGACAGGATGACAGGCCCAATGAGCCATGCTACACTGATGTTGTAGTAGCCCAGCAGGTACACAATCGCCACCGTACCCACTTTCTTCGTGACGCTGTACAAAATGCTCAACACTCCGGGGCCTGTTGACCTCCGGGCGACAGGGTTAGGTGCATTGTTGTTCTCTGGCTTGCTCGGAACCACCATGGCGAATGTTTCACTGATGTACTGAGACAATCAATTTCGAAATTTGTAGTAAGTACTTGCGCGAGAGAGATCAGATAAGCATTGCGGAGGGCGTTGTTCGGCACCGCGCAACGCGAATATGGCATGGAAAAAATTGTGCCGACGAGTTCAGCAGTCCGCTTTTGTTGATTACGTCAGGTGAGCAGACGGCGGCGCCAGCAGAAGGCGTTGAAACTGCGAATACCGTAGATATTGGCAGCCATCACGTAAACAGGTTTAGTTTTGAAGAAAGAAAACACACCGTCTGATGATCTGATTCTGTTTTGGTTTTCCCTCGAGCGTTGTGCTACAAGTAAGTATTAGCTGTAATGTCCATCCATTTCCAACAGTAATTCTTCTCAAGTGTCAATCAATCTTCTGTTCTGTTTCATTGAGGCAGCGAACGGCGGCGACTAACCGTGTAAGACTTCAGCAAGACTGTCATTTCAGGCTGAAAGGGAGTTTTTGAAAACAGATTTTCAGGGCTGTTCTCAGAAACATTCATATGCCTTGTCTCAGTGGAGTCATTTCAGCCAAAATGGATGAAAAAGTAGAAGCAGGAACTTCTAGTTCGTTTTCAAAAGTCGGTTTGTCTATGACTGAACTCAGAACTAGTTTGTTGGATTATCTGTTGTCAAATGAAAAGGCACACTTCAAAAGCCAACACAAAGACGATCCTGAGTTGTCTGAAATAGAAAAAAGAAAGATTGCTGAAGACCTTTTAGATCGGAGCCCAGCTCAGTTTCTCAGTCGGTTTGGGCAGTTTCTCTCAGAAGATCATCTACTATATTTCTCTAGCGATGCTTTGCTACACAAGAATGAGTCTTATGAAATTGGGTTCCATTTAAGAAGACTGCGACGATTTCACTGCAAAGCAACACATGATGTAAGATTTCAATCTCGTTTGGTATTATACTGCAAATCATTGCCCAAGTTTTATTCTGTTTGATTTGATTCTGCTGTGTTGATAGGTTGATGTAAAGAACAGACGGTATGATGCCCTAAAGAAGATGATTGCCAATGGTAGTTCTTACTTTTCTGAAGATGAAATGCGCCAAAGAAATCCATATCTGTATGAACAACTGATTGGACAGTACCTATCGGAAGAAGAGCGCAAGGAAAGAGAAGCACCTGATCTTGAAAACATCACGTGAGTATACTGTGTCAAACAAATATTGTATGTATTATTATTATCAAATTGGAGATCTCTCAAGTTATTTTTGTTCTGTCAGATTTGTTAATTTACTTCTCATGAAAATATCAAAAGATGAGACAAAGGAGCTATGGACTAAACAAGAAAAAGAAGAAAATGGTACACAAAATGACTCATCACAAAGCAGTGATGAAAATGAGGATACATGTGCAGCAAAGAACTGGAATGAACGTGGCACTTGGGGCGAAATGGAGGATGATGTCACTAAATTAATGGACAAAAGAAAGAAGTCAAAGAAAAGGAAGAGCAGACTTGAGGCAGTGCCAGATATTAATGATATTTCAGATGACGAGCGGCACTTGCTCATGGAAGAATTTATGTCGACCATGTACAACAGTTTCATTGATGGGAAGGATGCTGACTTTGACTACAGGTGGGCATAGCACATTACCCATATGGTTTGTCTCAAACTAAGATCTGTTTCTGACCCATATTTTTGTTCCAGCCAAATCGACAGTAATCCTGATTATGATTGTATCGATGTCCGAGAAAAGGATGAGGAGGAAAAATATTTTGATGCAGAAACTCCAGAAGATGTGGAGATGGAAGCTGTTGCTGACACTCCAGTACCTGAGTCACAGATGCTTCCACCCCCATCATTGGCCGAAAAGCGGAAGGCTGAAGAAGAGGAGGAGGACACCTTGGATGCCTTTATGAGAACAGTAGAGGTGCCTTGTCAAACATCAGAGCTCACATCTGCTTTCAGAAATCTTTGTCATCAGAGTGCTGTGCAAGCACAGGAAAAGTCCAGAGTCAAGAAAACTCACGTCATCAAAATTAATTTGAAGCAAGATTAACTGCTCCTGTTTTAATTCTTAGCACTATTAAAACTTGTTAAGCAAAACTGCCATGTTATTCCATACTGTTTAAGTCAAATTACCAATCAATCACCACTGCTTTCAATAGATTAAATGGGATGAATGTTTGAATTGGGACTAATTGGAGAAAAATTGAAGTCATAATCAGTGTTTTATTACAGGAATGAAATATAACAATGAATATGACACCTCCCAAACCGCTTCACAATTACAGTCTACTTCAGCTTCTTCTTGGGGCGGAGGTTGTTTGTATGTCCACACTTCTTCTTGCGGCAGTTGGTTGCTCTGGGGTGAAGACGGGCATAGCACTTTCGGCAGATCATTTTGTCGCAGTTGTACTTCATTGCCAAAATTCGGAGGGTGGGCTCAATGACACCACCTCGGAGACGGAGAACCAGGTGAAGGGTGGATTCTGAAAAATTTACAAAGTTGTGATTAGCATAAGAGTACACAAATAGAAGTAATGACACAAGTACTTAAGGAAACAACTTACCCTTCTGGATGTTGTAGTCTGACAGAGTCCTGCCATCCTCCAACTGCTTGCCAGCGAAGATAAGACGCTGCTGGTCTGGGGGAATTCCCTCCTTGTCCTGGATCTTGGCCTTCACATTCTCAATGGAATCTGAAGGTTCCACCTCAAGGGTGATGGTCTTGCCCGTAAGGGTCTTGACAAAGATCTGCATTTTGAAGGCCTGGAACAAAACAGCATTACCATTAGAGAGGCACAAAAGAAGTAACGCTACTATGGGAATGACCCACAGTATTTTTCAAAAGCCCTTTTGAGTTGAGTATTATTTTTTCCACGGCCTTCAAGTTGGCCAATCTACCAGGAAAACTGATGTCAGGTTTTCCAATAATTCACTCAGAATTTTAGTCTGTACCACTAAGCTTGATGGGATAAGGAATATAGACAACCAAATCTCCGTCCTGCTGTGAATTAATTTGAGTCCCTATAGACGCCGAAAGGCCTAGAATCAACAAATCAGCAACACAGGGACTGGGACACACTAACAGTCGAAGCCTCTGATACATTCTGTGCCAAATTGATTGCTTGTTCCACAGAACTTGATGGGATAAGGAGTTAGGAATCCAAATCCTCGTCCTGCTATGGTGTTATGTAAGTCCCATTAGACGCCACAAGGCATAAGATCAGCCAACCAGCAACACAGGGACTAGGAAATTATATAGAAGTGCCCAACTCAAAATAATTATTCATGTACATATGTTGTGTCAGTAAGCACGACGAGATGCGGGATTAGAGCAACCGCATCTCCAACCTGCCGTGAATTAATTTAAGTCCCAGTAGACGCCAATATGCCTGGAGTCAGCATATCAGCAACACAAGGACTAAGAGTAATTGAAAGTCAAAGTCTCTGATACATTTGCTTAACAGATACAAAGTTGATCGCTTGTTCGACAGAATTTGGTGGGATAAGGAATCAGAAATCCGAATACCTGTCCTGCTATAATGAATTTAAGACCCAATAGGCATCAAAGGGAATAGAATCAGCCAGTCTGCAACACAGGGACTGGGTTTCGTTCAGGTTTCGGTAAAGAAAACAAATTTTGGCAGAGTTAGCAAAGTGATTTGAACAGTGGGAAAAAATGGAAACCAGTATGCAGTCATGCTAGCAATTAACAGAATCCAAAGCAATAAAATGACAGGTAGTTGATGCACAATGAAAACCACGATGCCGATGGTTTCATATGCCTTCAATAATCTTGCTCAAGCAGATACACAGAACCTTTCTTTAGCAATAAAAATTAATGGCGTAGCGGTGACGCAGGCCGGTGCCTGTTGCCACCAACATAACCCTAATCTGCCACTGCATTTAAGTGGAATTATCATTCGAGAAACATGCATAAACCATGCTACGGAACAAGTAAACATGGTTCGTGTCAATAAAAGGGCCACAAGATGTGGTGTAAATGGGGATGATAGCAATGGCGGGGACGACTTGCGGAAAGCATGGCCTAGGCTATGCCTACGACGCGGAACAACAAATCTAGAAAAATAGTAGTAGAAATGACACAGGGGCTTCGAAACACGTCGCAGAATGCGAGCACAACTGCTCAACCTAAGTAAAGCATCCCCAGCACAGGAGAAACTAGAACTACAGAATAACAAAGCTTCGTCTAATGCACCTTAACCTGGACGCGGCTACAAATCCAGGTTGTGATTCGGAGTGAGATTTAAAAAGACTAATACCTAATTGTACACCGAGATATTCGGCATAAAAGTTCCCCTTCACAGACTGCACACAACTCTTTCAAATACGTTCGAAACCTACAATTGTAACGCCAAAATGAAACTTACGTTCTCTGCAACGTGGTAGGAGTTCTTGCCTTGCACGGGATGAAGACCGGACCTGGACCTGAACCGGAAACCGATCGTATCGTTGGGCGGAAAACGCTACTTGGCTGCGAGACATCGCTGTCGCACGACCAGGGTTTCATTGTTTACCTGCATCACAAATAAAATAAGTGCATATTAACGGTCACTGATTTTATAAATTTTAATAATATGCACAAAATGGGCCGAAAAAACACAAAAATCTACAATGTTTACGAAAAATGCAAAAATGATAAATGTGACAACCTCGCCTTCTCCTGCGAATAAGTTTCCCCCGTCTGTTCACAAACAAACAAACAAGTTGTTGAGTGGTCTGCATCAATTTCTTGTTTGTGACTTCGAATCCTTGTTTCGGCGTAAGTTCACTGACTGTTCACCCCTGTTCATAGAGTCTCTGGATGGCACCAGGCAGCATCCCATGTGCCATTAAAAATTGCTCACGTTATTTTGGAAAATGAGTCCTCTAACCTTGAGACTTTTCGTGGTTTCCCAGTTTTTATATTGTCTTGCTTGAATGACAGGTATTACATTCATCATAATGAGATGAATGAGTCTGAGATTTATCTTCCCTTTCACATTTTTATCTTGTCTGTTTTCTGATAGATTCCTGATTAGTGTACAGTGTAGAGTGTTATTCTTAGTTTCCCTCATTTCAGAATGACAGCATTAACCCAAAGTGTTCCTGATATGGAAGCGTTAATAAAAGATGGTTCCAATAAGTCTGCTTTGACATGCTTACACTGTCCATCCCGGATACTAAATGCTTCTGTGGGCACATATGTTGAGAAAGAGGCAAGTCATATCATACACGCCCTTTTACAGTATAATTTTTTTCTGCATCTAATCTAAACTTTATTTTGTTTCAGTTCTCCTTGCCTGCAATGACAAAGCTGAAGAGTCAAACAGACACTGAAAACCATGTCCTCAAAGACTTCTGGAAAGTTTCAGATATGTTCCATTTTGAAAATGTAGGCTTCTCTCACACTGCCGATGGTGTTAAGTATCTCACTTGTGCTGATTGTGAGATGGGTCCTATTGGGTGGCATGATCTTCAAACTAAGGAGAACTTTGTAGCTCTTTGTCGGGTAAAAAACTCTTAAATAACTTTACCTTAATAAAATATTTTTGAAGTCGTGTACAGTGTTGTTGGCGCATCAGTTTCAAATATTTACCCAACTAGATACAGCAGATCATATTAAGCAGCCTCAAATAAAGCAACTGACTAAAAAAACTAAATTAACTTTGTTTAATACAATTACACAAATTTGTATTATTTAATGGGTTTTGATTTCAAGAGTTTGCTGGCTTCTAACTGAGTGAGGTCTCTCACCCTCTTCACATCATGTAGTTTCCTATCCTTCGCTCCAGATGTGGCTTTCCCCTTCTGTTAGGGATGAAAAAGAAACAAATAATATCTCAAATATGACAGATAATACTTCCATATTTAGCCTTTACACTCACTGCATATTCTTCAATGCACGTGTAGTAATTTTTCAGCGACTCAGCACACCTTTTCTGATTAAAATCACTATCTTTAAAGCATTGTAGCAGTACAGTTAGCTGAGATACACATGGTCTTGCTGGAAAAAAAAGCAACAACACAACTCATATAAGGGAACGTGCCATGACAACCCTATGCTGCTGTTCTAAATTAGAACATGTTTATATCAGTCAAAATGATAAAGTACTTCATTTTACCTTCATTATTGGCCTGCAAGTTCGTGTAGCGATCTCCAAGCTCCAAGGGATGCAGGGCTTGAAATGGGATGGGGTAAGAACATTCATACTGGCGACGAACTGGTACTCTTTTCCTTAAATTCAGAACTTGAGTCACTCGCATGATGCCTACAATAGCAAATACAATAAGGGGTATCAAAGTCGCACAACCGTTTAAACAATTGTCACTTGTTTCTACTCAGGATGAACATTATGAAACAATATTAGAAGCAATATCTCAGATAATTATAAAACAAGTTTCATAATATTAAAACTACCTTAGCAATAAACAAGACGCTTGAAAGTGGGAATTTCAGAACTTCCAATCTAAGGTGTACAAAATTTAATGCAGGTTAAGTTGCACTGTTCACCGCCCTCCACGACAAAGTCTTCTGCTAGAACGTGCGAATACTTCTCAAGGAGGTAGCTGCAAATAGTGTTCTACTGTCAGGCTGTCAACCACTTGTCATTCATTCTACTCCATAAAAGAGGGAATTTTATATTATTCATGTGCATGAATGAATAAATGATCAATTCTACGTAGTTGGTAGAAAAGAAATGGAGTCCAAGAAGAAGTATGAATTCCATTATATAATTAATAATATTCAGAGAATCGCCCTTTATGAAACAAAAGCAGTAAGTCGTTACATTCATTAATTTCCCCTTCAAATTATCAACAGATTATCCGTAACCTTGATAATTTACTCAACTATATTAATTTTTCAGAGATACTTCTTAGTGGGTTCCAATAACAGCCAGACGAAATTCCGTGTTTTGAAAATTGACCGAATGGAACCTCGTGAACTCAATGTTGTTGATGACCATCAAGTTTATTCCCGGGAGGAAATCCAAAGTCTTTTAAGTATGATAGACGTTGGCAACCGCAATAGGCAAGGAAGTTTAGGTACTCCATTTGTTCCAGTTGCGTCTGCTTTTGGCATTGTTGGTAAGGATTTTTAGAAGAATTACTTTTCATGTCTTATTTCATCTGCATAGTCTTACAAATTTTCTTTTGTGGCTTCAGGATTTGTACGATTTTTGGAAGGGTATTACATTATTTTAGTCACAAAGCGGAGACATGCTGCGATGATTGGACACCACAGCATTTACAAGATAGAGGACACTGCTCTAATATACATTCCTAATGATGGTGTGCGTAAAGCACACCCTGATGAAGCACACTACTTAAAAATGTTCCAAAGCATTGACCTATCTAGTAACTTCTACTTCAGGTATGTACAGTCAGCACTTCTAACAACTTGACCACTTATTAAAAGTATATGTGATTAGGGTTGAAATAAATGAAATAAAATTTGGATTCTATAGTTTTAAAATGATTTTTCTTTCAGCTATAGCTATGACATGACTCATACACTACAAATGAATTTAACATTTCCGGCTTCCGGCATTCCCATTCCATCAGGTATTTCATCTCCTGTTTTATATTTTACACTTTTTTTAGCCCCACCCCTGACCATTGACATTTGCTTTTCTATCTTGTTGTTTGCAAACATCTTTTTACAGATTTGAAGAAAAACTATTTTGATGAAATGGAAAGTGCAGATGACCTTTTCTCTGAAAGCAGTCACGGCTCAAAGGAATCAACTAACTCCAAGTCTAACTCATGGCTTTTAAAGTTAGTGCAATGTGAAGTGCCTTAATTTTTTAATCTCTATCTATCTTATCTAATTTGTTATGATAATATTATCTTTGTTTTCAGACAAGCAAAAAGACATTTTGGAATTCGCAACAGCCCAAACCAAAGATTTGTTTGGAATTCCTACCTCCTTAAGCAGGTTGAAGCTGTACTTTGTCCTGATTGGATCTTGCATGTCACTCATGGATTTGTCAGTCAGTCCAATGTTTGTATCTTTGGGTGCTCTGTGTACATAACACTGATAGCACGCCGCTCAAATAAATATGCTGGAACACGTTTTCTCAAGAGAGGTTCTAATTTTGAGGTAAATAGTCTAGTAGGACTTAAGTATGTATTATTAAGTATAGTATTATCAAGAAGGTCTTCAGTTAAATTTTATTTATCTTTCAGGGGGATGTTGGCAATGAAGTTGAAACCGAACAAATAGTGCACGACTCTGGAGTATCATCTCTTCACCAAGGCCGATTTAGTTCATTTGTACAGATGCGTGGTTCCATTCCTGCACACTGGAGTCAAGACATTAGCAAAATGGTTCCTAAACCTCCAATTATGTTTGACCTCAGTGATCCATTTTCAGAAACTGCAGGGAAACACATAAATAAGTTATTGTCTCGTTATGGATCTCCTATAATATTTCTTAATTTGGTGAAAAAGAGAGAAAAAAAGATTCATGAGAGCCAGCTTAGTATTGAGCTTAATAATGCTATCAAATACCTCAATCAATTTTTGCCTCCTCAACATCACATTGAGTATGTGAGCTTTGACATGGCAAGACAGAATAATCAGTAAGTCACTCCTTATATCATTTGTTTACTGTGAAATAAATCACCATATTTACTCATGCAAACTTTCCAGAAAAGATGTGAATGTCATGAAAAAGTTGGCCAAAATAGCATATGACGCTATTCAACGTACAGGTATTTTCCAGAACTTTGATCCATACTATCAACATAAAAGTGAATTTGTTGTTGGAAAACCAAATCTGATTGATGGTCACGGCCGAGTCCAAACTGGTATCATTAGGGTAAACTGTGTGGACTGTCTGGACCGCACAAATACTGCACAGTTTGCACTTGGAAAATGTGCTCTAGGCTTTCAGGTAACTTGGTAGCATGTTATTTTGTATAGTAGCATGATAAGGCTAACTAGGCTTCTTTACATTACTAGAAACATTTGATTCTGTTACAGTTGTGCGCTCTTGGTTTCATCAGGGAGCCCAAACTTGAGTTTGATTCAGATTGTGTCCGCATGCTGGAAAATTTGTATGAAGATCATGGAGACACGCTAGCTCTCCAATATGGTGGATCTCAGCTAGTGCACCGAATTAAAACATACAGAAAAACAGCTCCATGGACATCTCAAGGCAATGACATTATGCAAACCCTCAGCCGCTATTACAGAAATACGTTCTCAGGTATATTTTCTTTTCTCTTTTTCCAATTTTTAATAAGTGAAATGGAGAGTGAAGGGTTTCAATAATTCCCAAACTTTAATTTTTGGTGTCTCAATTAATTTTATAGATACTGAAAAGCAGCATACTATCAACCTTTTTCTAGGGCTTTTTGTCCCAGAAGAAAATAAACCTGCTATTTGGGAGCTACAAACTGATTATTACATGCATCATACTGTTTCACTTAGAAGGGATGTTTGTCGTAGGTTTGTATTTACCCTTCATTCATCAGGATATATTTGTTTGTTTGCTCGGTCAACTGATAATAATAATGTTAATATTTCTTGAATTAAAAATTTTCAGAGCTCCCCTCACTATGTGGTGGGATAAGGAAGTGTTAGAAGTTTTGCCTCGATCGCTAGAAGAGGTCAAGCGGACTTACATGCAGGTTCTTTTGGCTGAGCCAAGAGATGAATTGGTTGATGCTTACCAAGACTATTACCAGCCCCTGAGATTTAGTGTTTTAGCAGAACTATTCTCATATAAGATCAGCAACTCTGTAAGGTAATTATTGACTTCTATGATTGAAATCATAATGGAATGATGCAATGGTATTTTTTACTGATTTTGTTAAATTATGATTGCAGAGATTTCATGCCTCACTGTACAACTGACTACAGTCCATTTATTGTAAGAGCAAGACCTGGGCGCAGAAGAGAGGAGTCAACTTCTCGGGGAGGTATCATGAAAAATCCATCACTCACTGGCCAAAGCTCTACAAGCTCAACAACATCTAGTGCAAGGTAAGAATGAAACGAGGTTTACCATAAATCACATAAAATCACCCACCTTATCAAAGATTCAATAAACCTTAATTATGTTAAATTTCAGTTCTGAAGAGGAATCTGATGTAGAAGATGATGTCAATGTCCCATCGGACACTCACAGCACACCATCATCTAAAGATAGCATTAAAACAGCTACATTTGAAGCCATGTTCCCCTGCATGCATCAAGTGTACGGTGTTCAACCTGAGGCACTGGGCCCAGGGGACTTGAAATTGTTAAGAAGGTATGCATTGGACACTGCAATGGCTTGTCATTTCCACATCAGGCTTTTTCAAGTTGAAAGTTTTAAACTCTTGACAATGGCAAGTTGTTAACTATTTCTTTTTAAATTTAGGTATGTTATCTTTGGACGTAATGCCTCAAGACTGTCACAAAAAGAAGTATTGAATCGGCTCTTGACAACAAAATTGTTTCAAAAGAGACAATTTCCACCTCAATCAACTGTCTGTATGAAGCCTCCTGAAGTTACCTCTCACTCAAAAAATTTATATGAGCAATTTGTAGATCGTGGAAGGAAGGGTTCTGCTAATGTCTCTGCAGCTGATCTAAGCAAGTATAATCTGTATGTGACTGATAGGACACTGGAAATACGCCATGTCCGCATACTCCGCTTTACATTGAGTGATTGACCTCCACAGTTTAATATAGCTGACCTAAATGAAACTTGATCAAAATGGAGCTGGACCTCCACTAGAAACTAAAAAAAAAAGGAACACAAAATGTTATATGTTTTGCCAAAGTTTATTACTTGTTATTTTAAAGTTTAAATAAATTACAGAAAATATTGAACATGTGGTGCCTTCAAATTTTCAAGTCCCAAACACCCTTTGATGTGCTCAAAGCATTGTATGGACTTACAGGTATGTGAGGATATAGTTACAGCTAGTCGCTTAGTTTAAGTTAGAATATTGCCTGCTAACAGAACCTGTTGAACAGTGTTGAAAAGGACTACAAAAGTACTGCAACACAATCTACATCAACAACTTAAAACAAATCAACAGCAATCAAAGCCATTACAGCCCTTAACCGACAGGTACTTTTCACCAAGTCTAAATATTTAAATACATACAAAAAATAGTAAAAATGTATATAAAAAATATTTTTGAAGTAACACCGATTTAAAATTGATTAAAATTGTATTTTACAAGAGCCAGGTTAGTTGACATTAATGCATTCGATTGACATGTGCACGCAAGTCATCTGGCACCCAGAAAGAGGCAGTGCATATCTCACATTCATATTCTTTCACACCACTATGTTTAACAACATGTCTTTCAAATGATGATAAAAGGTAAAATGACGCATTGCAATCAGAACACTTGTAAGGACGTTCACCAGTGTGTTTACGAACGTGAGCTGCGTGAGATGTGCTAGAAACATATGACTTGTCACACAAATGACACTGGTAGCGGTTTCCTATCTCATGCATTTTTTCATGCCGCTGTTGACTCTCGCGGTTTTTAAATATTTTGTTACAGTATTTGCATGTTGTTGTCTTTTTTGAATGGGACCATTTATGCCGGGTAAGGCTGAATTTATTGCAAAAACTTTTTCTGCACAACTGGCAGGTAAACTTTGTGTCTTTGAATGGGGTCTTACTTTTTAGAATTGGCTTTCTCTTCTGAGGAGCTCCTTGTTCCTTCACTTCACTCCCTGTTTCATCACCACTGCTTTTATCAAAGATATCTTCTTCCTCTTCCTTTATCTCAACATTCAGCATTTCAGACTCATAGATAAATAAACTTGATTGAGGTGTGTCAGTTTTGAGTGCAACCATTACCGGTCCATTACTCGTTGCATCTTTGGTAGGAGCAGAGCTACATTCTGAAGATTGTACAGGTCTGTCTGGCTGTGAGGAAAAAAAACAGGAATCAAGAAAGGGAAACCAGAAAAATAAAAATGTTAAGTTATGTCACTTTAAAATCAAACAACATAAAAAGAAATATTGCAGAGTAACTAACTATTCCTCAACAATATCCGAGAATTTAAAATGTAATCAAACTCTATGGCAAAATATTTAACTCAAGATTTTTACAAACAGATAATCTGTGACAATTGTTACTGCTTGTCGTACCAAACTTGTTTATTATGTTTATTTGCAGCAGTGAAATATCTATGCAAATACTTACAGGAAAAAGTACATTTTCCTTCTCAAACCATAATTATGTCTATCCAAGGTAGAACTTCAATAAAACAAAAAAAAATCTTGGCAGATGATCCTTGATGTTCATGGCAGGCGATGCAGGCTGGAGCAGGTTCATTGCAGAACTACCATCTCGACTTTAGGAGAAAAGCTCATTCAAATCTGGTGAGGGAACAGCAAAGCAGAAATGAACAATGAAGGAATGATGGAAGATGTCCTTGTTTCACAAGATTGAGATAAGTTTGAAATTTTAAGTTTAACACAGGGTAAAGAACTTAGTATCTTTAAGAACTAAGAGAGGAATTGGTGACAATTACTTGAAATATATATTTCCAATGACAGAAGTTTGAGATCTGATCTTGGTGTTGAAGCATGCGAAGACAGGTCCTCTTCTTTTCAGTCTCTTCGTCGATGAAAATTCTTTGCAATAACTCAAAAATTCAAAGAAAATATCTAGAGAATATTAATTTAGCACACTGAATTGAACTTTGAAATTAATGCACGAGTAACAAGATAAATATATCAACCAAATAAAATGCAGCGTGCAAGATATTGGATCAATGCAGAACATCATGATACAAGGTTTAATGTTCAAAATGACCAAAAATTTAATGTTTAGTAGGTACAATTTACGTAATAATATTGATTGTTTTCTCAGTACTTCGAAGCGCAGCTATGATGTATCTGTAAATTTTTGTGATATTTTGGATTCAGAGTCAAAATGTGTGGAACACACCTCTTTTCCAAATTTCAGTCTAACATGCTTCCTTAGCAATGCATCAGCGGCAAGGCATTTCTGTTTGAATTCATAGAGTTTCTCAACCTGCACAGAGCATTCACTGCAGATTTTAGTAGGCAAATTATCAGCTTCTTCAACCTTCAAAGAAAAAGAATATTTCATTGGTGAAATGGCTTTTAAAAACTAATTGTAGACAGCAAAGTAACAGACCGTTTACCTGAATAGAGGTGCTAACCAATATTTTTTCTCTAAGATTGGCTGTTGGTTTTTCATTTATGGGGTGTACAGGTTCAAACAAATCTTTCAAAATACAATTTTCACCTAAACATAAACGACATAACCCATGTGTTTCTTCCAAAGTTAACAACTCCATTTTCTTTGACTGATAACCCCTAGGAAGGAAATAAAACACACCGCAAGCTGGGAAGAGATAAAAGCAATGTTGATCGTACAAAATCAAAGAATTTAAATGGCAGCAAATACACAACCAAATAATTCAGTGCAGACCGGTGCAAGTGGGTGCAAGATGAGCTGCTTTCCTGCCGATGAGAAATTCAGTGTCTGAATTAAATTTAGTGAATTTAGTGATAGTTCTTTCTACCTGGAAACCATTGCTTACTGTCATATTTTTGGTTCTATTCTCAATGAGTTCTATGTTGCGATAAATTGGATGAATAACAGAAAGATTTAGGTCTTAATAGTGATTTTCGCACACGCTATGAGAAATATTTTGATGTTGATTGGTTGAAGATGAAGTTGTGAAGGTTTTTGTTTTGAAGATGTGAAAAGACTGCAAACTTGTAATGAATCGTTTTAAGACAATGACTTTGCGCGTATATTCATCACTTGTAAAGAAGTCACGTCTCCAGCTAGTAAGTTTTTCTATCTGTAAGTTATTACCACATTCTGTCAATGAATAATCACAAAGTCTACACACTAAGGCAAGGGTTATGGTTGTCACAATTCATGTTGTTTGATTGAAAGGTGTGGTATTTTGCAAGGTATGTGGATGATATTATTTTTCAACTTCCAATCATCTATGTTGCATTCTTATTATTAGACATTTATAGACTCAAGTTACCAAAGAAAAGTCTTCTGTCCAGTCTATTGATCCTCATACGGGCAACACCTTTGTGATGGTTTCTTTATAATTTTGTGTGTTTTTTCTTCCCTTCAGGTATTAAGAATTATCTGAAGCTATGAATGTTGAGGTGCTCTCTGTTCGTGGCTTGCGACCAGAGTTTGGCAAGGTTGACCGTGACTTATGGCTCTGGTTTTGTGATGCAACGCGGGAGTGGGAAAAGTGCCATGGCCCTCGAGTCACGAAGCGTTTGGTTCAGGCCAAAGCTAAACTGGCTTTTGAGGCTGCAGGCATCTTCAACTTTAAAGTAAGAATGAGTTTGTGGAGCGCAACAACGATTGAAAACTTCACAGGCTTTTACAATAATTTGATCTTGCCTTTGCAGGCTAGTGATGGCTGGTATATTCGATGGTTGAAGAGATGGCGTCAAGCAGCAAAGCAGAATAATGAGGTAAAACTTGCAAACTGTCCTGTGTACGATACGTTTCTATTATGAACCTTAATATAAACATTGCTCTTTTCTTTCTAGCCCAACCCTATCTCAAAGACTGCAAGTAAAGCTCAACTGCCTAAGAAGCGAGCACCAAGAAGAGCTTCAAAAACAAAGGCATCACCGCCAGTGATCCTACAAAGCTCAACAGACACGACAATCTCTAGATTATCTCTAGAAACTGGACCAACTGACTATAGCTCAAGAGATGAGTCAGACAGCAAAATTATCTGTAGTGTTCAAAACTTAGCATCTTTGCAGCCCAATCATGAAAATAATAGACAGAATTCCTTGGACTTTGCCAGAAATCATCTCTGTCAACCTGAAAGACCATGTTCAGATGTGAACCTTGCTGCAGCATTTTTACCACAAGTATGTTTTTCTATTTAGATTTTAAATCCTTCCTAACAACAAATAAATTTTGTGCTCAATTTTCTTTTTGTCTTTTCCAGCACTACAATGCACTGAGTGAACTTAGCACAGTTGAAATTGAGCAGCGATATGCTCCTGACGCCTCATCACTTTCGAACTTAGAAGATATCGCGTGGCATGATTTGTCTGAATTGTCATGCTATGAGAGGCCCTCTTTCAAGCTTACTACTCATCAAACTTTGGAGATGAGATCCGAGACTCCACGTTGCTTTTCAAAGCCTGTGCCACGATTGAAACCAACAGTCATAGGAAAAGGAAAGTTGTGTGAATTGCAGAAGTCTTTTCAGACATATGTTCTAAGCTCTTCCTCTGAGACCAATGTCAGCTTTGGTGTTCTTCCTGCCAACCAAGTTCCTTCAAAGAAGATGAAAACAAATCCAACAAATTCATTTCTTGTTAAAAATATTGGAAGCTCTCAAGGTGCTGCCATTGATGGTGCCCTCAGACAAAAACCAGGAGACAAAGTCAATAATTTGCATTCAGACTTGATCAATGATGTTTCTGCATGCGGAAACTTCACACATCATGACTTGGAAGATGTTTCTGTCAGCTCTGATTTTGTTAATCAATTAAATGATGAACTTTCTCTGGAGCTTAACTTGCAATATGAAAATGAGAATTTATCTCACCAAATCCTGGCCAAAACTGCAACTAGTGAGCCACTAACTTCAAACTCAAATTTTAGCATTGATTGTAGCATGGTACAACCAGCTTTAGACACCTTTGGTGGTCTCATCCCTCCAACAGCCACTCATGGAGGCAATGCCTGTGCAGGCTCAATCTGCCACATGAGTGTAGCAGAAGGTGATTTCAGCTGTGAAGAGAGTGACTATATTTCTAATGCTGTTATGCGTTCAATGCAAGAAGATGATTTTTCCATTTTGAATTGTGACCAATCACCATTCCAAGGCACATTATCCGTGGTCGATGAAAATAGTCAGCCTGACAAAGTGAATAACCTTGATGACGGTGTCTCTGCTGCTCTGACCTCTGAAGAGAGTCTCGTGAATCGAGAACATGTGTTTTATAGTGGAGGCATTGGTTCATTCAACAAAGCTTTGAAAGGCAACAACAACTCGCTGATGACAGTTACTCACCAAGACAGTATCAAATATCAACCATCTCAACGGGAAATCTTTGTGCAACCAGAAACATCTTATATGTCATCACATTTAGTAAATGATGACCATTTAGTGCCAAATAAAGTGCAGGAAGAAGTCTTTTGTTTTTCCCCTCTTGCAGAAGAGGGTGATGTGGCAAAAGTTCAGGACTTGCTGCAGTTGTCTTGTTCCGTTGGTTCAGAGTCTTCAAATCAATTGTTGTCTTCATCTGTGGACCAATCTCAAATAGAAGAACAAGAACTTAGCCTGTCTTCTTCTGTGGCTGGAAATATGATTGTTGATACCAGTGGCGTGTTTCAAGTATCCTCACTTGTGGGAAATCAGGATTTGTTCCAAATTTCATCCTCTGGTGCTGTGAATGAATATGCCACAAATCAAGATGTTTTCCTTTCTTCAAATTCTAATAATGGAAGCTCACATTCCTCCATATGCTTCAGAAGTAATGAAGTTGAACAAGATCCTCAAAAATTAATCTGCTCTACAAGCCAAAGTACCAACAATATATCAAATATGTACTTCTTGCCACGTTCATTGGAATGTGAAATGGATTCTGATATTGTTGGCCACTCGAGCCTTCCACTGAATGGCAGTGTTGTCTCTATTGCTGACAACACAATGCACCTTTGCTCTCTTGATTCTCAAGTCATGTCGCTTCCTGAGGTGACCGTTGCCAATGCTGACTCAACAAGAGTGCTTTTGAGGTCTTCATCTCATTTGCATACTGATCAAACACCAAGTCTTACAGCATTGACGTCACCAAATACTTACTTGATCAGGAATGCACCAGTGCAGGAGCTATCGCCAAACCCTGAAAATATTGAAGTCTCTGCTCCCAGTTCAACTCACAGCCCCTGTAGTACAGAAAGTATCTTTTCATATAGTGCTGTGGATCAGGAACAATCTTCTACCGGCCTCATGAACTGTGAGTCTACAAAGGAAAATGGATTTGCAGCCTATGATCTTCAATTAGTGGAAAGTGTTTTGTCTGAACAAGATGATGCTCCAAACAATCCATTCAAAGCTGTAAGTTATGTAGGAAAAGAAAAACATTAAAAAATAAATGTAACCTGTTGTAGTTAAATAATTTCACTTGCATATTTCTTTTCCACAGCCAAAGAAGACCGCAACTTGTTTGACAGAAAAGGGAAGCAACACCAGCAAAATCAAGAATGGCGCGGAAAAGGACCAGTCATGTTACCGTCGATCCAGCGGTGACCGATATTTTCCCTACTTCAAAGAGAAAGTTGTTGAATATGCTTTGAAGCATACAGCAAAGGAAGCTGCAAGCTACTTTGGTGTTAATGTTAACACAGTTACAATTTGGACCAGAGGAAAAACTGAGGTAGATTCAGTAAGTATTGCTGTTTCTTATTGTGAAGGCTTTGTGTTTGTGTGTTTATTTAACATTATACCATTCATTTCTAAAAAACTTTTAAGGTTGTGAAAAATTATCCTGATCAAATTATGTTGAGATGGTTGAAGAAAAGTAGGGAAAGTGGCATTATTTTGACAAGAGAACAAGTGGCTGAAAGAGCAATTCAATTGTTAAAAACTCCTGGCAGTTGGGTGAAGGACAAATCTCGCTGGTTTTATGTGTGGGCATGCAGGTACAGTAATGTTCTCTCATTCTTCCATTCATTGTATTTCAAGTGTGTTGAGTAAAAACAAAGACCATCAATATGTATGTTCAATATTTTTTTCAGGCTTCGAGATGATGAAGAAAGGAGAAATAGGCTGAAAAATAATGTGAAGGAGACACCAAAGGCCCCTCTTGACTGCGGTGATAAAAAAGCTCTATATCCAGATGATTTAAAAATTGAAGTTGTTCTTTATGCTGAACAAACTAGCAAGAACCTTGCAGCAACCGTTTTCAATATAGCAAGAAAAAGGGTCTTTGAATGGTCAACCTTTTTGAAAGCCCATGAAGGTTCTTATCATTTGTATCTGTTACTCTTTGCTAAAATTTAGAGAAAATTATGTGGTAAAATCGTTTTTTCCTTTTTTTGCAGTAAACACAATGAAGGTCAACCAGTTAAATCAACTTCCATCAGATTCTGCAAAGCACATTCAGATCAACGATGTTCAAAGCACTTTGGGGTTTATTAAACTAACCACCGCAAGCACCTCAAAGCTTAAATTAAACAGTAAAAGTTTTGGTCGAGGTGTAACAAGTGTAGCTGTTGATCAGGAATTGTGGGATTGGTTTTGTAAGCAGACAGCTAAGAAAAATAAACCTAAGAGTAAAGAGGTAAGCTACATCAATTATTGGTCATACATAGTTTGTTTTGTTGATTGCTTTAGTTTTGTCCTGCTTTATTTTATTCTAGATTCGTGCAAAGGCTGTGGAACTGTTTCGAGCCCACAATTATGACAAAATTCAGTGTTCACATGGATGGCTGAAGAAGTGGAGCCTTAGATATGGGATTGCTTTGCGCCATGAAGGTGACAGTGATCTTTTAGCTTGGTGCCTTGAACAGTTTGATCGCAACCGCAACATTCCACATAGAGAGTTAGTCAATTATGCCCAGGAGGTTTTGAATGGTACTCACAAATCGGAATTTAAAGTGAGTGCAATTTCCGTAACAGTGCCTTTCTCTCAACCAAATTCAACTTGAGGTAGTTAACCTGAAATTTGTTCCATTTTCACAGGGATCCGCTGGCTGGCTTGTTCGATTCTGTAAAAGACACCGAAACCTTCTTTCTGCCAAACCTGGCATTGAAGTTGAGATACCCAGTGTGCTAAGGCAGAGCACTTCAGAATTCCGATCACACACGCAAAAGCTCATACATTCTTCAAATATGCCATTGAGTAATGTTGGCTGCATGGATGAACTCCCATTAAATTTTACATCAGGTTAGCATATAATTGAAGAATACTATAGTTTCTTTCATTTCCTTTATTCTTTTATCTAAATTTCTTTTGTAACCAAATGTCCTTTGTGTTTTCCCTGTGCAGGAAGTTCCCGGAGTCGCTTATTGTTGAGACAATCGAGTCTTGAGAATTGTCATGCCACTGTTATTTTGAGTTGTCTGGCTAATGGAGAGCTACTGCCACCAGCTGTAATTTTCAAGGTTATTTTCGCTTTTACTGACATTTTAAACATTTACATTAACAAATTTTGTTGCCGTGGTTGCTCTTACGATGGGTTTCGTTTTGCTGTGCAGGGGGAAGGACCATCAGAAACATTGACATATGGTGACATCTCTCTCCTCGTGTTTTACCAACAAGACTGTTCTATGACCACTGCCATTATGCAGGAGTGGCTGGCATTAATATGGGCCAGGTAAGAGTATTCAAAATTTCGTGCCTTCAATGTTTAATGTTTACTTAATGTTATCTGTTTGATTTTCACCAATCTCCATTCTTTTTTTTTCAAAAATTTCCTCAGACATGTAACATGCCCAAGTGTCCTCATAGCTGACTGTTACGATCCTCACTGCCCTGAACCGGTCCAAGATGCTTGTAAAGCAGCAGAAGTCACCCTTGCCATCATGCCAGCAGGGTGCTCTCTGAAGCTCCAGCCACTAGACCTAGCCATCTCTCGTCTGTTTGAAGCTCACATCTACAACAGGTGGTCCAGACATTTTTCTTCATCTGATCAATTATCAAGTTGTAAGCGAACATCGTACTCTAACAATGCGGACATTGGTGGCTGGATTGCTGAGGCGTACAGCAGTTTGAAAGAAACAAGAAAGGTAATCTGTTTGTTTACTTGATGACTTCTAACATATTTTGTTTGTGAAAGTAAGACACTAATTCTTCCCATCCATGCAGGAAGCAATTAGGCGCAGCTTCCTCGTCACTGGCTTAACATCAGCAGCCAATGGAGCTGAAGACCACCTCATTGAAGACCCATCCTATGTACCATTCTCTTCACTGTTTGTCTCATAAACATACCCTCTATTCATTGCACTTTCTCCTAACAGTATCAACCAGTGAAAATATGGCCACATGTTTTTCTCTCCCGGTCAGGATGTTTTTACTTTACTGTTTTGTAAAGTACTCTATGATTGGTGAATAAAGTACAGTATATGCATGTATAGTTTAGGCTCAAATTTGTGCATCAAACCATCACATGTAATGTGGATTTTATGTTGTTTTTAATTTTATTTTTATCCTTTTTTTTCTAAACTGAAGAAAGTTGTCAGATCTCTAGTCTTTCAGTTTATTAAAGTGTGCTGTCTAGAAACATCACTTTAAAGTACTGTAGCTTAGGTGTTAGTGTGTAGTAGATGAAGAAGGAAGACTCTGTTTAATATAAAGGACTGTGTAACATTTATTAATGAGTAGTGTTGTATTAGAACAGTGTAACTGGATTACTACTACACTCTATGAAGCATTGAAGCATTTTAGTTACGGCTTTGTAGACATTCTGAGCCTTTTATCCTTTCTCAATTTTCTTAAATTTTCTTTTTTACTTTTGTTGTTTTCTTCAAAGCCTACTTTTTATTACATAAGACTGATATAACTCTTTCATCATAAAGTAACCAACAGAGAAGGCTGATCAACTCAATTGACTGATTTAAGTCTGAAGCCCTCAATCAGTATTGTTCAGCAATTATTTATAATCTGAGAGAATAAGTCTTACTTGAGGTTTTTCTGTTATTGTCCCCTACATTATTTTATAATTCGTTATTTGTCTTGTTGCTGTAATTCTATTCCTTATTTCTAAACATTATTTTATTTTTTATTTTATTTTTCTTCATTTAAATAATTTGTTCTGTACTGAATCTGAGATGCATATGAAAACGATGTATGTCATATGCTGAAGATCTCAAAGATCAGAGTTGACTGTATACAATAAAAATGCGTCTAGCTGTTCAATTGCTGAATTTTTTTTTATTGTTCCCATACCAACATCTGAGTGTCGAACGCCGGCCTCCGCGTCTGGAACCCGACGCCTTTGCGCTCTCGGCCACCGGACCTTCGGGCATGCCTGCAGGTTGCGGCCGTGGATGCAGGCGACGGAGCGGGGCGTTAGCCGACAGGTTTGTGAGAGCAGTGACGGTGGCGGGACTCGAACGCGGGTCTCCGGGTTTGAACGACTCTTACCTCTGGCCGCTCCGCCACAGCTTCACTTTTGACAGCTTCCGGCCGCGGGGCCAGTGCACTCGGAAAGCGAGGCGGGGCGGGGCGTGGCGGGGCGCCACTCCGAGGACTCACTCCAGTAGCACCTGGAAAAGAAAGTTGGTGACACCTGTTTGTTTGGGTCAAAGTGTACCTAACCCACCACAGGTGTGTGAATGCATCTGATTCGTCACCCGGAGCCGTGCACTTTGTGCGTGTGTGTGTGTGTGTGTGTGTGTGTGTGCGTGCGTGCGCGCCGGCGAAGCACGCTGCAGTGTGCTGAGTTAAAGCCTTTCACCGCTCGGGGCGCCACAATCTCCCCCTCCTTGCACCTTCCGTGGATTGCCATGGGCTGCCATGGGCTGCCGTGGTCCTGGCCCGGACGGCACGGCCCGGACGGCCCCTTCGCGCGGCTCGGCCAGGCTCGGCCCGACCCACACACAGCGAAGCAGCGTAGCCGCAGAGCTTTCTGCCCGGGCGTCGCGGCTTCGAATACCGACGCGGCCGCTGATTTTCGTCACTTTGTCGCCATTCCTTGAGGTTTTGAAGAAGCGCGGGGCGCAATGGGCCGCAGAAGGCCGGCGCCGGCGGCCGGAACCCCAGACGCGTTTCGAGCTCCAGAGTCGCTAAACAGGACTCGACCCGAGCGTGTGACCCCATCAATGGATTCCTCGTTCGGAGACCAATCCATTCGTGGAGTCACCCGTTCGGTTCGAGCCCCATTCAGCGACGCTGGAGAACAAAACTCGTCCGGGGTGGGGGGCACCAGTGCTGGCTGCGTATGGACGGAACCTTTGACAAGCTAATGGGGACTCATGGCTCTGCAAGGGGACCCGGCCCGGGCATGTTTGTGCATGCGTCTGCGCCTGTGTGCGTCGTGCGTGTGTGTTGGTGCGTGTTGGTGTGTGTGCACTACACCTGGGTGTGGCTGTTGCCAGGCCGTGGCGCCGAGGCGCAGTGGCCCACTGGGGCGATGCAACCGCTGCAGAGGAAAGTGTTTATACCCCCATATGGTTGTCACTGCTTCCTAGGAGAAAGGTCAGCGACTGTACAACACGGCGCGCCGTGCCCTGCGCTGCAAGGAGGCCTGGAGGAGGCCCCCCCCCCCCTCCCCCTCCCTCGGCCCGGCCGAGCCCACACCTGCCCTTGTCGCCTGAGCGGCCTGAGCGTTTGGCTTTTGCACTCCCTAGTGGTCCAGAAGACCGCAGCCAGAGACGACTGGGCGCACGTGTTCAGCTCAATTTTCCTCAAGCGTGCTTGGAAGCAAACTCATGAGGGTGCCAATGGATTTGCCTTCGAACGAGAAATCCATCGGTACTCCCATAAGCTTCTTCGTTAGAAGCCCCTTTCACCCAGCCCCTAAAAGAAAATATTGTAAAACGTGTTCATGGTTCTTCCTGCTCGCGTGGAACGTGATAACACGGGGAAAAGCGGGACGCGGGTCGCGGATGTGTTTGAAGATGGTCTCCGGAGGGACCGAGCTGCACAGTGGGCCAGAAGACCGGTGGAGATGGTCAAAACTCTAGACGCGAGCTCCAGAGTCGCGAAGCAGGACTCGAACCGAACTTGTGACCTCCAATGGATTCCTCGTTCGGACAGCAATCCATTGGTGGGGTCACACGTTCGGTTGCGACTCTGGAGCTCAGCGCGTCTAGAGTTTTGGCGCCCTCCACCGGTCTTCTGGCCCACTGTGCGCTGTTTTGCCGTTTTGCCGCTTTGCTTTTCCCGCCCTCGGGGATTCCGTCCCGAGTCCGCCAGCGTGGTTCTGACAAAGAGTCGGCCTCGGCGCGGCACGGCCAAGGCACGGCCAAGGCACGGCCAAGGCACGGCCAAGGCACGGCAGACACACAGTGCCGTGGGGTCGCGTGTGCCAATACTTTCACTGTGAGCCTCGGCACGACTATTCGGTGGCGCCGCGACACGACACGCCACGCCACGCCGCGCCACGTCACGCCGCGCCATGCCACACCGCGCAACGCCGCGCTACGCCACGCCGCGCCACGCCATGTGTGGCAGGGTCAGTCCGTCGGGACGACAAGACTCGCATCAAGCTTGACGCGTCACGTCCACGGGTCGTTTGTCGACCAATAACGATTCCAGTGCTGCCATCCTCGCCATCGCAGCAGACCGATTCTGCGAGTCGTTGTCGTCGTTCTGTCTCTCTCGCACCGACACGGGACGCCCCGCCAGTGCGAGAGAGACAGAGCGACGACAACGACTCGCGGAATCGGTCTGCTGGCCCGGCCAGGCCGCGGCCCGCCATACGGCCCCGTCTCGCCTGCACTGTCAGTGTGGCTCGCTGGCTCGACTCCCCACTGGTGCAGTAGTGCCTCGAGTGCCTCGGGCCGGCGCGACAGTGCCCGACAAGTTGTCGACACACTGTCGCTGAACATTTCTCCGAGGAACGGAAAAGGAGTGTGTTTTAGCAGATGATACATTGCCCACTCAGAAAACGAGATCGACATAACTTATTCAACAATACAAGTTCAGACAGACGAACCGCATACAAAAGCTGTCGCGGAGACTTGAACGCAGGACGTCCTGCACAGTGGGCCAGAAGGCCGGTGGAGGCGGCCAAAATCCCGGAGCGGTTTGACCTCCAGAGGCGCCAAATGGGACTCGAACCGAACGTGTGACCCCCACCAATGGATTGCTCTCCGAACGAGGAATCCATTGGTGGGGTCACACGTTCCGTTCGAATCCTGCTTAGCGACTCTGGAGCTCAAAACGCGTCTGGAGTTTTGGCCGCCTCCACCGGTCCTCTGGCCCACAGTGCGCCGCTCGCTGAAAGAGCGCGTTTTTTCGCCTTTAACTTCTCAGTGTACACTTTTTCCCCCCGAAACGAAAAAAGAAGAAGTGCGCGTACTGCACGCCTGCACTGTATAGTGGCGAGCGCGTGTATTGAGTACCGGCCCGGCCGGCCGGCGGAGTACCGCCCCGCCAGCCCGCCAGCCCGCCGGGGTGGAGAAAGTTATGATGACGCGAGGCCCGGCCCCGGGCAGCCCCGGGCCGGCCAGGGACGCCGTCCTAGCCCCGGCATGCCCTGGCACTGGAGGGACTAGACGACAGTGAACAGACAGCTCGACCTTTGCGCGTAAAACCGCGCGCGGCGCGGCGGAGGCACGGCGGAGGCACGGCGGTGCGGCGATGCCGGGGGTCCGCAGTCTGCGGCGCGCGGCGCGCAGCTGGCGGTATACTCCGCGCCGCCCCGCGCGGCACGGCACGGCACGGCTACTCGCCGGCAACAAGCCGGCGAAGGGAAGCGCGCTCTTGTTTTTGCTGTGTTTGTTTTTGTCTTTGTTGTTGATACTATTATTATTTAGTTCCATTTCTGTTGACTTTTAAAGTTCTCACTCTTGATACGGCTACTTTTATCATTGTTGTTGTTTCCATCATCCTCCTCGTGCTCATCGTTGTCGTCGTCCTCTTCCTCATCGTTGTTTTCGCTGTTTTGGGTTGGTGTTGTTGTTGTTGTTGTTGTTGTTGTTGTTGTTATCATTCATCAGTTCTATTTCCGTGGATTTTTGAAATTCGCTCTCTTGATGCGACTCCTTTTATCATTGTTGTTGTTTTCATCAGCGTTCTCGTGCTCGTCATCGTGGTCGTTCTCTTCCTCATCGTTGTGGTGTTGTTGTTGGCGGCATGCTGGCTACAAGGTGGGGAGCAGGGGCCGCGCCACTGAACGAGGCCAGCGTCCCAAGTGCAGGGTCAGGGCGACCAGGGTGAGCGTCACTGCCAAGGACCGCTTGCCTCCGTCGGCGAGGTCGTTGGGCATCCGGACCGGACCGGGACTGCGTTTCGGACGTCGTGGACTCGGAGCCAGGGACCCTCCGTCGCGGCGGGAGGGCCTACACCGCAGGCGCTACGGAGCGCCCGACGGAGGCGGGGTAGGCCACACTGCGAGGCACGGCTGTGCGGCGGGAGGGCCTACACCGCAGGCGCTACGGAGCGCCCGACGGAGGCGGGGTAGGCCACACTGCGAGGCTCGGCTGTGCGGCGGGAGGGCCTACACCGCAGGCGTTCCTCGACGCGTGGCTCTCCAGACAGAATCGTCGCGGCGAAGGTTCGCAGAGAAAACCTCTTTCTTTCCGCGGCGCTGCTCGCCTGTCGCGTCGTTGTTTTCTCGTTTACCTCGTCGCGCTAATCCTCACGCATGCCGACAACAAAGAGAGAAAACACTTCTCGGATTATTGCTCCCCTTTTTATTATTATCATTTTTTACCTTTATTGCTATCGTCATTGCTTGAGCGCTCCGGGCGTATCATATAAAAGCGAGTGCGGGGCGGGGCGGGGCCGGGCGAGCTGCTATAGTTGCCACCTGTCTTGACTTTTTCTGCTTTCTCTCGGACGGCTTTGCCCACCTCTCGTCCATCTCGTCGCCCGCGTCGGATCGTTCTGCATTGCTTGGTCAATGGCGCGACCTGCATCAGGCGTTGCAGGGCTGCCTGCCTGCCTGCGTGCCTGCCTGCCTGCCTGGCTGCCTGCCTGCCTGCCTGCCTGCCTGCCGGTGGGGAGACTGGTCCCACCGTTCCGTCAGGCAGTCGTGTTCGTCGTGTTCCTGCTCAACACATCCACTCTGCAATGCCCAAATCTCCCTCTCACATCTCCCCCAAGCAATCAAAAACGGGTGGACGAAAATGCATCTAAAACCCATTTCAGAGAAAAACGTTTGGAAAAAAATTGCGATTTTTATGAGTGTCAATAATTATTTTTTTGAAAAGAAAATGTGTGTTTTTCGGAAACGTGTGAACCCGAAA